AAACGATCGTTATGAACTTAAAAGTATGAGAGGGGGTCGTACCTATAAATATTCTCACGAGAATTTGCGAGCTGTTCCCCGGGGTCTCGAAGGGTTAAAGGATATCGCAAGTAGTTTAATGGAAGTAGATTGCGAATTTGAGCTTCAAGAGGAGCACTCACACCTTGATGACCGTGACGGCGATATGAATTACACGGATTCACAATCCCTCGGAAGTGACACTCTGACTGCCGGTACCGAAACTGTTAGTCTCGGTTCAAATACTTTGACTGCTGGATCAGATACGTTATCTGTTCATTCTGATCAGTGGGCTGACTTTTCTGAGCATGAGCAAGATGCTTCGTGATAAAGAGCATAGTAAGTGGGAGAACTTGCAATTACAGTGATTGTGCCTTAATGTGAGAGATTATCCAGAGAGATGGTTAAATGTTGTTACTGATCATTGGCTCGAACAGTGACGTCCGGTCTATGTCTGGGGACTAGTCGGAGGGACGCATTGGTTCGATCCAGGTGAGTGACCTGGCGGGGCTGGTCGAAGGGGTGATGTTGTCCTACCAGTCCGCGGACTGGTCGAGGGGAAGCATACATCCGGTCCATGCACGTCAGTCACTTTGACCGTATCAGTTTGAAGTATTGTTATGCGGCTGATGGCCAAGACGGACGATATTGGTTAACGATTACAGTTTTTTTTAGTCAGGATGAACGAGCATCTCCAACTTAATATTGTTGTTGTTATAGATGCATCGCACAATTAGTTCGCTCGGGGACGAGCGACTGTCAGGTTGGCCGTGACGGCGCAAGCAGGTCGCGTCATATAATCGATTGAAGATTGAGAAGAAGATGAATGAAACTCTTTGACAGTTTATTGTAATTTATGGACGAGAGTGTAGCAACCCCGCTCTTACGGAACGTTGGAGGAACGTGGTCGCCATCTTGACCGACACATTGGTCGTGACAAGAGGGTGAACACACGTCACTCAAACGGATCGTTAACGTCCTAAATTTAAATCTATTTGAATCGTATTAGATTTCAATCTTTAATTGATTGTGATCATATTAAAATTATTAGATTGCTTCAATATTATAAATTACACGTATAATTCTGAATTTTACTTTAAAATTCCCGCGCCTACGTAATGGAAGAATCGACTAAGGGTCCTAACAATGGCGTTGTTTATGAAACGCCTTTATATACATTTATGCCATTTATTTACACATCAAAGGACCATTTTATTTATCTATCGACAAGATAATACAAGTACATACATAATAGGTACACATATTTTGATACTTATAAAACCTTGCCTATATCCAATTTATTTTATCTATCATCATCATCAGCCTGTTGTCGTCCACTGCTGGACATAGGCCTCCCCAATTGCACGCCACTGAGCTCGATGTTCAGCTCTTCTCATCCAATTTATCTATACTAATATTATAAAGAGGTCAAAATTTGTAAGTTTGTATGTTGGGGGTAATCTTTGGAACCGCTAGTCGGATTGCCAAAATTCTTTCACTGAAAGATGGCTACAATGTTCCTGAATGCTATAGGCTAAAAAACCAGGCTAAGATCAAATGGTAGTAAGTCAGTAAAGTCAAAGTTAAATCATTTGTTTAAAAAAAAACACAACAGGCCCTTTTAAAAGTCAAACAAAAAAAAAACAACTTTATGTGTGTCAGTATCCGTGTCGGTCTGTCTTTTTTTAGTGAAGCTATATATCACGCCAACATTCTCTCCTTTGTCTTGGGTACGTCTTCAAGCATACAATCCCACATACAGACCTACACATCACACCGAAACCTTATTTTTCTTTTTATCAGAGTAAAATCATCAAATGACTTCTCCCGCCCCGAGAGGGAGTGTCAAACTCTTACTGACTAAAAAAGTAAAAACCTTCTTCCTTCTTCTGATTTAGGCCGAGGCTGTGGTGCCTCATTGCGCTTACCCCGCAACCTCCTGGAGACCTGGAACTGCAATTTGGACCACACAGAGTTGTTCCCTGCGCAAATCTAACCCGCGACACGTTGCACGGAAGCTAGTCATCCAGCAACCACGGCAATAGCGCATTCAAAGTATAGACTCTGTCTGTAGCCCAAATATCTGTAGCTAAGTAGATACTTAATATTAAACACATCATATAAACTTTTTAATACCTGAAAGGATGCTTATCTGCAATATAACACTGTCTTTTGAAACTAAAAAGTTATGGAAGCAGTGGGTCTATAAAATAATATCAAATTCAATTTACCTGAAGCACACAACTCTTCTCAAACTACACAACAAACAAATGACTTAAAACATGGTTAAATGAAGAGTGAATGTCTATGTTTAATTCTCAGTAATTTATATGTGTAGAAGTACATAATTCAAGGAAAATTATTTAGGAAAGCTAATGAGTTTATTTGATTCATTGTTAACACCTAATGGTCTGAGTAATTCCTTACTATGTATGACTACCAACTATCGCATGTTGAGAACCTGTGACAGACTGTAGTCTAATAAAGGAAAATAATTATTGAAAGCAATCATTATTTCCATACCGCTGCTCGGCTCTATTTAATCGTAGCGTGATGTTTTATAGCCTATAGCACTCAGGAATATTGTAGCTATCAATGAAATAATTTTGGAAATCCGACCAGCGGTTCCAAATATTACATATATAAAATATCTATAAAACATCACGCTACGGTTAAATGGAGCCGAGCAGCGGGTGAAACCGCGTAAGAGAAGCTAGTATATTACATGTATGGTGTCCCAGGTACAATAAACTTTAAATTATCTCGAATTTTTAATAATTTATTATCTATACACTTTACCAATGAAACTAACCTTTGTATTTAGAACAGAGACAGTTTTCTTTCTCTTGAAGTTTATATTTAAAAATAATGTCACATAAATAATCTGTTTACCTGAAATAAGAACTCGGTTAATTTTAATACTGGCCACCAACACTGTACTTTACATGTAATACTAGTTCGTACTATATATATACTAATGGCTTGAGAATATTATTATTATTTCTCTTTTCACACAATGGTACTAAAGTATTTATCAACAAGCTACTGGCAGTAATAATAAAGGATAAACATTACAAAGACTTTATTATCTTTGTTAAATAAAACTCTTCCATAACTGAAGGACTAACTGACAGATATCACACATACTACCTACACATTAGGAATTATAAAAGTTGTTACTTCACAGATAAATAATATTGGATATCTCGAAAAAACACATTTTTAATACTGCAGCAGGTGAAGGTTAGTTATTAACTACAAATATGAGTAGCTAAAATATTACTATGTTGTGACACTTTAAAATGTTGTGCATTTGATTTTATTATTACTTAAGTTTTTTAGATGTAAGTTTAAATGTAACAACTACTAGTTGTCCAAATAAATAAATAAATAAATAAACTATGTATATCATTTAGAGCTCCTTAGTTTCAACAGGCGAGTAGCAGGGCAAACCACATGGGAATATTTAGTCTAATAATCTGTAATATTATAAAGCTGAAAAGTTTAAAAAGGCCCGTCTGTGGTGGTCTATTGGCTCTTTGAGGTGCATGTGAGTAAGCTTAACAGCATACTATGCCCAAAGGGAACAAAGTAGTGGGTAAAACCACATAGGAATAGCTAGTTTAAGATAATTATATACATATAATGTTATATAAGTATGTCATGTATTTTTTTTTTGATTTGATTATAGGTTCGCGCTTGACCGCTATCTCACCTGATGGAAAGCGACGATGGAGCGCGCTTACCTAGAAGTAACCTATTCACTCTTGACTTAAAGATACCCAGATTGTAACTATCAGGAAACACCGACTCCGGCAAGGATTTCCACTGCTTGGCTGTACGCATAATTAATGTGCTCCCAAAACATTTTGTACGTATATGTGGGACATCCACCATGTACCTGTGTACCGTACGTCTGGTGGTCCGATGATGGAATGGGCTAGGCGGAATTAAATTATGTAATTCCAACGACATTCCCCAAAATGCAACCGGTAGAAAATTTATGATGTTAGAGATGAAAGAAAAAAACAGAGATATAGAATTACATACATTTTGCCAATTAACTATATTCTATAATCAGACAGGTACAATCCCAGATTGAGTGCTAATTAAATTGTAGAACTTATTTACATTGACTTTTATAGGTACTTTTTTGCACGGTTGTGATTTGTTTATCTTATCAATCATGTACATTATCAGCATTGAGTTATTGCAGGGGATATTTCTAGAAAGATTCATGTAAGGTGTGTTAATCAATACTCTACAAATGCATTTAGTTACACAATACATATAACTAATATGAGTATGTACTGATCAATTAATAAGAGTTGATTCATCCTCTTTTATTAACAGAACTATTTTACCTAAACTCTTGATTCATATTATGTGAAGGTTTATAAAATGAACTGTATAACATGGTTACAAAGTTCAAATCAGTTTATATACATGCTGATTTATGTGTGACAAGAAGCAGTTACCTGGCAGTACCTGGTTATGTCAACAGGTTTTCTCCAGTGTGCATTTGAACAAAAGCCACTGGAGCAACAATTTATAATTTGTGAAGTTGTCTTTGAAGTAAAATTAATATCTCAATTATATTAAAATTCATAAAACCCCAAGTCAACACCAGTGTTCATCCTTTTGTTCTCCTAATGTGTCTTACTATGATTGAACGATTAAACTCAGATGATGAATTTGATGAAATTTTGCACAGAGATAGAATATGGTTTAGAATCACATACAGAACATTTGAACAATTAATAATAAATAGGCAAAACTAACCTAAGAAGAGCAGATAGATTTTCAAAATAAAACTAATGTTTTAAATAGTAAAACATTTTAAAATGTTTATCTTACATCCTATTATAATCAAAGCTTAGGAACTATTCTTTACTATTATTGTCTATCATAACTAAGTGGGATAGGTGTTCATATCAATAAAAAATAAATATTATCTTTTAAAATCTTAATAAAATACTTACTTGATATCGATTGGGCTACTACTGCTGTTAAAGTCAACAATAAATACACAAATATTTTACTTGACAACAACTTATAAATAGAAAACTCTTAATATCACTATCACGCACTCCACACATTCATAGTAAATGAAATGTAATAAAGTATCTTTGAGTCGTGTGAAAAAATACACCGGCGTGATAAGGAATTAACACTATAAATATTTAAATGGAAAAAAATAGTACATCAATAGAATGTCAACTTGGTCAACCCAGTGACAGTGACAATAACTGACAACTATGAAAATCAGATTGACAGTAAGATAGTGACTAGCTCCACGTTCCAATACAAAACATAATTTAAGCATAGCTTAGGCCTCTATGAAGCATGTTATGTCTAAAATACGATTTGTGCAAATGATGGAACACAAATAGTAGAGATGTTACAAATAATACTAAAATCCGTACCGATAAAATTGAATGAGTAGTTGAAAGTGCCTTTCATTTTAATAATGTTATGAAACGAATATTCTGATTAATATATTATGGTAAAAAGTATATGGTATGATATGACCTAGACTACAGAGTAGCCTGTATATTATTTTAAGGAAATCAGTTTCATATTATTAACATTAGTTTAGATACTGGCTGGTTGAAAGTTTTATACATTTTTTTCTTCTAATGACGTTTTTTTTCATTGTGTGTGCTGTGTCGAAAACATTATAAAATGTAAAAATAAACAATACTGCCCAAACATTTAGAAATTACCTTTTTAATAAACCACGTATTTAAAAAAAAGGTAAGAAATTAATTACATTCTTACCATCAGTGTTTCTTTACTAGGTCTCTAAGAATAAACCTTATCTTTATGGCAAGTTTAAATTGATTTCTGACTTAATGTTTGATTTCAACAAACTAAAGGTGGTTTTAATAATACGTATATTTTGCACACAGAATGTCCTAATCTTTGAGTAGGTAAAACACTAGTGTAGCATCACAGAGATTTGTTGTATTTTCATCTTGCTTTTTCTTTCAATAAAATATCTCCATCCTTGTCCTACATCACCGCAACTTAGAACGTCATTGACCTCTTTCATCCCCACTTTTGGTCTCTGTCAGTCGATATTTCGCGCTTGTATACGTATGTACACAAACCGATAGTAGTGTGCGTTGAAACAGGCATTGCGTCTGTGCAGCGTATTGATGTAAACATTCTCTTGTCATTTTATTTCAGTGCGTTTGGAGAACTGTATGGAAATCCCTCCGAGGCGCATCTGAAAAAGATGTGAACAGCTGATACATTCAATTTTTAAAATTATAGTGTACCCCGATGTGTTAAATGGTTGTTAAATATTTTTTTTTGAAAATTTATCGTGACGAAAAGTGCAGTAAAAGTCTTTGTTTATAGAAGTGTGAAAAAGGTCAGTTATCAATAAGCATTTTCTTTAAATCAAATGTATTATCAAATTAAGATCTTATTGGAAAGTATTAATCTGAGCTAACTTGCTTCAAGTTAATATTTGTGACATTGTAGTGAAAACGAAACGAGTTTCGAAATCGAGCCTACTTATCTTCAAGATTAGGTGAGTACCTACTCGTAAGTAGATTGGTTTTTAGTTTCTTTATAAAAATAAATAAACATTAATCTCATTTATATAACTAATTATAATTTGTAAGTACCTAAGTAGGTACATATTCAACAAACCGGAGTTAGCTCTATGGCGCTGTGTACAAACAACTTCCTTGTTCTAGGCAACTTGGCTTGAGGTGATAAAATACGCAATCGAAGTTATAAGTTGGATAACTAAAATTTTAAAACAAAAAGAGGTGTCACTTATGTTGATATTTTGGATAACCAACCTCTAAGGTTAAAAAGGTGCTAAAGGAACCTTATAAATAGATAATTCTAAATAGTTAAAGAAAATTCAAGTTATTCAAGTAAAATTTTTTTTAAATCGTATCTAAAAGCTATATTTTTTTGCTCTCATAATGCCCAGAAAAAGCTACAAAGAGCCAACATTGGTGTTATCGATTTCGACCGTGACCTATATAATGCTACACGCGTGCAATCTACTTCCTGAAACGTGAACATGTCCAAATTGTTTTCAATTAACATTTAGGTCCTTGTTATTGAGTAATCCACATTATGATAATAGAAGCGATTCCGTAACAAGTGTCTTCATTGCTATTGCTCAGGCATTTCTTTGTTGCTCCATATGGGAAACGTGCTAGTGTTGTTTTGATTTAAAACATTATATCTCTGTCGATTGGAGGCGTTTACATAGATATAAGAAAATTAATTAAATTTATATTTTCCTTTCCTATTTAGATTCGTATCATACATTAAAAACATATGTATTTGTCGGTTTCGAAATATCTGTCATCCCGAATAGTTTCTATTTATTTTATAAATATTTAATCAGGTAGGTCTGTTGATTTTTAAACTAAATACGCCATAGATTCTGCCTTTGTTTTTAGCTTTGTGTCTACCATTATCGTACGACAAAGGCGTAAAATTCCCGCGCATTGCAACATCGCGTTCAGAAATAGTGAGCTGCCGGCCTTGCGATCGTCATGCGAATTAGATGAAATAAAACTAATCTAACAAATGTTTTATAATATAAACTTGGTGTTTCTATTATAAAACATTTGTTAACCTATAATATAATATCGTGTTTAAGGTTTCCAATTATTCCAAGTCTATTTACTTAGCTATGGCCTATGCACTAGCCCTCAAAACTTTGTACAATCTGTTAATATTAACTTATAGTGATTGGATTCTTTGTGTTTTAACCCTTCACGTGGCATAGTAATCTAACCTCCGATCCACCACTTGAAATCTAATCAATAATCTACCAAAATTATCAGCCAGGGGCATTTTTGTACATCGGGAAATACGTCGATAAAGTTAGAACTGATAATCACAAAAACGATGAATAAACACAAGTGACCTTTGTACAAATTAACGTAGCAGAAATAGAACAAAAAATAGTACTCAGTTTCAAGCAATTCTTATACCAAATGCAAGAGCAACTTTATCAAAGAGTTTGGTGTCTAGGTATTCTAAGTACTGTAAACAAGGTAATGTGAGTGTAGTGGTTCTAATCAGTAATGTGTTTGGCGTCGCACGTGTTATGCGGCCCACGTATTTTACTGTTTATCTCTGTACTGGTGACCTTCAAACATCCGCGTAACAACATTAACTTGAATGCCTGAGAAATCTTAGCATAAAAACTACAAACTATAATGGAAACGTATTTTTATATGATTTCCAAAGAAAAAAATGTTTTTTGGCCTATTTGCCCAAGTGCCCGCGTCTTTGAGACGCTCTGTTTTGAGTTTTGCCCAAATCTCACAGATCTCTGTTATTGAATGCAAAGATGTTGTTTATGTATAATTATGGTTCTTGAAAGTCCTTATGATAAACAGTACTTACACACGTGTGTAATATTATAATAATCGCACTAGATACCTGTATTTACTAGTGACACATAGAGAGCTTGTTGAGATTTTCTTAGTAGTAAAATTCAATAAGTAAAGGATGGATCATAACCACAGCGACGCAGAGACAAAACCAACAATAACTCATTAGGAACAGAGTAAACAAAACGTAACTAGGCACTAAAGGAAAAACGTGTTCATTTTGTAGTCAACTATTTACCAATTATTATTTTTATGATTTGAACATCACTGCGCAAAAAGAACTGCGCAGTTTTATATCGCTCTGTTAAAGATTCACAATAGTTTTTTTTGTTAAACCTTGTCAACGCACGCAAATAACACGTGAACGCGTTTGGGCATCAAACAATTACGCCCCAACATTTTGGTATTTTTTGCAGAGCGATTAGTTTTATCCACCGTATTTCGCATTTGTTCAGAACAATTTTGTATGTTTTATACACAATTGTATTTGTTATAAACATTCATATCGATTCAACTTTAAATTTCAAGCACCCATAGAGAAAACCAAGATCTGTAAAAGTCTTTCTACGTTAAAGTCAATATCCTAATGGTCAGTCACACCTTTAGAGTAACCATACAAGGTTTTTCCAATCCAGACAATATATGCAACTGTTGGACATTAAACAAATTGGTTTAGCCAATGGTAGTGGGTAGAGTCGAGACGTTAAGTTCGCCGCCCTCACCGTCGCGACGCCTGTGCCCGCCGGGGTGGCCACCCTGCAGATGAATTCCCTTTACCACAAAGGAAACCTCAACGTCTGCGTTCTTTTGTTTGTTTCTGAGCAATCCTCAACCAGACAACAAATGGACATAAGATGAGATGACTGTTTGTCTTAACTGAAGAAAGTAACTGGTCGAAATACCTAACGAATTAAACTAAATACAATTAAAAGAATTGGTCTTTTTATGTAGTGAAAATTAAATGTTTACCTTTGAGCTAGATATATAATACTTCTTCAAATAAAGCTAGCACTTGCTTGAGTTACTAAATGCACCCCGAAACGCATAAACCTTTCATTAATTAAAACGTAAATCATCCTTTATTACAGCCAAATCGATCGATAGTCACCTAAGTATCAAACTAAAGAATGGCAAATGCCCTGACACGCGAAGCTTTAAAATAATGAAAGCATCAATAAATTTGGCTTGATTTGTAGAAGACAATAAAATATCAATTGGAACCTATCACGCCATGACAAGTTATTTAAGAATAAACAATTATTTCTATTCGCGTTTTAGACGTACACCATTAATTTTATTAGTCTCATTGTTTGAAGCAGGATGTGCATATGCGATGTTTTTATGGTTTTGTCTCTATATATTATCTCTATAGACATCAAACAATCAATAACCTGTCGTATTAATAGATACTTAAAGACTAAAAACTGCAATATTATGGATAATTTTGTGTATTCACAAAAATATGTGTGATCTACTTAGTTACTGTTAAACAAAAATGAGTAATACGTTGTGCAAAATTGCGATAACTTGCGTTCCAGCCTTGGTACCTAACTCTCGCTTTCTGAATAACCTTACTGTAATAGTATTATGAACTAGAATACAATATTAATACGTAGCATCTGTTTAACGTATAATAAAACGAGGTTTACACTATTAAATAACCAGTTCTTGCTTTTAACTTTTTCGGTAAAAACCTAATACATATAAACAGTAGGTAGGTAAAACAAACGATACGCTTCAGTTTCTTGAGAAAATTTTAACGAAAACGTCAGTATGTACACGAAATGAATGTGCGAAGATAATAATTATTTCACGTTATGTAAAAAGTAACTAGAGCGGAATGACTAAACCTAAATATGGGACATCGTGGACAATGCAATGATACAAGTCCAAAAGCCATAATTGAAGACACTAAACTCATAAACTTAAAGGAAATGTATTTCTATGAGCACGATTCAAAACGCTTTACTAATGTATGCCAAGACACGGTCAGTTCCGGAATTCGAAAGGGATATTGAATTTGAAACTTGTTAAGGTAGCTAATAAACGAGGTTGATAACATTTTTATTGCGTTCTTCGGAATTTATTCATGATATTTTGTCGCTGACTGGACATAATTCAAGATTTTATTCTCATATTCTTACGAAATAACCCAAGTAGATGGAAGTCACATCGTGATTTATCTTGCCCCTACTAGATGCTCAAAACCATGTCCAACCACTAACCAACATGTGTTTTTTTGAAGAGGAAACGTCGCTCGTTCATGTTATAAGGAAATTATAAAAACTGCATGCATCCAAAGTCCAACTTTGTGGATGGGATTTTACTTGCAATTTTACCTGTGAAATTATTACTAACTAATCAACATTACTTTTTACACATTGTAATAAGGATAGGTGGCGCCGCACGCACTTCAATACTCCAGAAACGAGTAATAAAGCAATATTCAATAACCATTTGATTAATTACTAGTTTCACTTTGTATATATTCCTCCACCCAAGGTTTCCGTCGTGGCACGCTGTATTTTTTATAACTACCGACTGCCAGTCAATGGATAAGGTTAGGCTCCACGTAATGCACGTTTTAATTTACTATCACATTACATATCCGCGATGTTCATGACGATTTGCACAATCATTGGACGTCAGTTAGCCAACAGCAGCTCGCAACAGCATTATACGCGCATTGGAAATGTAGAACGGGATTTATGTCGTACGTAATGCGTGGTTATAGCAATTTACGGCTGTCTGATGTCATGTTTTATTTTAATATTCAACAACGATGCATATTTTATGCACGCGAGTAAACGCACATTTGTTGCCTATTGCAATCATAGTTTGTTTAATTATTACACAAAAATGTTAGCTTCAATCCCAAATTTTCTCCTGAACTGAAATTGAAAAACACTGCTCACAATAATACAAAACCCCTGCAAGAAATATAGTTGGGACGTGGTAGGAACGTTTCACAGCACACTAGTGTCGCAGCACAAGGCGGCTAAATTCTATTAGCCTTGAGTCTATGGCCCTACTACGTTCCGCTGACAGTTTTATGGCGGACAGTCAACAGAATATTACTTACAATAATCGAGCTGTACTTGAATGCAAAGTTAATCATTACAACACAACATTCAATCGTATGTCCCTTTATTTTGATAAGGTCACTTTTTATTAACTTATGATTTTCGGAGTCATTGGGGCTTTACCCGTCGAAAACACAAACGATGATGACGTCATCACGCAAACAAAAACCTCCATTACATATAAAATTTTGATTGCTGAACGTTAAATACGAAATTATTCTTCGTTGAATCAAATGGTCCGTTTTACTTCCATGCAAATTGTCGTTGCAATCAACATCAGCTGTATTATGAGACAAGGCACTAATTATGTTTTGAATGCACATTTGATCTCGACCTTGGCTGCAGCAGTCACGAGTCACGAAGTCTCGGAACAGCTCGACTCGACTACTTAGTATTGACCAACATCCCTTCTAATATTGTTTAAAGCACTTTATTTTCTTGCATTAGTGGTGTGAAGAATTTCAATTAAGTAAATCCAAGCTAAAGTAACTTAAGGAAGACTAAAACTAAGAGTTGTCTTGATCGAGACAATGAAATGAAATTAATCTAATTACCGAGAAACAACTAAAAGATATCGATGTTGGTATTTTCTTTTATTATTTAGTAATCACAATGAGGTAGCGCACTGCGGAACCGCAATGCAATAATTACCGGATTTCATCATCGTAATTTTGCTTTATTTCATTGCCTTGCCAAGATTACTAAAAAGCTAAAACGCAATCACTGATATCAGTATCGACCTCAGTAAACCTTCGTTACTACGCATGGATGAATAAGAAGTACCAGAACAAGTCGTAAACATAACTACAATTTTACTATTGAATCGCCCTATAAAAAAAAACAAGCTAAATATAGTTTTAATTGTACGGTATCACGAATCTCAATCGATCGAAGACCTTTTGTTAATTGACGGTCATTCGGTAAAAATATGAAGAATAAAATATAGGTCATTAGGACTATGTGTAATGTAATACAAAAGTCCATTAAGATACCACCATATGTAACACTTTTCATAATGACTACCATAAAAATGTAGGTTGCTAAAACAGACATATGTTTCACAGCACGTTAATACATTGGATACTCCCAATACATCCATCAATTTGCCTACTGAAATAATTTTGATGAACCTACTCATACCAGATCCTTGAGCAAATATTCCGGTCTGTTGGTTTATTGCTTTACGCGCTGTATATTTATTTAGCCAGTTGCGCATGAGTTCAAGCGAGAAGGAAACGCCGCTCGTTCATATTATAACCAATTAATTTATGTTAAATAAAAAATTCGATATCACTATCGTATATTGTGTGTGTATTAACGCAAGTAATTCATTAAATTCTTCATTTATTGTCAATCAATAACTATACTATAATGACTATTGCCACATAGTTAATTGGTTTTTATGGGCTGCCTTTCCAATATCACGTTGCTTATTGGTTGACCCATTGGCAATGAAACAGCTCTTATCATGGGTTGTTCAATGTTGCGATATTTATACGAGGCGGCGTATGACGTACTCCGGACGTACTGAAGTACTCTAAACTGCTATTTAGGATTATTTTTACTTATGGAAAATAGATAATGACTTTATATTTTATTACAGGTATAAATAAAGCGGAATCATAGAGGGAAGCCAACATGCCGTCGCTCTTAGAAGCTCTAGAGCGGAAATATGGTGCGAAGGGCGAAGTGAATGCTCCAATAGATGACATGCCAGTGGCAATATTTGTGCCCAAGCGCTCCCCTCGGCTGAGTGTACCCACGCTACTGGTGCTCAATGATTGCGAGATCGACTGCGCCGGAGACGCCCGTGCTCTCGCCGATAAATGTGCTGATGTTGTCGAACTCGATCTAGCTAACAATAAACTCACAGAGTGGAATGAAGTAAGTAAAAAGTGAAAATTATTATTTCTTCTACGAAATCCTCCTTGTCAGATATTGCAGCAAACAAGCTCGTTGCACTAAACACATACCACCTTTCCCACAGTTACGACAATCTATACCAATTATTTGTAATAGCAGATATTTCCGTAATGTTACGTTCACTCCTTAATAATGAACGGCTGACATAAAGTTTTGCTTCTAGGTTTTTGCAATACTGGAGCAAACACCACGAGTAAGGTTTCTCAACTTGAGCTTCAACCGTCTATCGGCTCAGATACAGGCGGCACAAACGTTACAGCCTCGTTGGGACAGTTTGAGCCACCTTATTCTGAACTCCACATACGTCGGTTGGCCGAGCGTCCACGCATTACTCAAAGCTCTACCAGCTCTGGAGGAGTTGCATTTGAGCCTGAACGAGTACTCCTATGTGGACTTCTCCGGACAAGAGGTTGATAAAGAAGCTCAGTGTGAGGCGTGTTCACGACTCAACTCTGATGTCAACACTGAGCCCGTGCATGAGCAGCTAAAGAAACTTCACTTTTCCGGGAATCACGTTAGCAGTTGGCGAGAGATCTCAAAACTCGGCTACGCCTTCCCAAACTTGGAAACTCTACTGGTCAACGACTGCCCAATAACAACACTAGCGCCAGACCCGTGTGACAAATGTAGTGATGATAATGGAAATAAGAAAAGCCACGATGCCTTCCCGTAAGTGGTTTGATTACACAATACAGTAATTAATTTGTTATCAATATGACCCCATTAACTTCCTCAGTGTGTGTTGCCAATTGCCATTGACCTATTGATCTTCAGAATTTAAATAGTTTATACTTTTGCGGCGCCACATCAGCCATGTCATTGATATTCCAGACACCTCCGCTTCCTAAACCTGAACAATACGGGTTTAGCGACGTGGGACGAGGTGGATCGACTGGCACAGTTTCCTGCTCTCAAGAGTTTGCGGGTACAGGTGAGTTCAACACGACACCTGTTAAACTCATTGTGTAGTCGATGCACACTGACTATAATGTTTGCAAATACTGACCTCGCGTCTACGGGATTATGCACACGGCCGGAACTGTGTTACGTACCTACTGTATTCTAAGCATACTTAGTACTAGTAATTTATATAGACGTGACTTGCGGTAGTGTACGATGTTGATTGATGGCTAATTTATAAACTATACACAAATGATCGTGCAATTTATTCGTAAAACCGTAGCTGATTTATTTTAATTGAAATCTCCAAGCTGCAAAAATGCATTTGGCAGTGCGTAATCTGTCAGGCCGCCAACGTTTTAACGCCACCGTCGCCAAGTTATAATCTGAACTACTCAGCGATAAGCGATCTAATTTTGATGTTGGACGGTAACGTGTGAACTGTTCAAGACTGTTGTAGTTCTAAATTATCCGTGTAACGTCCCTCGGGAACAGAGGCCTGGCGTAATGCGGGTGAAGGTCTTCCAGATATAGTGGCGACCTACTTGACGCCCGGTTGTGCAACCTTAGCTAATATCACCGATCACTGTAGCGGGCACGCATATAATTTCGTCACGTCTGCGCTCACGGGTCTGCTCGGGAGCTAACAGATTTTATAGGAACGTTAGCCTTGCATTCGTCAATAGGTTTCGACATTGTTTTAATGATCCACGTAAATAGAGTTACAATACTGTCGTTATCTGCTTTTGTATTAAATAAATACAGTACTTAGCAGTTTTACTGAAAATAGGCTTGCACGTGGAAAATTTCCGCGTTTACATCAGACTCGAGCAATCGTTATTTTATAGGTAGGTAGTCATAAAGGTCGCGTTACTTTCAATTTCTCGTCAGTGAAAATCATAACAAAATGGTATAAAATTTGTAATCTGAACAAAATTGTTCAAGTTCAAGGTCATGCAACTGGTACATCGAACAACCAGCCAAATGTTAATCTATTTGTGTGCACATCCATGTCCTTTGTTACGCAAATCGTTGATCATACACTTTATTAGAGAAAAATGAATCGTATGCTTCTAGTTATAAGGTTACTTAAACCATGAGATCAACTGAATATTAATGTTTTGTGACCGTCACGCTACGAAGAATGTGAAAGTGTGTCTGTTTGTTTTAACTTGCGCTTTATGCGTTTATGAGCGATTGTGACGTCATAATGGTCAAAGTAATACCTATGTAGTATAATGAGTTGTTAGGAAATATGGATACCTTGACTTATTTTTTGTTTCATGTGGATAACCTAAGTAGAACAGAATGGCACATTAATTCAGTGACTAGCAAATAGCAACATGGCAGTCAAGAATTGTCAGGTGTTTGCAAAAGCTGAATTTGATTTCCATGTGTTATGTATGGTGAATAAGTACAAAAATATGTAACAGAAATCATGCAACCATGAAGGCGTCATGAAAATAGGTCTAACAGTTTTGAAACTACTAATAGTGTAGCTAACATGAATTTCTCTTACAAATAAGTACTTTAACCACTGAACTCTTATTAAAAAACTTCTTAAAAGGTGCTGCTAATACTCATACAAATATGTTTTTACGTGCAAGAAAATCTTTTGAGGGCATTATGAAATATATGTATACATGATGGACATATCGTCTATTCTAATAATGCCAACCGTCACATTGTAAGTTCTGCGTGGGTTCAAGTGGGACCAAGCATAAAAATGTTGAATATTTTAGTATGAATAGATGACTATCTACTTTCATTCCGTACTCTAAAATGAGATATCCAAGGAGGAAAGCACAATAAAGTCAGAACAGAGTTTTCTGTTCATTTTTAATAACAGTTAGTCTGAAGTTATTAACTGTCCATAAAGCAAGCTAATGACGAACTCCCTTATATTTGGAAACCCAAATTGAGATGATTTCCGCTGTCAAACTCAAACATTTATACAGTCCTCCCTTCGACAAAAACAACGATCACGTATTTTTTATCAGTCTGTTAAAGGATCGTTATTTAAAAAAAAGAACAATAAAAGCAGGTAAAGGTGGTGTGGGTGATTCATTCGCAAAATAAATCGAATTCAACGGTCTGGTCTCAGGTCAATAACATTAACAGCTGACTTGGCGTCCTTGTCGCACTTGGTATTATTTATAACAACGTATGCATATTTACCTAGGTATATTTAAAAATAAAATGCTCTGTGAATTACCTAGACAATCTAACAAGAGGTCGTATTTATTTATTACTAACTTTTCCCCGCGACTCCGTTCGCGTGGAATACCTAATGAATTCCTAGATTTTTGGTGTAAAAACTATCCTATGTCCTTTTTCGAGTTCCGAACTATGTCTGTACCAAATTTCACAGAAATCGGTTCAGTAGTTTAAGCGCGAAGAAAAGGAGGAAGCTAAGCAGGAAGCTACTTTCGCATTTATAATATTAGATTGGATTTTGATTGAAATTCAGTTCTAAGGGTATTTATTGTAAATGTGCTCTAGATTCTTTAGACCAAAGAAGCTCACTACTTATAAATTTTTCTCCCAATCCGTTCTAGATTTCGTTGGAAGCTCTAGAATAATTATTTAGTTTATTAATCTAATCATACTATAAGCAAAGATGGTTATTTAGCCAATACCTATATGCTACATCTCAATTACTGTTTCGTATTGATCGATGAAGACCATTAGTCAATGACGTCATAAAAATGTCTTGAATCTACTAAAGCCTTTTGGAAGACTCGCTCTCTTACTTCTCTTTGTAATATGACACCGTGTATTGTCTATGTACACTACAATCTACGAGCTCTCATAGACAATCGATAGCGTTATCCATCAGTGTACTTCTTATTAACTTTATCTTCACACGATTAAGTACCTTCTTTTGACCAAAAAAGAATTCTAGTTTATACGATAAAGTTGTAAACGCTGTTCGTGCTTTTAATCAATTTGTTTCACCAACTACTATAACGTGCGTGGAAAAGCATTCAATGTTACTAAAAACTAATGAAGTTCACCTGTTAAAAGAAATGCAAAGCTTTGGTACTCTATCGATTAAATATTATTAGGGGCCTATTTCACCCTTTTCATATAAATCAACTTGTGTGGCAAACGTTCTATATTCAAATTTAACTAGTACATATTCAAACATTGTTAATCAGGCTCTAAACAAAAAACAATTTAACTCACAGTGAAATAAAAATGATACAACGACACTATCAAAGTCAAATCCTAGTCAAGATATAGGATACCAAGTAATCAGATAAAGAGTCGGACCAATAAAAACACTTGGCAAAATGATGTCATTGTTTAAAAGAATATGTTGCGTATCTATAGCTTTCCAGGAACAATCGATAGCCACTACCTTAAAAGATTATCTGGGTCGGTAATAATGAAAAGAAATAGTCATTTTCCTATTCCATTTCTATTTCCAAGCTTCAGGGTATCAGCCATAACAGTTTATTAAAACATGTACCCTCACATCTCACTCTGAAAATAAAATAAAACTGCACAAGCAATATCACTAAAGCCAGCTGCTTCGGGCTTGAAAACGTTGAATTTTCCTTGCAACAGCCTCGTATTTTCCTAATACAATTTGATGTTGCTTTTATTGAAATAGAAGCTTTGACAAATTGGAAAATGACTCGCCACGTGTGAGGGCAATATAAGCTGCAGTCTGTGATTCATGTAGGGACGTCAAACGGTCGAATGACTCTTTGAATTTTGCCCACGCCTTGTGCGCGTCACTTCATACTTAAGCACTTTGTTGATTGAATTTCATTGATATATCACCTTCCATCGATCATTTTAATGTCTTTTAACATATGTATATGTATTGATGTTTTGAACTATTTTATGTTCAAAATTATTTTATGATACGTTGTTTTTCGTTAAATACACAATTTCTAAAAACTAGAGAAATTCTCCTGCTATGCATCTCTAAATGTAGATGTTGTAACGTTTCGATATAATCTGAGTTTAATGCAGAAGTCGCCGTTTGAATACAAAGTTTATAGATCTGAACGTGGAGTGTCGTTGGGTCAACGCGAGGTCACCCAGAAACACGTGCATTGCTCCACACCGTGTTCGTTGACTTGATGCGGTACCGTAAAGTGCACAATAATACCAGTTAATAAAAGAAATGAATATTTTGTTCCAGCAGCAATATGAAATTTTACTTCCACATTTGCAATTCTTAAACAATTACTTGATGTTTGTTGACATGTAAAAATTTTATCTTGTGAGTGTCTGCTGACTTGAAACATCTGACGAGATATTTTACCAATTTACTTGTACCGTAGCCTGGCGTAGGTAACAATAATACCTTCCTCGCGTGGCTGTCTGGCGTCGCGTGATTAATTCTGGCTTTTGTTGGAGTGCCCCTGCTCCTACACAAAAGGTGGGATGCATTAGAATTCCCATTTGTGTTTACTGTTCAGGGTTCTCAAGTGTCTCAAGTACAAGTGTGAATAAAGTTGAAAGTCCCTTGCTCATGAACTGCACAAATATTACGTCACCTTAAAGCTCTTCGTGTGTCAGTTAGTCTTTGTTTATTATTATCAAATTATTCATTCTAATGTATGTTACTTATATCTAATAAATAAACATTAATACTGTCTTCATAGAGGATTCTAATGTCGCCATAGTGTCGCAGTCGTGACCTATGAATTCATTATTCTATGGCGCTTTGATATATTAGGTCAACTGTCCCTCGATCTACATCATTCAAACTAAATATTAAGTGTTTCAACTTCTTTGTGTATCATACGTTAAGTACAAGGGCATAATGTACTTATACATAGATGGAAAATACTGTGCCCAAGGGAAGGGACTCGAACCAATAATTGTTTCGAAGCAGTAAACAATTTTGAACTTATGAAAAATATATTTCAAGTTCATATGAAGTTAGTCCCTAATGTTGAACTGTATTTAAAATATTTTCTCTACCTAATAGTTGGCTGATGATAGAACTCATTAGAACTGTAGCACTGATAAACATTAACAAAGACCTAAACAAGTATATAAAATCATTTGCTATCGATAAAAACCGGTCCATTGCACAGACAATTGCTCAAGTGTTTATATTAACATTGTAAAGGGCACTTAGGCAGTTTCCTTCACACGCAATGCAGTAGTTTCCCTTTAGTAACAGCTAATTCGATTTTTATTGCAGTCTTCATTCGTAAAGGTATTTCTGATATTGTTACCGCGTTGACTTAGTTAAATCTTACGATAGTTGTGGTGAAAGAGGTATTTTTGTATTATGTTTTATCTATTTCTATGATATGATACTTTTCGTTCCTTTAGAAAAATGCCACCTAACAACTAAAACGAAAAAACCGTACCGAAGAAACTTGTAATTTACCGTCCTTTGCCCGGAATGTTTTGATTTACTTGGCTTAACCTTAATTCCTTCATTATGGCAGCATAATATTAGCGTTGCAAAGCTTTAAGTAGGTGTAGGCGGATGTTACAAAATTATTTGCCATGTTGAAACTAGGTAAAATGGAACATTTTTGGCATTTGGCTTTTTAGGCGAAATTTTGCACGTAACCTTTGTGAATTTTTATGTGCTACCATCTCGAATATGAGGTAATAATGTCCCAGACGAGAGCCGGCTCATCGTAATAAGCTAACCATAAATGACGTCATAGTTCCTTTCGCCCTTGAGCTAGATGAAATATGGGTTTAATATAATAGTAAGTACAAGATCGTGTACAGCTGGCAAGGAGGGAAGGGCATGTAAGGAAAGACAAGCCTGGCTTTCCAAAATACCTTTCCCCTTTTATAGAACAGCCTTCATTTTGCAGTCTCTGATATCCCTTTGTTTTTTATTATATTTGTGAAGTGGCTCGCCATTGTTGCGAAGCGCACAACATTTTTTATTTCAAGTTCAACCCTGGCATTCTTTTTATGACGACCTTTACTTACCCGACTTCTTGTATTTACCAAAGGTAATAGTGAAACTCTCCAATTATTTTGGTACGCTTATCTTACGACATAAAGTATAACAAAGCATTTTTGTAAGGCAGAACCGTCCATATTATGAAGGCTTTTTAGTTTTACTCATAACGCAAACTAGAAAATGATTCATTATTTCTTACACCTTTTACGTCACGCACTAGGATTATTATGTAGGTACTGACAACGATATGTAAGTCGTAATTATGGTCGAAATATTTCCTAGTTCTTTGTTTTATTACGTTGGTACGTGGTATTTGATCGCGGTATCTTGAAGACTGGTTTTATTACTATTTAATGTACTTGTACCGTGACTAAGCTGCTGTTTATGAGTATTTACCGTGTGCATAGTGACCCTTTGTTTTTAATTTGAATGGGTATTAAACATGTTATGATACTTTATTCTGATAATTGTCATTTATTGCTTATTGTTTTATTAAAACATTGAAACGAGGATGTTTAAGGAAATATTCAGTAACTGTTTCGTAAGCAAAAGAAACTGGTTTTGGTTTTTATGCTAGGTTCTCAATGGTTGTTTGAAATCATTTGGGTAATAATCACGTGTTTGCCGTATGATTCGTTCGTATGATTCTCGATTTTATTAATACATTTGCATTAGATAGTTTTAGTAATGTTAAATTAATAATTTAGCAACATTGCAATAATTTATGTACAACTATTAATTTTAATTATGGTTGTGATTAAACTGCTGTAAGTAATGATTGCTGAGAATGTAAATTGAATATAAGTGTTAGATTTTGCGACATTTTTGCATTACCTATTACGAACCTATACATTACGATTTGCAGTAATAGGCTTGCATAAAGCGTGAATACTGACACAAATCAACAATGAGCGGGATTAACGAAGTAATGTCAAGTTGATATCAATAAAAAATGCAATTTAATCAATTAGTTGTTCAATATATTGTTACATACATCTGTTGACACAACAATGCAATCGATACGGCAAACTCAATGATTCAGAACGGGGCTGTTACCGATTGGAACGGAACTTAAAATTATAACCGTTTAAATTTTAACGGTCGTGTGTGAACGCTCCCGCGTGGGTAGTCAGATGTTAGTCAGACAATTTGAGGGGTCAATTCTGCAACGGTCATAATGTTGCTCGAGTGTTCCTTTTTTTAAACATTTCACTTCGATTGCATCAGCCAGCATCTAAATAGTTTTAAAAAGAGGTGATATTACTTATTTATACAAATTTTCTAAAGGATTTCGTAGTCATATCGCATCATAGATTTGCTTACTTCGTGTTCTGCGTGAAATAGTCGCATTTTATGAAATGGTTGACTGTCTATAGGCCACATGGAGATGCGGTCTTGTCAGATCGTGCGTGCAATGTCGCAGCCCGTTGCTAAAGTGTATTGCGAAGTTATCAAATCTACGATGTCGGTGTGGCCACGCCAGAGACACCATCCTATTTTTATTATACCTAACTTACTAGCCTTTTCTCCTGTTTTGTGTCTAACTTACAATTTGACTTTCACAACACAATCAGGCTCGGAACAACAGTATCTGGATACACAAAGAGTTGTTCCATGCGGAAATCGAGCCCGCCATACGTTGCACGACACCCGGCAACCCAGCCACTGCGACAACAGTGTCACGCTCTGTTTTGTCAAAACGGACTATTTGGAAACTTGTATTATAGGGAACCACGAACGTTGCTATTACTCTTTAAGCTGTAGATAAGTACTTTGTTTTAAATCGATACGTAGGTAAACAAACGTTTTTAAAAATGTAACCTTATGTTGAAAAGGGTAAAAACATGCGGCAACAGTAATTCTTGCTTTGGCTTGATGTATGCAAAGGTGATTCCGCCTTCCGTTTTTAGGCAAAACAGGCCAACGAGGTTGAACGCACGCTCAAAGATCTCTCATACTAGCTAGGGGAGAACAAAGAACTTCTAAAATATTACAAACTAAACTCAAGTGCTCTAACTATTAGGGCTAATTTTGTTCGCCGTCCAACCTTAGGAGTTATTACTCATTTTAGGCTTTATTGTTAGTGGAATAACGTTTCAAACTTTAGGGCACTTATCTCAGACTATAGTTTGCATATTGCTGTGTAGGTTTGCTCTTGACTTTAGTGTCTAATAAGGGAACCACTTTCTATGATGTCTCCACTTTGTTTGTTTTGAATTCATGTACTATGTACTTTAATGATATAAGTACTTACTTGCGATAACTGAGGGTATAAATATAACGGATTTCGAATGCGAAGTTTGAGACTGCTTTTAAAAGATTGTGCTTGCATAGAGGTATCAAAATATGTGATATTGTTCTGGAAATTGTTGCTTTTAATTACATGTAAGAGTTTCCAATCGTACAGAACCCTGTATCTGGAATTAAATAAACAAAAATGGACAGAAATCCATCATAAATAGGTAGATAACGTAAACCGTTGAATATGAACGAATGTCTTCGTATCGATCCGTGCTCCCTACAAGGAAACTTGATCCTCACGGAACCTTGAGATGAACAAAAAGCAATTCAATTTAAATCTACGACTTTTTGTTTCATTCCGTGATCCTGTAGTCGTGACAGACATCGGGATTATGTTATAGGGAACTTGTTTAAGTATTGTTATTAGTTACTAATAAATTGACAATAAGTAACTACCTACAAAACGATTAGGTAGTATCTTCTACTCGTTAAATTTTTTTGTATAAAGTATCTAACCTACTTATCTATAAGATGTTAAGCCTACACGGTTCAGAAAAAAAAAACTAAAATTTTATTATCTGTTGTATTTCATATCTCTCAGTGATTGCAAAAAACATTTATTACTGATAAAATCGCAGTTAAATATACAATACAAATATGATATCTATACGTAGGTAACGTATCTTCTATATACTGGTTATCTATTTTGGCAAGATTAACACCGGCCTCGGTGGCGCAGTAGGCAGCGCGTAAGTCTCATAATCTTAAGGTCGTGAGTTCGATCCTCACCCGGGGCATATCTTTTTGTTAATTTTTATTTACTTTTTCATCGAAATCAAAGTTTGTTTTTAATTTTTTTAGTACTTTTTAGAGAAATAAAGTAGAATAATTGATTGTTTTGTGACGTATAATAATTTACTGAATATTTTTATTTTTTGTGTGACTTATTGTCAAAGTTCTAAGAAAAATTTGCACAAGTTATAAAAGTCCTTGGGGAAGGACTTTAGAACCTCCAACCAATTTGACCTCCAGACGTCGCCAAGATGTTTTATGAGGTTTTTATTTGTTTCTTTGTCGTGTGACTACTTATACAGTATTTATTTGGTAGGTTGGTAGGTATATATAATTTTGTGCTACAGTGCAATACAACAGAAGAATATTATCGTATTTCTTACATTTATTTTTCTATTTATTCAAAATTAACTTACTTTATGTCTTTTTTAAACTCGCGCACCCAATCCATTCCTCGATTCTGTTTTAAATGTTTAATCTCTATGCTTTGCATTTTCCAGGGCTGGCCATTATGGGACCGAGTGGAGTCAACGGAGCATGAGAGACGGTTGTTACTGGTGGCTCGGTTGCCGCACGTAAGAACCCTAAACGGAGGCGGGGCGGTGCCAATCGAAGAGAGAGATGCGGCCGAGAGAGCCTTCATTCGATACTACATGGAGAAACCTGAATCGGACCGCCCTGATAGGTATGCTAATTTGTGACTCCGATGAAGGTGATTGGTTACCTGGTGAAAAGTTAAGTGTGGGAGAGCCATGCTTCGGCACGAATGGGTCGGCTCGACCGGAGTGCTACCACGGCCTCACAGAAAACCGGCGTGAAATAACCACCGCGTTTGCCGTGCGAGTGAGGTTACCGGAGGCCCAAGTTTTTCCTAATCTCCAAATCCCTAATCCCTAAAAGGTCGGCAACGCACTCGTAACTCCTCCGTTGCGAGTGTCCATGGGCGGCGCTGATTGCTTACCATCAGGTAATCCGTCTGCTCGTTTGCCGATATATTACATAAAAAAAATCTATTTTCTCAATAACGACTTATGGTGTAGTTTGAGATCATCTTCGTAAGTAGTATAGACAAGTATATACATCTTTACTGCAACCTGTTTCTCGTAGTCCAAAAGTAACAATTTTTTAAGTCTGCCACCGTGGGCTAGTGGTGAAAATGCAGGTATATGTAGAGGTATCTACATGGCTCAATGTTTGATCCGATTTTTCTCAGACCGTTGTTTATTTATTTATTTATTATCCAATAACATACTTGGTTTATTGATATCATTTATTCCGATATGGTTTTGAATGTTGACATTGACGCCGGTTTCGTCTGAGCAAGTAGGTACTAAGTATATTAAAACAGTAAAGATTTTCATATTCAAGAGATAGCGTCATAATGATATTTTAACTTCGATAATACCTAAATAGTTCATAAAATAGACTAGCAGCTTTTTTAATGTCAATGTTCTTAGGTCAAGCAAAGGTTGACTGAAAGAAAATGCCAAAGACTATAGACTTGTGGACCTTTATAAAGCAAAGAAACATTGTCGTTACGGGACGTGTCGTGTCGCGTGAAAAACTTATTGGTTTCATACATTAACTGCGTGTATTATATACCTGTGTTTCCAACAAATAATTATCTTTTATCTTGTATTGCTCATAGGGCTAATAGACCACCACAGACAGGGCCCTACAAAGCCGATGTTCAGCCGGGGTTGTGGGGCAAGCGCAATAAGTTACCGCGGTCTCGGCCTAAAGCAGGAAAAAAACAGGGGGTTTTTAGTCAGTAAATGTCTGACACTCCCTCTCGCCTTACCCTGGGCGAGAGAAGCCATTTGATGATAATGAACCTCTGCCAAGTCAGAATTAATTGCCCGTAAATATTATGTAATACATATATACAAATGGTTAATAACTCACAAGAATAACCTGCCTATATATTGTAAAGCACGCTTAATAGACACCACAATGGCCATAGGTATACATTACTTCGAAATGAGAAAGATTAGTCCGAAGGTTCATTCAATAACGCACGGTGGGGGCGAGGTCTCTGCCAATATGAAGTGCTGACCTAAATGACTAAATGCAAATGCTAATGAGACCTAGTGCCGACGTAGGAGTGCATAAACAAAATAATCCTCCCGCGCTTTATTTTATTACTATTACAAATGTTCGTGGCTCCTTTATAGGCTGACTTTATTACCAAGTTATTTGTAGATTACATTTTTTAACCATGTTTAAATGTGTATGTAAAGGCACAGGTGTAATTACGTTTCTTTCTGCTGACAAATGTTTGCAATCAGAAATCTAATAAGTACCAGTACCTCGTACTTAAACTGCATTATACTTTTCCCAATCGAAATTTTTGGGTAGGTCAGCTTGACTCCAACCAAATTCCTTTTTAAGAACGTTGCTCGACACTGACTAATATTTTCTCCTGTGTCCTGAGTGCGCTCACAAAAACATCGCATCCACATGAATAAAAATGGGTCAATCACTCAAAGAATTGTTTCATGCTGTTATCAAACTGGCAACTCATTGCACCGCAGCTATTGACCAAGCTAATGTGCAAAGAATGCAGTCAAACTACCAAATTCTATAGTATTTACTTTGAACACTTTCAGATATTGGGAGTTGGTGAGTGTCCACGGTAAACTGGATCCTCTGGTGTCTGTGGACCTTAGGCCAGAGAAGCGCGTGCAGATCACCTTTACGTGTGGCGACCACAGCGAAGTACGCACCGTTGACGTCTACAGGTAACTTTGTGCCAACATCCAATATTTTCTACTTACCTAAGATTACAGATAGAAGGCCTTTACATACCTAGAAACATTAAGGTATATTTTTACGTCTTATTATTCGGCAAGATTATAATTCAACTAAGCTGCAGAATTATGCATGTGTAGGTATTTTAACGCCTTCTTCTCCTCCCCAATCGCTAAATCGTCAAAACACCTCTGGTGTTTCGGGTGTCTATGGGCGGCAATTGACGCTGACGGGTTACCATCTGTAATCTGTCTGCTGGTTTGCTCTTGTCAACCGGCCTTATCACAAAAAAACCACTTGTAGCTAGAAAAGAATCCAACTCATAAACCCAACAGTACTTTGTTTAATGCTAGAATCGAACGTGAAATCAAAGAAGACAAACTTAGGTACCTACCTACTATTAGTTACAGAATTTTTATTATTTTTCTGTAAATTAATGAAAACATTATTATTGTTTTTAGAACCGTATCTGACTTGAAAACGCGGCTAGAAAGAATGGCTGGTTTCCCCGCTTCTAAAATGAGACTCTTCTACGTCGACCAAGAACTACGAGATTCTCAGGTGAAAGTTACAACTTTATTGGTTTTATTTGTAATTTGATTTGCATGACAAAAAGGAGAGATTGAAGTTTTTACATTACCTATTTTTAATCTTTGGTTTAATTTTGTAATTGTTTCTGGTTGGTTGGTTTTTAATATAACATTATCATAATCAATCACTTTGTACCTACATTAAACCCAATGAATTTCACAAAAATTAAAGGTTGATGAAAAATACAATAAAATACATATACTTACCTAATATTCGGCCACCTTCCATCCAGATATTAATGCTACATTAACCTAAGTGTGCTTTTGTTTACTATTAACAGTTTACATTATTTCTAAAGCCTTTTCAGGGTCCTGAGGAAATGAGGTACCCTACTAAGCAGCTGTACTCCTACAACATCAGGTCCGGAGACGAGATCATCATAGACTCCAAGTTGAAACACTCGATTTCCGCCAACTCTACGGCGTGAGACGGCGGAACAATACAATGTCGGCTGCATTTCTACATTATACCTAATACTACACTACTTATTCAAACAAAATAAATAAATTACCCTTTCGAGGAATTAAGACTGAGAAAAGGCCAGTCTTACTTGAATCATTTCAATAAGTCTAATTTTTTTAAGCGTTAATAATGGCGTTAGGTACTGTTATTCAAAGAGGTGCAACTGACAAACAATAATCTATCTTATTGCCTAGAAATGCCATTTCATACAATTTTGTGTTACTATTCGTCTACTAACATTGATATACGGATGTAGATTTTAGTTATATTTTTTATAAGAAATCATTTCTGTTGTCTCCATGTGAATTATTTTAGAAGTAATATCGCAAAGTATTATAAATAATAGGAAATGTCAACGGTTGTCACAAAGCATTTAGTTTTTAAGGATTATCGCAAGCTTTGAGCTTAAAATGGAATATTTTTATTTACAGAATTATATTTTTAATGATACAATTTATCATACAACTGAAATTCTTAAGAAGACTCTGAATCATGGCTTATATTTTATTACTAAATTATTGAGTAAATTGTTCATGACATGTCTAATTAAACTGTACGTTTTTTATTTGCAATAAAGCAACTGTGATAGTAAATTTTAGATCGCAAAATCTGAGATTAAACTATTTATATCGGAATCTTATTGTTGCATATTACTACCGTATGTAGTGGTTCTCCTCAAACAACATCTATCAAACATTGAACTTTTATTAGGTGTTGTAAACGTGCTTATTAACATTAAGTGATACTAACTGCCATGTCGAATTATGATGTATACCTATTGTGTCTTTTAGGTATCCTAAGAATGTAAAATTAATATCATCCAATATTTTTTATCTTACGACTCTTGGTACTGCCAGTGCCAAAAGTGTATTCAATTTAGAAATATTTTTAATTCTGTAGCTGCCAAATTTTGAAAAATATAATGCATATTTAGCTAATTCTAGCACTGGCCCTCAGTTTACAGAACCGTGATAATTTGTTTCGACGCAAAATTACAATGTAGTTACATATTTTTCTTTATAATAGGACCATAGAAAATAGTATCAAAATGAAAAATAAATGGAATAATTGTATGAAAATAATGGTTTTATTTATTAATATCACAGCCCATCAACACGTAGTATTACATTGTAAGTATTTAATCTGATATGAACAATCTTTTGCCATAAACAGCTATCATGGCATTTTGTACTTGCTCTGTAACATGATCATATACTTTTAGCCAATCATTGCAACCAATTTCTCTAGTCATTCTTCTTAGAAAATTCATTAAAACAAACAGTTTTTCTGTATTCTTATTAACTACCATTTGTTGTAAATAATCAACTATCATGTCAACATCACATTGAAGTGGGCTCTGTCCACTCTCGAGCCATGCTCTTAGCAACTCCCTAACTTTATCCCAAGGCAATCCTAACAAGCCTGTAGGTCTAGGCTTTTCTGTTTTGTGTGGTAACTCTTTGGAAATATCTTTTATCATTGGGTCTTTATATGGCAAGTCTCTTGTTGCATTTTGGCCTTGCAGGAATTTACTCAAAGCATTCTTTGTTGAGGACTGCTGGATTTTCATGCCTTTTGGCGGCCTGCCCCTTCTTTTAGCAATGGGTGATTTCTTCGGTGATGTAGTAGATTCATTCGTTGTTGGTTTTTTAATAGACTCTGCAACCTCAGTAGTTTTGGTTCTACTAATAGGTTCCAGTTTTACCTCAGTTTCTTTTTTGACAGCTTTATTATTTGTCAAAAACTTGCTTATTGATCCTTTTGATGGTTTACTATTAATAGATTCCAGCTTAGTAACTTGTATTCCAATACCCCTCATTTCTTTAGGGTCTATATTTTGCTTCTTACAAATTGAGATTACTTCTCTTGTAATAATCTCAACATCATTGGTTGCAGTGCTTAATGAAGTTGATTTATTAATAATATTGCAAAAACCATGTCCCATGAACTTAGCAGTTTCTACAGGGGCTTCTTCATCTCTAACCATCAGTTTCAGTGTTATACATTTTCCTACAACTTTAAATTGCTGCATTCTGGAGTGTACTTCAGTCGACAATTGTTTTAAAAATTCTATACATTGATTTTCATTTTCAAATCTTATTCCATAGTTTACTTCTGCAGATACTGATTTCCTTACTGTATAAAAATTCAAAGGGTTTGGATCACGGCCACGACATTGGTCAAATAATTGAGCACCACTCTTAACTCCTAGCTGGCATTTCAATGTAGCCAATGATAAAGTTTGGAGTGAACCACATGTCACATGGCCTAATGATTCCAATTTCTGTGCTGTCTGCCTGCCTACACCAGGTAAATCACTTAGATTTATTTCAAATATAAAATCTTCAACCAGATCTTCTGTAAGAAAGAACTGACCATCTGGTTTTGCCTTCTTAGTAGCTAATCTGGCTTGCAACCTATTACCTCCAAATCCAGTGGAGCATGGACATCCTGTTTTATGTTTTATTTCCTCTCTCAACATTGTAGCAAAACTTTGAACATTTACATTCATATCAGCTAGTAGCTCAGTACAATCTACATACATCTCATCACAGGAGACGGCTTCTATATCTAGAGTATACTGTGCAATAGTATTGTACAAGGTATAAGCAACTTCTTTATATCCATCAAAATCATATGGTATAGTTTGCAAATCTGGGCACAATCGTAGAGCTGCACCCATAAACATGCCATTTTTTATTCCTTTAGCTCTAGCTTCATAAGAACAAGAGGCTATTTCACTCATAGAACCATACTTGTCATCCTCATCAGTAATGTTGTCGACTCGGCTCTCAAAAACAATCTCATCTTCTGGCTTTCCAGTGGCTATACCAATTTTTTTCATTTGTTTCTGTTTGTATAGACCAAACTCTGTGTTTCTGTCAACACCTGGCCTTTTGGGCCTACCTTGCCCACCTTTAGAGTGAGTTACAGCAATGGGTTTACCCCGAAGATCAGGTCTATTTCGTAGACCAACAGAAACAAAGAAACAATCCATGTCAATGTGCATGATAACCTTATTTTTCTCAAATTTTAACTGAGAAAAATTGTTGTGTTCATATTTAGATAAAATTGTATTTTTTAAATCTATTCTGGCCGGAAATGTGAAACTACTATTTTCTCTTAAATCATTAACATGTTGTTTGAAACATGCACCTAACTGTGATATATGATGTAGTCTGGAATTATTATAAAATTCTGAAATAAAATTAGGGTCAGCTGCTGTTTTAGCCACTGTATTTTGTTTGTATTGTTTGGAATCCTCATTGAAAAGGGTTTTTTCTTCACTTTTTTGTAACAAAACCATGTTGGAGGTAGATTGTATTGGATCATTTGAAATCGGTTTAAGTTCTTCTTCAGTTTTATGTTCTGTTTTGAAATCTAAATTAGTCTTTTCCAAAAAGGTATCTTGAATATTATTTAGAAATAAACTGCTATTCTCGCTATTCTTTGTTTCACTAAGTGAATAAGCATCATTTTTCAGAACTTTCTTAAAGTTTAGCTGTTTTTGTGTTCTAGAATTTTTGTATAGTAAGTAGTCTCTATAATCAAGCAAGCGATTAGAGGCTATACTCTCAGTTATCCATTCGGGTCTCACAACTTTAACAAGTGACATATTTTTCACTTTTGTATCAGGTAAGTTTGAAGCTATAATGTAATCATCACTTTTTTGGTACGTATGATAAATACCGCCGTGCTTCGTCATCAAAACTTTTAATTCGTCTGCAGAAGGAATAGTGAAGCCATTTACATAAATACTCACACCATTGAAAATATTAGATAGGGTATCTTCTGTTCCAGCCCGTGCACTAAACTGTTCTTCTAATTTGGCAATTTTAGCGTGCATATAACCACCCCACGCTTCGAAACCATTATCTGGAAACTTTTCATCTCTACGTCTCATTTTTAAAGGTATTCTAAGGCATTCGTATTATTCAAACATAATATTTGTTTACGGCGCCAGCGCCAAACCGCAATGACAGGTTGACAGGATATGAATGACAGATATAACAAAAACTTTTGACGTTTCATTTTCATTGACAAAAGAAGAGATGTACTGGGAGTAGACCTGTATAAAAACCGAAAAGCCGCTTATTTATTAACCGATGTTTTTTAAAAAAACCATTGTAGAAATATTGAAATATTTATATAAAATGTTTGTACTTAGATCAATTTCTTAATGTAATATAAAACATTTCACATTTGATTTGAGGCTTTATATAAATTATATATTTTTTTCCGGGTCGTGGATACTTTATTGCGAAAACTATTAAAATATTACCTACGAAATACAATAAATAATACATTGGCCGCGACTGAATAATTTTACTGATCTAATCATTTCCTTTGACACGTTTTTATAAATTTCATATAAAACCTTATCAATCTATGGCCATAAAATGACAAATATAACATATAGCACTATAAAAATAACAGTTTACTCCAGACTGTCAGTCGAGTCGTACGGTTTGGATACATTTTGCCGCGAAAATGTTGCGGCTTATTTTAATTTTTAATGTACTTTGTATATTTTTTGTGGCCAGTTTGAATATCGTCAATCCCGGTCCACAGTACCCACCGACGAAAGGGGAAGTGTGGCCAAAACCGCAACAGCAGATAAAACAACAGACTTATTTTAAACTATCACCTTCAGTTTTTAAATTTACGGTAAGTTATGAAATAAACTTTATCCTTTTAGGTACCAAAATTATTGGCTAAATCATTTTTAATAAATTATTTGACTAAATTAAACGAATATAGGTCATTAATATTAAAATCTTGCACCAAAATCGGAACCTACCATTGTTAAAAGTATTGATTTTTATCGTACCTACTGCTGCAAGAATAGATCTACTTACTGGTCATTGTACTTTCATATCGACACAAATAATTTCGTCTCGAGTATCTAATTATCTAATTGTGTTTATATTTAATAAAGTATTCGAGAGATAAGACAAAATATAATAAGTTAATTTTATTAAAAATGAATTGGGGATCAAAGTAGAAATTTACATTTTAAATACCTACTTAAATAATACCCTTAAAAATACCAACTAAATTAAATAACAAATGCAGTTAGACGACGTACATTTATATTCTACCAAACAAAGCAACGTCCCGCCCCTTCCTATTCGCAGAAAATATTTCATTTAGGTACACGAACTTTTATTCCGACGATTACGTTTACAACGTACTATAGACCTAATACTTACATACATGTTCATTCAGTTCTATTATGAATCTTCATTAATTTTCTCGTACCTAATTTACGTCGTTAACAAACCGTCCTTGATTACTCAGTGCTTGATTGATTCATCTGTATCTTTTGTAATAATGAGAATACAATTTTTAACAATTAAGTAAGTATATAAAAATCTATTGAAATTGTCCGTTGACATTATTTATTTAAGCAACGTTATTTCGAATAGGTACCCACGAAATCAATAGCTGCAATTAGGTACCTACCTATAATCTTCAATTATTCATATTTACTACCATTGTTTCACACCATAAATCAAGATTTCTCGGCTTTGTTTAGCCTGTGCGGGATTTTAAATACCAGTTTTTCTCGATTGATTAAAAAGAAATTAATAACGGTAGGTATGACACATAATATGGTACCTAATCATATTTTTTTAACGATATAAAAAGTCAGCTGGGGTCGCAAGGCAAGCGCAATGAGGCACCGTGGCCTCGGCCCAGAGAAGGAGAAGGAACAGTTTCAGTCAGTCAATCAATTATTACGATGTTTCCATTGAATTAAAGGGTTCCCCGTATAGCTATGCACAGCAGATGGATTCCAGACTAGACTACTACTCTCAGCTTAGCGTCCTTCAACCAGCTTTCGCTAGCCACCGCTCGGATATCCTCCGTGTTCTTGAGGTGGCCCACACATCGCTTGCCAGTGCTAGGATCTCTGATCATTTATTAATCGTCTTTGTCCACCATCCTTACAACACGCCAGGCGTGTTGATTGCGCCTGTAAACTGCCGTGAAATAACCACAGCGTTGTGTTTCGCCGTGTGAGTGAGGTCATCGGAGGATACATCGGAGGTTACATCCTTCCCCAGTCCTTAAATATCAAAAAGCCTAATCACCAAAAGGTCGGCAACGCACTCGTAATTCTTTTGGTGTTGCTTAGGTCCACGTGCGGTGCCATGATGGCTTACCATCATATAATCCGTCTGCTCGTTTGTCGACCTATCTTACAAAAAACTTCGAATGTTAATCAGCGTCAAACGTTAAAGAACGATGGCAGATTAAAATCTAGTCGTTTTTACTTTTATGCACAATTTTTTTGCTTATGTGAGGCAAAGCAGTCCACAACAGTCAAGTGCTGTCGTTGTTAGTTTGATGCGCAATTTAGACGTAATAACCTCTGTGTTTAAAGACCAATATTTTTTCTATGCTAAGCCGATCCTTCCTTCCACTCATTGCTCGTCTATAACATCTAAAAGATTTGTCATTTTGTTTTATCAACATTTGTTTCTATTCCTTATTATTCTAATACCTACTTTGTAAATATATATGTTAGCGTTTCATGGAGATCTTCAACGGTAGCACCGTTGGTAGTAATACCATGTCGTCCGCAAAGTGCATATAATTCATGTATTTCGAGTATTTTGTGTCGTTAATTTGCCAGTTTCGTTGCCTGAGAATGAAATCCAATATTTGATTCATTTGTTTTAATTTAAATATAACTGTTTTATGTTATGTACATCATTATCTTTACACAAGACTAGTTTCGTTAACTTCCCACTTAACCCTAAGGTCATAAAATAATCTATTGAATCGGCGTTATTTTACGGAAATCCATGACATTTAATGTTATGAAAAATATCTAGTTTTAAGTCCGCAAAAATGCAGGCTTGTTGCAGGATGCAATCCCACCCCATGCAATCATACATATACATATGCAGTAAAGGAGCATATGCAGAAAAACATGCCACGCAATGAAACCTATACTCGACACGAGCTTAGGTTGATGTTGCGCTCGGCTTCGAATTCGAAGAAGAGCGCTTGTCGAGTCAATATCTCCTGAGGATGCCCTGTGGAAGGGCGAAACACATGTCGAGAATAGGTTTGATTGTGTGGCATGATTTTCCGTTTTTTTGCATGTGAGCGGATGGGTTGACGACGACAAGTTATTTGATGATTTTCTCCTCACAAAAAAAGGCGAGAGACGTAATGTAATGATTATTCCTTCACAAAAAAGCCTGTTCTGTGGGTGCGTAGTTAGGTACTGTGACAATGATTTCTGAAAAAAAATCAACCCCATAGTCTTCGTAAAACTGGTCAACAACGTCAAATTAAACGTGATTGTGGAAGCTGATAAAACTCAATCTATGGCTGAATTAGCAGTAAAACAATCTTAGTCCATTTGCGTCAAATAAATTGGCAAAGTTAAAAAATCTTGACAAATGGGGACTTGACGAACTCAATGATCGCCAGCGCGAACTACGAGTCGAGATGTGCCGTGCTCTGCTCAGCAGGCATATAAATGAAGGAATTCTGAACCGTAAACGTATTTCAGCTGCCAAATAATGTCCTAAAGGAAAACTTATGTGATTTACTGAAAGTGGTGTAAGCGGATGTAATTCATTGCAGCTTCTTACCAAACGGGACGAGCATAACTGCTAATGTGTACTGTGAAGACCTGAACATCATGATAATTAAGCTCGCTAGTTTTGTCCGCCAACTTTGCCCAATCGTACGGCTTCACTACTCCTGCACACCAACGCGCAACTTTATTCTGCAAAGTAGCCGGACTCTAATCTATAAGAGCTGGGTTGTAACTCTTCCATCGAACGTCCTCATTAGACTATGCGCTTACAGAATATGTTAAGCTACCTCCAGAATTTGGATTAGTATTGAAGTATTGGATATAGGTTTAATAAGCCGAGGATTTTTTTAAATCCCGTCCAGCAGATTTCTTCAAGAAGGGAAATTAATAAGCTATTAAGGCAAATATGATTGCAAGCGTGATTTTATTTGATTACTTAATAGAAACAAAAATGTTACATACAATACGCTGATATACATTGTTTCTATAACATTGGTGTTCGGTATGTGAGATTCCACACAAAAAGAAAAATCTTATTTAATGTTTATATATATGATATAATTCTTCAAGGATTTTTTCCCAAGTTTTCTATGAATTCAATTGTTCTGAATAGAATGTGAATGTGAAATATGCATATAATTAGGTTTATTACCTGACTAGGAGGTATAATACTGTTATTGTTTGATAGTTAGGCAAGTTTTCCTTCCTTATTTATTATTGTAACTACCTGGGTCTCTACATCTAACATTAACATTAACGGCAGCTAAATTAACCTATACATATACCTACATAACATTTTTTTTGACACAACATAAGAACTTCTTCCGAAATAGTATGTACCTATAGCATAATGCATTTTTAGAGTAGTTGGAAAGTTAAGATAACCTCCGGTTTTAAGATGCGCTTGCGACTTTTTGTGGTGCAGCTTCTTATAACGGCCTTATACAGTGCACTAATCACTGTTACGGTCAGCTCTAGCGGCTTTATGACATTGCACTAGTTGTTTTAGTTGTTTGTGTGAGGCCATCATCACCATCATCATCAGCCTATAAGTGCCCAATGCTAAGCAAAGGCCTTTTCTCACAAGGAGAAGGTTTGAGCATGAGATCGGTGATTTCGGACTTATATAATTACAATGCGGCCACAACGGCCCATGGCGTTAAGTCCGCCATTGTACATTGTGCAAAAAGTATAAATAAATAAATAACAAATTAGAAAATATAAGTCCAGGTTTCCTCACGATGTGTTTCTTCGCTGTATGTCAATTGTGTCTAAATAATCTTAGAAAGTACATATAACGGAAAACGGAACGAAAACGAAATCGGAAAAAGTCACATTGGTACTTGCCAAGTTCCGAAACCGGAGGTTAAGACGCCCCATGCATGAGGGTTCATGCAAGGGGCGTCTTAACCTCCGGGCCACCACGACGCCACCTTTTATTTGCGTGAGTTGCTGATGCAGATATAGCGACTATACACAGAGTTGGAATAAATTTAATTTTCCGTTAGAGGCGCTGATGTGAGGTTTGCAACCCCTGGAAATACATCTCGCGAATTTGCGTTAGCAAAAGAGCGGCGTAGGTATTTGTTACTGCCGGGGTTGCGAGGTAAGCGCGAAGAGGCACCGCTACCTCGGCCCAGAGCAGAAGAAGGAACGGGGGGGTTTGGTCAATAAGAGTCTGACACTCTCTCTCGCCCTACCCTGGGCGGGGGAGACATTATGATTTTCCCCTGACAAAAAAAAAATACTGGTTTTTTCACCGGAGACACTGAATTCAATTAGTAGCTGTTTTACCAGTACAATGACTGTTTTTACAGTGGCTTATAGTCTAAAGATGCGAGCTGCAGTAGCTACTTATACTTTCCAAAGTTTCCGATACGATGTCATCAATACATACTAAACCACTCAATGTTTACGGTACTATATTCACATTCTATAGTAACTAAAAAGTGGAATTGTGTAGTTTAGAAACGTAACAAGAATCGTAACGTAAAAACAGAAACATGCCTAAATCTTAGAAAACATTGAGAAGTTTTGTTTGGCCTATTAATAGCACAACACAATACAAATAGAACACAAAAACCTGGTTAGAAAAAATTTTAAAACATGGTTCAATTTTTATTATAACTTTCGTGAGACATTCTAAATTACTTATTACATATGTTTTCGGCTTACTCACAATCAAATTTATTAATCAAGAATAATAATTTGATGAGATATGCACTCGACTAGTTTCAAGCCATGCTAGAGGCCCATATTTATGAGCAGCATTCCGCGGAATGTCGCGTGTCGGGGATGGCTTGAAACTAGTCGAGTAATCTCATCAAGTTATTACGTGAATAAGCCGAAAACATAATAAGTAACGGTTCAATTATTTTAGAACTAGATTATGTGCGTGTAAGCATTTCAGCGATAAAATGTTGGTTTTTACTTTAACAGGAGACAGGGAAGACGTGTGGAATATTAAAAAATGCCATATCACGCTACACGGCAGTGCTTAGGAGCACACACCACATTGTGCGGAGACATTCTAAGAAAACATGGAAGCACGCGGATACTCAGCAACTGAATACGAATCCCGACTTCAAAGGTACACTTGAAGAACTGCAAATTAACCTGAGTAGACCATGCGAGATCTTCCCACACTTGGATATGGATGAAAAATGTAAGTATCCTGTTTCCATCATTCACTGTCACGTCCTTGTCTCATTATGCGAATATGTATGTATGTTAGTTGAGATGACTCAGTTGAATCTTACTTAGATATTATTTATTTAGTCGCTTCCTGATTGGCCGTTACAACAACTGGTAAAAACAAGTATTCAATAATTCGGCGCCCATAATAATGTTCAAAACCTTTACCTTGATTGGCCTCGATTTTTTAGGAACTGTACACAGCCTATATAAAAATTATCTGTATCCCAAATTTTTGGATTGAAAGCAGTCCATTTCGATTCTTAAACAATATTCAGAGTACTCTAGCAATTTATCGACCGTGAAGCGTCGTAAGCGCATGCATTGACATGGCTCAGTTCACAACGCACTTTTACTTTCATTGATGGAAATATTTCTTTTAAATAAGAAGCATTATTTTTAATTGTCCCTACACATCGTCTCTTCTCACATCCTCTATCCGTAAATAGCCAACGACCCACAAGACTCCGGCAATGCACTTGTAGTAATTCCTTTGGTATTACGAGTGCCCATGGGTGGTGTCGTTTGCTTCACTATCTACCATCAGGTAATCTCTCTGTTTGTTTGCCAACATATGTCATAAAAATGTATAAAATTCATCTTTACATGTAAGAAAACTGACTTTTATACCAAATAACGTTTCAGATAGTCTCAACGTTTCTGCAGTATCGACGCTAACCGGTGACTCCATTTGGGGAATACTCAGAGGCATGGAAACTTTCGCACAGCTGTTCTACTTGTCTGATGGGTATAAAGTAAGTTTACGTCTTAATACACACATTATGTCCCACCTGTAAAGGCCTTTTTGGAAGAAAGAGGTAGTTCGGGAGTATTTATTTGCTAAAAGAACTGCATTTTTGACCGCTATCATCACTTACTAGGAGGTCTTCTCAATGTACCCACTCTAAATTTAGTATCCCCAATGTTTCTTTGTTTTATTTAAAAAAAAAAGCAACAATATTTGTTCTATTGTCTCAATATTGTATACCACCAATCAAGGGAAGGAGCGAAACAAAACCAACACAAGTATTTGTAATTACTTACACGGGCTATTTCATTGATTATGATTGTAAACTTTTAAGACAATTAACAATTTTATTTATTTATTTAACACGTAAGATCTATTTATGGTTCACCATAAGGAACAATAAAAAAAATCTGAAGCATTTATATTTATGTTTTCCATTTCATATTATTGAATTAATAATATTCATATTGTTTATACCTATGTATAATATGGAGAGGCATCGGCGAGCAGATATCATCATTAAATAAGTTATTGAAACCTATCCCTTTAAGCGCCTCTTACAAAGGAATTTACTTGAAAATCTAAGAACATAAGAGTTTGTCTGATAAACTATTTTCTGATTACAGGAGGTTCTCATTAACTCTACACAAATAGTGGATTTTCCGAGATACACATATCGAGGGCTCCTTATCGATACATCGAGGCATTACCTCAGTGTTGCCAACATCCTTAAAACATTGGACGCTATGGAAATGAACAAGATGAATGTTCTGCACTGGCACATTGTTGATGACCAGAGTTTTCCATATCAGAGCCAGATATTCCCGCAACTAAGGTACGCACTTAACCGTAGAATAAAAAAAATATTATTGTTATTTTTACGCAAACATAATTAAAATCGTAATTAACGATTTGCAGTGAGCAAGGTGCATATGATTCTTCGATGATCTACACGCGGGCTAACATCAACAAGATAGTCAAATATGCAAGAGACAGAGGGATCCGAGTATTACCCGAATTCGACGTACCCGGTAACGCGAACTTCTATTATATACTTTATATAAAAAGGCATACACTAAACATTAAGAGTTTCTACATCTCCATCTAAAGTACCTAGCCGCCATTCACTGTATGATAAACTGCTACCACGATTTATCAGTTCGATGTCATGTACCACGCAAATCTACATAATACCTGATCAATGATATCAACGTTATAATACTCACGTTAGGAGGCCTTTTTTGTGGAGGAAAACCGACAAATGACTTCTCTCGCCCAGAGTACGGCAAGAAAGAGTGTCAGATCCTATTAAAAGTCAAACACACACTCGAACGGAGTAGTTTTTAATCAGTAGACTAAAAACTACTCCGTCCCTTCTCCTGCTCCAGGCTGAGGCCGCGGTTCTTTATTGCGCTTGACCCGTGGCCCTGGTTAAGTATTAACCATGATGGGCCCCATCTGTGGTGGTCTATTGGCTCTTTGAGGCGCTCTGTTGAACGCTACACCCCGCACACTCGGGTCTGGTTCTGGTCTGGCGGCGAGCTACCATTGTTCGCCCTTGACCGCAGACGTTAGGACCCTGCTAGTTGTGGTTACGTAGACCTACGTATCATAAATGGGTAGAAATCAGACAACTCCAATAATGTGGATTCGTGGCTTCTAGCTGCGATTACCTACTAAAAAGAGAACTGACGATTCTGGTACAATTACAAGTCATAATTGACTGTGTAATGGACATTTTTATATGATAGCTCGGCTCCATTTGATCGTAGTGTGATGTTTTATAGCCTATAGCACTCAGAAACATTGTAGGTATGTTTCAGTGAATGAAATTTGGCAACCCGACCAGCGGTTTCAAAGATTACCCTCTATACAAACCTGCAAATTTTACCTTTATAACATTAGTATAGATAATGTGGCAAACGAGTTGACTGATCACCGTTCGACGCCGTCCATAAACAACAGAAAACCTCATTCAGACTATAAAACATTTACATAACGTAAGAATTGTTTCGCGCCATTTTTTTGTAAGGCCATCATTCCTGTCTGCCTTTCGGTACCGAAGCATGGCTCTCCCACATAAACATTAACTGATGCATGCGTCTTAAAAAATACAATCTATGTATGCACTTTTCAAGGGACCTTTACAGTTGTAAGTTTTATTATATATTGGCCATGTTATTTGCCCGTCACGCGTATTAGTAAAGTCAAGATTGCCCCAGTATTGTAAACACAATAAGTTTATCAACTACTTCTTCAGATAATGAGATTGTGTCTCTAGAATGACCTCAGATAAACATACTTTAACCGATACAGGGAAAGTGTCAAGTGTAGGTACTATTATTAATATAATAGTAATTAATACCAGTATAAATAATAAATGACTATGGTGATATTGCACAATAAGATAATACCAGATATACCTTGCTTTTATTAATACATAATTAGCTATTTGAACGATAAATAAACAATTGATTAGGTACTATTATTCGTAATGACTTGATTCATACGAAAAAATAATGAATGTTATGTGGAATAAACCACCGTTGTCGTGAATAAGGAACATTTAGCATGTCTTAGGAAAAAAAAAAACTTTCAAGTAGTAAATTGTATGCAAACTGTACCCAATTTAACTCAATACAATGTCTGTATTGTGTGTGGAAAACAAGTTACTACAAAATACAGGTCTTAGGTAACTAAATAGTTCGGTAAGACCCCTCTTTGAGGAGTGTCTTGAGAGACGCCACGGCGTCCTCACCTTCCGCCTGATGCAGGTGCTTACCGGGCACGGCAGCTTCGGTAAGTTCCTGTTTAGGATCCGACAGGAAACGCGCGAGTGTCGTCATTGTGAGAACCACCCAGAGGACACGGTGGAGCATATGGAGCATATGACATTCCGAGCGTCGGGATTCTAGAGACGATTTCCGGCCACCGTAATGCCTTGATCACACGTACCGAGCAAATCGGCGAGATAGTGCTCTCTGTTGTGTACTCGGTACCTATAAACATACGAGTAGCTCCGAGTGCACGGCCGATAGTTTATGCGTACCGAGGACGGCGAGTAAGGGTTGCTCGCCGCCCGATCAGAACAGAGAAGGCAAGGCCATTATATTATCATGAATTCTGAATGATTTGAATAACTGCCTTTTACCAGGACACACAAGGTCATGGGGAGTCGCATACCCAGAAATTCTGACAAAATGCTACCTACTCGGCGAAGTAGTCGGCTTGGGACCTATGGATCCGACTCAGAATAGCACGTATAACCTAATAGGCGACCTGTTCCGTGAAGTACAAGAGGTATTTCCCGATAAATACTTCCATCTTGGAGGCGATGAAGTCGCTATGGATTGCTGGTGAGAGTTTATTGTTATTATGTTGAACTAGCTATTCTCGTGTGGTTTCACCCGCTGCACTGCTCCGACAGATCATAGCGTGATGTTTTATAGCCTATAGTCTTCCTCGATAAATGGACTAATGGACAGAAAAATAATTGTTAATTTTGAACCAGTAGTTGCGGAAATTAGCGCGTTCAAACAAACAAACTCTTCAGCTTTATAATATTAAATATAAAATATAGAAATATAGATTATCATCAGTGACGTCTACGTATATCCATTACTTAAAGTTTATTATGCTGATGTATTTTCTTTTCTCTCTTTGGTTTTGTTTCTGGAGTTTTATACAAGTGATATGCTAGCCCTATCAGATATTATACTAAAACATTAAATACAAACGTAATTGAATTACAAACACAGCCTGGAAAGCTGATGTAGGTTTCTGAAATAGTTCGCAGCAACTTGTCAACTTAGCATTTCCGCACAAATTGTTGTCTTCAAAAAGACTAACCCCTGAGTTTGTTTCGGCACTTTTAAGAGTAGTCAGATAGGTAATGCCGGCTTCATTTATTTTTTATATGTAATTTAAAAGTGCTGTTTTATGGCCTATTTGCAAAATAAATTCATTGTTTCCTATCCTAAGTGACCTATTTCCATTTTCACTTCAGGATATCAAATCCAGAGATACTGAAGTTCATGGACCAGCACAACATGTCCCGTACCAGCGAACTGCACGCGTATTTCATGTCTAAAGTTCTTCCTTTGTTGGGCCAAAAATCTAAGCCTATGGTCTGGCAGGTACGTTTAAGTACAAAAGTATACTTTAAATAGACGTCTTTGGATAATAAACACGAGAACTTCCCTTGAACATTTTCAGGAAGTCTTCGATGAAGGTGTGGCGTTACCTAGCGATGCCATCATACAAGTGTGGAAAAGAATTGGAGCGGAGGATATGGTCCGAGTAAGTTCGATTACATAATATTTGCTACTTTTTCTTCTTTCTGGTCTTTTGAACTAGGAAATATGATATGGTATCGATTTTAGCACTTATTCCTCAGCGGTATATTACCTTATCGTGGTAATATGTATAAGAATGGTCTTCGCGAAAAGTTCGGGGGGCGTGAAGTTAGTTAAGCCTAAAGACATTCTGCTGGAGTCCTTGCGCTTCTCTAACTTTTCGTCGCCTAGCTCTGACCTCAACATTTGCTTCTTTCATCACCATACTAACAATCCACATCGCAACGGAAACTGACCACATTAAATTGACTAACTGTCGAAGTCGACCTACAGATAAAAGATAGTCATAAAAAGCGGCGCACACAAAATGTGTGTTTACGTACGTACTTAGCTAATTAATCTGCACCTAGCGTATTATTAATTAACATTAATTACTCAGATCCTGTCCAAAGGTCACAAAGTTATTTACTCAGCGTCCTGGTACCTTGACCGACTGAGTAACGGCGGAGATTGGAAACACTTGTACATTTACGATCCACGACTCCTTATACCACATTTTAAAGGATTGAAATTAGAAGATGTTGTTGGGGGTGAAGCTTGTATGTGGGGCGAATTCGTTGATGATACCAACTTCATTGCTAGGTAAGTGACGCGACGGTATTACACGCAATTACCTATCCAACGCGACGCGCCATGCGCTCTGGTTTGGTTCTGGTTGGGCCGAGAGCTACCTTTGCTTTCAGGCGTCAAAGATCGTAGTGCGATCCCCAACGCTTGTAGTGTCTCCTGCGAAGACATAGACTCCCCCGCCAACGTTGCTAGCATGACTGCTTCGCAGAATGAGGAAACGGCTTCCTAGTAACTCTCGTTTCACACCATAGCCGAAGCCACAACCAGACCCAGGCGCAAGAGGACTTCTATGAGGACATGGCGGTGCTCAAGCTATACATGGATGTCCCTTGTATAGATTTAGCCATCGTATGTTCCACCGTGTCCTCCGGATAGTCCTCATGGTGACGAAACCTGGGAGTTTCCTACCGCTAACCCCGAAACTGCTACTTCCCGAAGCACCAGTGTTTGGTAGGCACCTGCTTCAGGCGGGCGACAACGAGGCGTGTCTAATCAACCCACAGAGGGGACTAACGGCTGCGATAAAAGCGAGCCTGAGGCACCTGCGCATGACGTGTTAACAATTATAATATTGAGATACAGTATTAAATATTTTATGGTATGACCATAAAGAATGCTTGCTTTAAATTTTAAAAGCATGTATAAAATGCTGAGAGAAAATTGCTGAAATATTGTTCAACAGTAAGCACAATTGAAACATAGAGACACTATTTATTATTTTATGCTATTGTAGTATGTTTTCAATGGGCTCTTTTTTGCTTGTTGCTAATTAAATATCACATGAAAGTCCTTGCATTGAAAAGCTTTTCATCAATTTTAGGGTGTGGCCCCTTGCTAGCGCTCCAGCAGAAGTTCTATGGTCTGCTTTAGACCCCCGACACAACTTCACTAATGGATACGAAATCTCTTGCCGTTTCGAAGAGCATGTATGCCGAATGAACCGTCGCGGAGTTAGCGCCCAACCAGCCAACGGCCCAAGCGTCTGCATTGGAGGAATATAAAGTTTGAGAAACACTTATCTTTTGGTTTAAGATGACTTTTATTTCATAGAATTATTCATTTAGAATTAAAGTTTATTATAATGTTTTTGGAGTATTTTTATTATTATTGTTAACTGTACCTACTTATCTGAACAGAGAATACTAACGCTGTCTTTTTAATTTATAGATAAAAAGATTACAAAATATGGTATGTTGCATTTAAGCTATCTAGTTTATTTGTAATAGTAATTTCCAGTATCCATTCTGCGAGCAGTGAGCACTTATAGGCTAATGATGTATGTAATACATCACTGCTAAGCAAAGGCCTCTTCTCACACGGAGAAGGAATGAGCATTAATCACCACGCTTGCCTAAGGCGGATTGGCGATTTCAATCTTATAATTAGGAATTATAAGTACCTGTTTCCTCATGATGTTTTATTTCACTCCCTCTTGGATGAGAAGCGGGCGCCTTAACCTCCATGCCACCACAACGTCCTATTCCTAAACTTAATTATAATAAATTGTACCTATACATATATTTTTTGTAATACACATACATATTATGTACATAATAATTGTGTCGCATGCTTTCTACACCTAAATAAGCGGGTTCTTTTCTTTTCTGTTTTTAATATACCATACACCATGCTTTTCAGAGTTTCATAACGGGAACTTTATTACTAAGACTGCTGTACGTGTATTTCTGTATTTATGTAACCATACTGTATGTCATCAACCGTGATAATTAGAGGGCTGATATTTGGGACGGATGATATCGCATTTCTGTTTTCGCTTTAAGAAGGGGGGCGTCCATTCAACCAATGTAATTTTGACACGGAGCCCAACTACACGAGTCCGACACGCACCTTGGCCAGTTTTATGGTTATGTTTATGCGAAATATGAATTTAAATTATTTCCGTATAACATGCTGAATCTATTTCAGTGTTTATTTCATATTTTAATTGCGATATGATACAATTTAATATTTTGCAAAGTTTGACAATCTTTGACTACAATAGGATATCTTTGTTCAAAACAAAGAATCGTTTAAAAACACGAAAAACAACTCGCTCGACTACTTCGTAATGTACGAAATTTTTACCATATTGTAAAGAAGTTAGTTTCATTTACCGGTAGAGGCGCTGCAAGCGCATTCATGTATCCGCATTGACTACCTGGTGACATCACTCAGGACATTATAACAATGTGGTCTAAGCTTGGCTAAATGTGGATGGTAAAATCGTTAAACCTTAATGATCTGATCAAATTAGGTTGTTGAAATCATAACCATTATATAAACTTCGAAAATTTCATAAAGACCAAAAAATTGAACTTTATAACTTGAACATTTCTCATTATACATTTTAAAACTTTACAAACATTTATGCTTGGGTTCTTTATTTAAAATAACTAGCTACCCGCCCTGGCTTTGCATGGGTGCTATGCTGATACTAAATTTCTCCACGGATTTAAAGGATGCTAATATACATATAAGCCTTTCTCTTCAATCACTATATCTATTAAACAAACCGCATCAAAATCCGTTGGGTAGTTTTAAAGATTTAAGCGTACATAAGGATCTAGCGACAGAGAAAGTGACTTTGTTTTATACTACATATGTAGTCATAATGCAACACGTGTGTTGAGTTTTACATAAATAAAAAAATGTGGGCGTATTTTGTACTTAATATTAGCTTCAAATCAGAACTAAAGAGGTTTATAACCTGGAGTTTTTATGTGCTATATCTATAACATACATTTGTACTTACATCGAAAACTGTTGGCAGTTTGTGGTATTTCGTTGTATCATACTTATAAATGAATATACTAAAATCAGTTGAACATTTCTCACAGGTATTGCAAGCAAAACACAAGGTAATATATTCAGCATCGTGGTACTTAGACTATTTGCACAATGGAGGGGACTGGGACAAGTTCTACACAGTGGATCCTCGACAGATGATCCCAAGGCATTATAAGGATCTGGACCTGAACAATATACTTGGCGGAGAAGCTTGCATGTGGGGCGAAGCCGTCGACGACAGAAACCTGATAAGCAGGTACGTGAATGCATTTCTATAAAATAAACTATAAAAGTAGTTTTGCAATTGATTTCGATGTGCTATAAATCTGTCGCAATCGTATTGTGAAAATATTTCTTCCGATCTCTGTAAAATACTTTTTATATTGTCACTTGATGATAAGCAATCGTTGCCGTCCATGGATATCCGCAAAATCAGAAAAGTTACGAGTCCGTTGCCGGTTTTAGATTTGTTTTTTTGGGGATTTGGAGATGGAAAAAGGGTAAGGATTAGGCTTCCTTTAACCTTACTAATACCTACGGTGTTTAATACATTACATAAGAACTTATTTTTATACTAGATTTTGCCCGCCACAGTCGCGTGCAATAGTGACTTCCTGCAGATTTTTGGTCCAAAACTGTCCTATGTCCTTTTTAGAGTTCCAAACTACGTCTCTGACAAATTTCGCAGAAATCGGTTCAGTAGTTTAAAGGTAGGTTGTGCTGTAAGTCTTTTATGTGCAAACGTCGTCTATTTTTTTTTCAAGAAGTGTTATAGTGCTATTTCTACAGTCAAATTGTTATAAGTTAACAGATTCCAGAATTGATAGTTTGTTTGTTTATACTGAATTAGTTCCGAAACTACTTGACGGATTTGAAAAATTATTTCACTATTCAAAAAACTATACTCGGAATTTTAATTCCATTCCAGTCAAAGTCAAAAATCATTTATTCCAATTAGACATTTACAGGCACTTTTGAACCCGATTTGACAATTTCAGTGTTGCAACGTTATGAGACGTATTAAATAGTGACGTTGCGAAATTATTCGATATGGAAATCGAATATTTCTGAATCGATTTCTCTCGTTTGTAAATTTTCTCTCGTAAACTAAATTTTTCAGGAAATTAAATATTTCTGAACCGGTAATTTAGTTTTGACAATTAATTAACGATCTGAGACTTTTCTTTTGTAATTGTGTGTGAAATTAATAAAAGATGTGACCATGCAGGAACACGACAAATAAAACAGACATTTTGTAAATTGTCGCCGTCATCGCTATCGCTATCGCTGTTACTTTCTGTAACATTTATTATGAATTGTGTCTGTGATATTTATTGTAAATTAACATATCTAGCTTACTCATTTTTTCCTCTTCTTTGACAACATGGGACACGCATTTAGACTATTCGGTAGCCGTAATTTTATGAATGCCTTCCTGAAACTGATTCACTGAATTTTTATCGATTTTCGTGTTCATCACTACACTGTTATATGTGGTATCATTATTTCACAAAATGACAATATGTCATGTCAAACCAGGAATCGAATTAAAATTCTGACTATAAATACCACTCCGTATTTCTAAGCATATAAAAAGTTGGGGTTGCGGGGTAAGCGCAATGTGGCACTGCGGCCTCGGCCTAAAACAGGAGAAGGAACAGGGGGTGTTCTAGTCAATAAGAGTCTGACACTCTCTCTCGCCTTAACCTGCGCAGGAAAAGTCTTTTGATGATTTTCCCCTGACAACAAAAAAGGAGAAAGTTACTGCCATTTTTATCAATTTGTTACCAGCGCTAAGTAATTGTAAGAGTGCCTTAATTGTAAAACACGCACTTCTTTAAATAATGCTATTTGTTCTAGGGTGTGGCCACGTTCTAGCGCAGTGGCTGAGAAGCTCTGGAGTTCGGAATCACCACGATTTAGCTTCTTCAGGAACATTGCTATTGAAGTGAACCGTCGCCTGGAAGAGCACGCCTGTCGTATGAACCGACGCGGCGTACACGCACAGCCACCCAATGGACCTGGGTTCTGTGTTGGAGCAATATAAAAAATAAGTTTACCACAATCATTACTTTCTATTTAGTAGCTGATAAACAATTATAGAAAAAAAAAACGGTTTATTAATATAGACTTGTAAAGAACAAATTCGACATTCTTTTTTTTATAATTATTTGTATTTTTTTTATTAATGGGTATAATTTAACTCCATTTAAAGAATTTTGCCTTCAGTTGATCTAATTCAATTGTATCCACCATAATGATACCTATCAAGTATTTGGATGTCTATTTTTTTTGAATAAAAGTTTTAAGAATTCTCTGTACAATACTTTAGGCAAATAAATATTATAATTCTTATTATATGTATAAAACGTTTTTCTATTTAATATCCGTGTTTTATTTTTAGTATACCTTATATAGAAAGTTTGTAAAGATTTACCTATTATTTCTATGGGGTTGTAATTTTTTTATAGATTAGGTCGGCTAACGTGCTCTCGGATTACCTGATGGTAAGCGCCGTCCATAGACACCCGCAACACCATAGGTTATGAGAGTGTTGCATCTTTAAGTATTGGGAAGGGAGGTGAAGGAGAGAAGAGAGGGAGCGATTGGGCCTCCTGTGACGCCACTCACACGGTGAAACACAATGGTGTAGTTGTTTCACGCCGATTGTCTGTGAGGCCGAAAATAAAGGAAAAGCAACTAAGTGTATACGTATTAAGATTGGAAGTTACTGATGAAAATAAAATTGTTAAACCAAATGAAACAATAATTAAGTGAAATACTCATTTCACTTCCTGTATCCTTTTATGTCTACTTACCTAGGAATAAACTGTACGCATTTTTTGTGGAATACGTCGGTAAACGAGCAGACGGATTACCTCATGGTAAGCAATCGGCGCCACTCAGAGACAATCGTAATAGGTACCTAATACCAAAGGAGTTACTATAAGCGCGTTGCCAGCCTTTTGTTGGTTATACCTACGGTTTTTTTACGGTATAGACCGGCAAACGAGCAGATTGGAGGGTCAGTGCTGAAAACCAGCGCTGTTGTATCGTGCCTGCGTGCGCGAGACACAGCATTTATGCTGAGCGCTGCCCTTTTTCACGCATGAGTGACGCAATTTTAGTGCTTTTCTTTTTTTTTCTTTTATGTTCATTGCTTGTTTTGTCCCTCTTTAACTATATTCGTGTATGTTTGTTTCTTGCGTCATTTGTGTGTGAAATAAATGGTTTTTCTTTCTTTCTTTCTTCTTTCAGACGGATTACCTGATGGTAAGCAATCGGCGCCGCCCATGGACATCCGCAACACCAAAGGAGTTACGAGTGCGTTGCCGGCCTTTTGGGGATAGGGGTTGCAGATATAAGGATTGGGAAGGGATAGGGGAAGGGGAGGAATTGAGCCTCCGGTAACCTCACTGACACGGCGAAACATAACGCTGGGTTTTAAGTATAAGGGATTTGCGGATTGAGGATAGTATCTAAGAGTTGTTGTTCCAGTAATCTGCCTACTTACCTTACTAACATGGCCAAACGCAACGTAAGTATTAAAATACTTTTTTGTAAGTTTTGAAAATTTTGTTTAGGTACATACAAAAACGTCCTTTACAATAATAATGCGGATGTTGTTTTATTTAAACTCAATACAAATCGTTGAATAGTGTGTTAATGTAAATAATCACGAATAAAATGTTAACAAATTGTTACGTCTCGTCAAAAGGAGCGTGATTATGATAAAATTACTTAATTTTCTATAATTTTGTAGAATATTTTATATAAATTAGTGCTAAAGCGCTATGTACTCTGTACAGTATAGACGGTTGACGGCTTTAAATATCGAGAGTGGAATTTGTTTCTGTAAAATGGCTAAAGTTACTTGCATATTCCTCTTTGTAGTTGCTATAAGCCTACGTAGTATACAAGTAAGTTACTCATACTACTTTTAATTTCTTTCTTTCAGTAAAAACGTTGCCCCACACTGGGATTTTCTCCAGTGTCGTGGGTGCGTTTACAAACATACACAACACACTCAGACTCGAAACAACAATTTGTGGATCACTCAAAGAGTTGTTCTATGTGGGAATCGCGACACGTAGCCTTGGTAACATAATCTATACTAATATCATAAAGAGGTATGTAAGTTTGTATGTAGGGAATCTTTGGAACCGCTCATCGGATTGCCAAAATTCTTTCACCGATAGATAGCTTGTTCCTGAGTGCTATAGGCTATAAAACATCACGCTACGATCAAATAAAAACCTGTACTACTGCGCTCACCAAACTCACGCTAACATTAATATACACTGCGAAATCTTTGGTCATACGCAGCAATGGTTAGTTTACGTATGGACGTTACACGTTCTCGATAATTAATCGAATGAAACTTAAAATGATGCCAAGTTGTGCAAAGAAATGGTGTGGAAAGTGTTCTACAGCCAAAATAATACTACCGGAAGGTGTAGCGATTAGGACAACGGAGCTTAATAAAACTTGGAAACAATAGTGTGGGGATTGAAACGCCAAGATTGACTGGTGCCATGGTTGCTGGGTAAGTGCAATAAGGCACCGCGACCTCGGCCCAGAGCAGGAGAAGGAACAGAGAGGTTTTTAGTCAGTAAGAGTCTGACACTAATGGGCTGGAGAAGTCATTTGATGATCCCCTCACAAAATAAAAAGATTGACTGGTAGAGGTTAAAAGTAAAAAAAAGTAATAAATATATGGAGACCAGACAGACCCGCGCTTACGGTGGCCGGATATCATCTCTCGATCCCCGACGCCTGGAATGTCGCCTATTGCGGCGGCTGGGGTGTGGGGAGGAGGATTGCTACCCCACGCGGGCCGTCTATTCTTTCATTACTTAACTTTCCATCATTCCATAATGCTTTGCTTCAGTGGTACCCGTTGCTCATATGGCCCCTCGTATTTGTTTTCTTAGTCGATTGTTGACATTATGGATATCTACGGATCAAAATAAAAAAACCCTATTACTTACCCGAATTAATAATTTTGATTAGTAATTTTTAAAACAGATATTGTTTTTTCTTTTTGTTTGTTATCAAAAGGCAGATGATAGCAATGACTCGGAGCCCGATATAGACTTGGATCAGATCGTAATGGAGTGCTCTGAAAAGTTTGATATCCCATTTCCACAAATTCCTGCAGCTCTTCGGGCTGCCAACGCCCATGCACTTAAGCCATGTTTCTGGAGTTGCTGTTTCATGAAAGTTGGAGTTGTAAGTATCTTTAACTACTTCATTGGTAGGTGAAAAAAAACGATGATTTTAAATATGGCTTTTTATTTAACATAGGAAAAATAAATTTTTAAAAAATACCGAATAGGTTGATAGTCATTATGAATCCCTTTCTCGATAATCTTTCTAGAAAAGGGTCACCCTTTTCTAGAAAGATTTTCATAGTCGATTTGGCTAGGAGCGGTACCGTTAATATATACGGTTAATATATATTTCTCCAATAATAGGCACTAGCTCTTATCTTACTGTTTATCTTTCTTTGAAAAAACTAAGGTATTCTTTCTTTTTCATTTCTCAAAAAAATCTTCCTCTGACCTTATTACCCTACATGTGTTTACAGATTAATAGTAAAGGCCAATACGACGTTGATTTTACACTTGACTTGGCCAAGAAGATGCTGGGAAGACAAGACGAAAAGAAAGTTGAAGCAACGGTAAAAGATTGTGAATCAGGTGAGTGAAATACCTCTATAAATCATAAATCATACATATTCATTTGCGAATAAGGATGCAAAATAAAAGATCTTATACATACAATGTCAATCAGCCATAATCTCTCTAAATTAGTAAGTATCTGATATTGAAGAAGGTTTAGAATTTAGAATATTTATTTAGACCAACAAAATTTCGAACACAAGTATTATTTTTTAATTTAAATAGTACGGTACAAAACCCACTATACAAGTAAATTGTGTAAAAAAACGAATGGTAATTCTTATTTTTTTCATGTGATAGTTCGGCAAACGAGTTAACGGATTACCCGATGGTAAGCAATCAGCGTCGCCCGCCCGACGGACCCGAAACGACGGAGGAGTTACTCGTAACATACGATGATTTGGAGATTTTGGGAATGAGAAGGGATAAGGGAGGAGAAGGATTGAGCCTCCGGTTACCTCGCTCACACAAAACTTCAAGAATTTCGACAAAATTAGACTATTATAGTATTAATGCAACCTATACATATCTCCCCCATAACATGACTTACGCGAGGTTCTCCTACCACTAACACATGAAAAAACTGAAATGTATAATTATTAATTACAGTGAACGATGCACCAGTGAGCGATGGAAATGCTGGTTGTGAAAGGAGTCTTTTATTAGCAACTTGCTTATTGGATAATTGCAAGAAAAACTTTCCAGAGATCTTCGGCCATTAATCTTTGAATAACGCTTCGCCTAAAATGTCTCTATGAAACAATAAATATAAAACTGTATTAAATTACCAGCAATAAATTTTAATTCCCTAAATGTTTTATTGTTTATTTTTACCTATGTTTTATTATACCTACCTGTTATATTTATTTAATAGCCTTGGCCTATATCTTCCTAATATTATGCAAATAAAGAATTTGAGTTTAAGTTTTCTATTACCCGTAACAGTTCATGAACCTGAGTAGATTTTAGGAGCGTTTAGGTACGCAGCACAGGTTTTATAATAATATTAACTTCATGTAAAAAAGCCAGGCCGTGCTACCGGCTCTCCGACGGTCCATTAAGCAATTAATACTTCAGTCACAATGTCTTTAAGATATATCTAGTAAACGTTAAACTATATAAGTTGTTGTGGCGGTATCTCTTGACAACGCCAAACTTCTTTAACTCGCTGCCGCACTCCGGTATCAGCGGGTGTCTGCCCTACCTCCGCGCGTGGCTGAGGCTTATCTGATGGACGTCACCACACATACACACGCCACTTCTTCGTGGGCCCCTGATTACTCGGATTGCGGATATCTCATCTTAACTTTGCGGAGCACTTCCGACGTCTAGCTTCCAGATTGGAGCGGACAGAGGCTGTGCTCAAGTAGCAGGCAGCCATTATCTGCTACCAGAGGTATAATTTGGGCCTCAAAGAGCCAATAGACCACCACAGACGGGGCCTTATAGGGTTGATGTTCAGCCGGGGTTGCGGGGTAAGCGCAATGAGTTACCGCGGCCTCGGCCCAGAGCAGGAGAAGGAATAGGGGGTTTTTAGCCAGTAAGAGTCTAACACTATCTCTCGCCTGCCCTGGGCGGGAGAGGTCATTTGATGATTTTCCCCTGACAAAAAAGAGGTATAATTTGGGGATCGTGCAATTCATCCTCTCTACCAAGCTTCGGTTTTGGCGTTATATTTAGTCGGTAAGAGTTTGACATTACAACTCGCACCATACAGAACAAAAATATCATCGAATTACTTTTTAATTTGATGATGACCGTCATAAAAACAAAAGTTTCTTTCAAAAGTCCCTTTAACACAGGGTGTGTGCCCTATTAAAAACCAGTAACACGAACATTCAAGTTCATAGTATATTGACTACGAGGTGTGCTTTTGTTAAAATATATAATTTCGGTACAATAGCAAAGGAAGTACCTTTTCTGTAATAATGCGGATGTTGATTTATTCCGGTACGAGTAAATCACCCGACGGTGTTGATGTGCACAATAGGCCACAATTACGTGCAAAATGTTGGCAAATTATTACGTCGTTTTAAGAGTTATTTATTATGATTTCGCGTTCCATAATTTTGTAGCATATTTACATATATAATATGGTAATAAACTTGGTTTATAGGATATATTCAGTTCTTGATTTGAAATCTCCACGGGTGGAATTTGCTGTTGCAATATGGCTGTCGTTACTTGCATAATCCTCTACGTAGTAGCTGTGAGCTTTAGTAGTGTTCAAGTGAGTGCCACTAGTTTGTTTTATGTCTTTTTAAATATTTTGCATCAACTCAAAACTGATTACATTGGTCTAAGAGTTTATTATTTCCAATGAGATATCATTCTGGATGCTTCCTGATCTCGTTGAAATTTTTTTCTCTCCATAAGACGTTGTCACATTACAAACTCCTTTCTCTTTTAGTTTCACAATGTTTTTGTTTTTTCTTTAGTCGTCTCTGGTTTTCTTTCCATATTTAGATTGTTGGTACCCTTGTTGTATTTGATTCCTTTTAACTGTCGCATTTCTTTTAACACTGTAATAAGATAAAAGACTGTAATTGACCCGAAACAGTTCCAAAACCGAATACTATTTATTAATTTATTCCATTTATTTATCTTCTTATATATGAAAATGAATCGCTGTTCGTTAGTTTCGCTAAACCTAGAGAACAGCTGGTCCGTTTTGGATAATTTTGGGCTCAAAATATTCGTTTAAGTCCTGGGAAGGTTTAAAAGGTATATTTGAGATTATTTATTTTTACATAGCTATATTTGAGGCAGTACGGAGTTAGCCTGGTCAGCTAGTTTTAAATTTTTTTTTTCGTTTTATAAAGACAGATGATGACAGTAAGGATACTCAGCCTGAATTTAGCATGCATCGCATCATAATGGGATGCATTGATAAGTTTAATGTAACAGAGGAACAAATGAAAAAAGCTATAACGACAAAAGACGCGCGTGCAGTTACCCCATGCTTTTGGAGTTGCTGTTACAAGAAAACTGGAGTCGTAAGTATCCTTGTTTACTGATATAATAAAGATGATTTTTTTTATGTGATAAGACAGCAAACGAGCGGACAGATTACCCGATGGTAAGCAATCAGCGTCGCCAATTGACGCCCGCAACAACGGTGGAGTTTTGAGTGTGTTGTAGACCTTTTAGGGATTAATGATTTGGAGATTTTAGGATTGGTGGAGGGAAAGGATTGGCCCTCCTCACAAGGCTAAACACAACGCTGTGGTTATTTCACGCCGATTTTCTGAAAGGCCGTGATATCGCTACGGTCGAGCCGACCCATTCGTGTCGAAGCATGGCTCTCCCACACGGATAAAATTATAAATGATATACCTTACTTTTTGCAGTTGAATAGTGAAGGTGAATACGACCTGGATTCTACATTGAATTTGGCTAAAAAGATGTTTGTATATGATATTTACATGAAAATAGAAGATATTGCAAAAACATGTGGATCAGGTAAAATATCTGTCGTCTGAGGTAGAAGAAAGTTTTTTTTATTACATGTTAGGACGGCAACAGACGTAAGTATTACTTGAAGGCAAGCAATCGACGCCCAGGGACACCTATATTTTACTAGTAAGCAAAGGTGCCCACATTGGGCATAGAATGTGTGTGCAATGCACTTCTTATAAGTTTTGTCATGAGTCTCATGTAAAATGCAGATAAGTATAAAAAATATGAGCTATAAGTATAATAATACATGTTTTACGTAAGAGAGTTGACAGGGGCTTGATGGCGGTCTAAGCCATCGTTGTCCTGCGTGGGCGCTATGAAAGCTGGAACGTTTTACGAAAAGTACACTTAGAAATATTTACTTACTAGCTTTAACCCGCGGCGTCGCTCCTGTCATTTGAATACCTACCCTACTCTATCAACCCTACTTTACCTACCCTACTCTATATACCCTATACTACCTACCCTACTCTACCTAACCTGGTACTCCTACCTACTCTTCCTACCCTATATCCTTCTCCCAGTTGTTAGCTACCTCCTTACGAATTTTCAGCCAAATCAGTTCAGCCGTTCGTAACTATAACGTGGAGTAACTAACACGACTTTCTTTTAAATATATAGATTATTTATGTTAGTTTTTACCAAAATCACAGATGTTAATGTTAGCACTTGTCCAACCGCGGTAAACAGATGTTTTTCCGCATGACAGCTGCCTTCACCCATGGCGACACATACTACCCTCACTAGCCGTTTGAAAATATTGATTGAGAAAAGGTAATTTGTCATTTTTTTTGCTTACAGTAAATGATGACTCGGTGATCGATGGAGATGCTGGATGTGAAAGAGGCGTTTTACTAGCAAATTGCATGATCGAAAACGGCAATAAAGCATTCCCGGAGTTGTTTTATTACGAATAACGCTTTTCCATAAAGTTTCCACAAAATAATTTATTACATTGGAAGATGCACCCAACTGCCGCACTCAGAAACAATTAATACTAACTAATTTAAACTGTGTTTCATAATAACAATTTTGTTTTGAAAACAATTACAAATGTAAGATAGAATGAAGGAAACCAGGTTGAAATGGTCAATAAAGCACTCGGTACGATGATTAATGTTTTATTCCTATTATTACCTACAATATTTTACCTATCCTTTACATTCTTCCAATAGCCAAATAAGAAGACTTATTAACAAAACAAAAAAAAAATGAATGATTCAGATAAGTAATTTATTCACATGCAGGTATAGGCAATGATATTTTAAGCAAAATGGTGTAGATTGGTTACCTAAACAAAATTCGATTTTCAAAAACGGCACATTAATGCACACAAGAATAAAGCGTATGTTACACGTTAAAGTGGGATGGCATGATTCAATAATCGCGAGTGAATAAGAGACAAATATAAAAAAGTGTGGCTAGTTGTAACCTCTCTACACCTACCTACCTACACACCTACGCCGCGTCCGCGCACGCTGCTCATGAGGAAGAACCCCTCTGTGGTTCGAAACTAGTAGAGCTTTTCTCAATATTTAAACGTGAGTAACCCGCGATTTTTAGTTAATTTAGTATGTCTCACGATAGTTATTATAAAAACTATCTACACCTTTTTACTTATAATATCATAATATCACATAAACAAATTAAACCCTACATACCATGTATCCTACCCAACCATAGAAAATTAATCGCTTGACGAAACAAAGAGTTTTTGCATGCATAGTATCTGCCCATAATCGTCATTACCATTTACCACCATTATTACCATGCCTAAAGGTGCTTACTGCTGAGAAGGTCTTTTCACATACGGAGAAGGCTTCAGTGTTTACCACTGCGCTTGCTTATTGGCGATTTTAAATTTAGAATTAGAAATTATAAGTCCAATTTTCCCCAGTATGTTTTCCTCCACCGTAGGTCAGCGGTGTCTAAAATAAACTTAGAAAGTACATATTGTTATAACTAAGTAAAAGTCACATTGGTACTTGCCCGGTTTCTAACCCTAAGGCGTTGCATGAGAAGCTTTTAACACCTGGGGCACCACGACTTGAACAGCAACTTATAGAGGTCATGTCATACAGCAGATAGTGTACTGTGCAGTTATTGTTCCTTAATATCTCTCTAGTGCAGCTTGTTTTTTTTTTGTTTCGCCATTTGCAGGGCATTTTGCCTCTATCATACCTGATGGTAAGCAATGATGCGACCCTACCCGGTAGAGCACGCCTACCCATAAGCAACCTATTCACTTGGGTCTTGATCTTTTTAACGTTTCTGATTATAAAACTGGAGGTCAACCGCTTCTTGCATGTGGCAGGGATATCCACCATGAAGCGATGATTTGCTAATTGTTGAAAATATTAGGGAATCAAGGCATGTTACTCCCCGAACATTCTCCGAAATGTATCCAATAAAAAAACCGAAAGGCGACTTTGTTGAACCTTGAGCCTGAGTTCGAGTCTTTGAAGTCGGGCCTCCACTAGCGCATCATCGTTGATGAGCATCTTGGCACGTTCAATTCTTTCAATGTGTTTTAATGAGTCTGGCTGGTGTTTAGCCGAGCGTACCTTAAGCAGTTGTTCCAATCTCACCCTCGACAAATGCGCAACTTTCTATCAGCTAGTTCTTCCTTTGACTTTTTGTAGGAGCCAAAGTTATGGCCAAGTATGTCAAAATGGTCAGTCTCCGGTATGGACACATTCCGGAAAGTAGAAGCCCTTGGAAATTGACTTCGCTTAGCTGAGATGCCTGGGTTTTGCTAGCGTTTAACTTAACGAACTTGGTGTCACCCCAGTCGGATACCTTTCAACAATTGTGCTGTCACCTGTATACCCAAAGATACTGCGCCTAAGCAGGTCATTAATGTGGAGAAAATGAGCGTTGCTGAAAGTACCCCTGAGGATCTGCGGCTTTATTACTGAATTGGTCAGGATTTTCTACTAACTCAATTAATTACCACTTGCAAATCTGAATCTGGAATTAGATGAAACTACTTTAGATTTTTGGAACCAAGGCACGTTTCTTAGTGAAAGGTAGGTCATGCGCCATAGCAACGTTCAGTAGTGTCGGCTGGCTGCCGGTATTTACAAACTTACTGTCTATTAGCTCTATCGGGGTTTAGTCTGTAAACCAAGAATTTCAAAACTTCATCTAACTGATCCCCAAGCCTTTACGGTGGCAAGTTGTTTAGAATAGTGAGAACTATGGTACGTGCATTAATGTAGAAAGCGATATATTGGGGCCTCCTACCGGTCCCGACGGCCGGCCGTCTATCAGTCCAGTCTAAACCTAAGCCATTAAGTCTACATCAGCAAATGACGGCAAATATCATAGAAATACATAATAAATAAACATCACGGGGCATCTGAATTATTTGATGATCTCATCGCATATACAGTTTAACTTTTTACAAAGATAATTGCGAATTTAATGGAAAATTTTGACGGATTCGCAATGAACAGAATGGATTGTTAGAACACCGGCAGATAATGAACACATTATCTAGTTTAAAATTATGATAATCACTTCGTTCCATGAATTAAGTTTCGAGTAGTTTGTATAAAAGGCTGTCGCGTTAATATTTAGCTAGCATATGAACTTTGAAGGTCTGGAAAGAGCAAACTGTATCATAAATAAACACATGTCTAAGTTCATTTATTTCGTGTTTTTTTTAGTGGTAGTAAGCACAAGAACTGCTAATGTAAGTGAATCTTCAAATATAGCAAATAAAAATTTAGAATTAGGCAGGTTAGTTTTTATACTAGTTAATCTTGAGAATCTCTCCTCTAAATGGCACACCTTGATTTCTGTCTGAAGTGTTGGATAGTTGGATAGCTATTTTTCGCAATACGCATAGAGAATGATTTTTTTATGAATCGCAAAATTCGCATAGGTTTGTTGTGTGCGCATAATTTAACAGAGCTTTTTTCAGCAATGGACGTCTTCCGACTGATGATAAATGATGAATGAATGATGAAGAGAAATGTCTAAAAATTAGAACACAACTAAAATCACTGCACAAGTTTTGATTTTGGCTAGTTGGCAACGACCTTATAGCTCAGGTTTTGTTTTTTTTCTGTTCAAAGGCAGACCAAGATGTGGAGTCATCGGACAACATCCATCATTCGATTATGTCTGAATGCGCTGATAAGTTTGGGGTCACAGAACAAGACTATAGAACAGCATTAATATCAGGTGATGTGAACGCCATCGATCCATGTTTTTGGAGATGCTACTTCAAGAACATGGGAATTGTAAGTATTTTTGTCAATATATACGTGTACGGTAAACATTGGATAACCTTGAAATTTAGTATACATTATATTATGGCTATTCAAAAAAAAATAATGTCATTGGGGTTATCGGGAGCCTTTATCCTTCTCCTCCCTATGCCCCTAAGGCTATGTGCCTTGTGCACGACAAATTCCTCCGGTATTGCGGGTGCCTATAGGCGCCGCCATATCAAATAAAAAAAGTAAGTGTCATCTTCAAGTGCCTGCAAATTGTGAAGTGAAATCCTTTAAAGCAAATCCTGCAAATGGGCATAATCCAGGAGTGAATTATTATTGATGATGATGATGATGATTTTGGTTGCTCATGTTATTACTGTTTGTAAATTGTGTATATTAATAACTAAATAAATTATAACAATTTTATTTCAGTTTAATTCCGAAGGTCTATATGATTTAGAGGCTACACTACATTTTATCAAGACAACGATCCACGATGATTACACACAAGTTCAAAAAATTGCTACACTATGCGAAAAAGGTAAGCATTGATTATTGATTAGAAAAAGTATGAATGTTGTATTTTTTACTAAAATTAATCTTGTAAAATTATAATATATCTTAGATGATGAAAACATCCATTGAAATTAAAATATTCAGCGATACTTAAAATAAATAATGGGGAAATTGTCAGTATTATGTCAAATAACTAAAATAGTCTGTGATAATAAATTGAATATTATTGAAGTCGTCATTTATAGGTTGGTCAATTAAAGCAAATAACAACACACATTATTGAATGCGGGACGATAATATTCAGGCCAAATAGAGAGCAACAAATATTTGTTCTATTTTTTTGTAGTAGCTTTTATGGCATACCCAACGTAGAATAGTCTGAATTGATTCTGTGAAATATCAAGAATTTTAATAATGATTTCAACATAAAGATTTAATTATTTTCTGTTTATTTTCAGTAAATAATGAAGTTGTAAATAAAGGAGAAGCTGAATGCGTACGAGCTGCCTTGTTGATGACTTGTTTGTTGGAAGGAGGTGGTGACCGAAGCTTACACTAAAAATTACAATATGTATAATTAGTTATTTATTATTTATATACACTATTACATACAATATTACAGTTTTTGTCAATACGTTGAACTTATTACTGGCTTGTCTAAAATGTTAAGTATAAATATAGCAGATATTATGTCAGTCACATAATATCTAAAATTATAATAATAAAATATCTTTTTCGACACTAATATCATTTTCAAATTATTGAAATAAAAAAGAATTTGTTTCATTATTAATATAACTACGCAAGTGTTACTCTTTGCTTTCCACTTAAGTATTATTAATCCTTTTGAATTGGCTGATACTTGGCTCGGAGCAAAAGTAGTTCCTTCATTTGTTTTGTTGTTGTTATGGTTTTTTGTCACTAAGAGTCTGTCAGTCCTTCTCTCTCAGAGAAGGTATTTGATGATTTTCCCCCATCAAAAATATGTGATTTTAATAACATTACATACGGTCCCCTGGGCAATGAAATTAAATCGTGTATTTTGAAACATGCACACGATGGAAAAAGAAATCTCAGTGTGAATTTCTAATATAAGAATACTTTATAGCGTGTCTAAAATTGATATATTTTGAAACAGCAAAAACACAACAAATCAAGATATTTTGTGACTTACTCATCAAATTGTTTACTTAACGGGCTCATATTCAGCAAGAGTAATAAGGCACCATAGCCTCCGCCTAGAGCAGGAGAAGGAACGGGATGGTTTAGGCTACTAAGAGGTTGACACTCCCTCTCGCCTCAGCCTGGGCGAGAAGTTATCAGATGGTTTTCCTCATCAAAAAAGCTCATAGTCACGAATAGAAAAAAAATAGGATAAACTACTAAAAAAGAATATTATTAAGACAACACTGGCGTACCGTGAAGGAAAACATAGCTTATGTGTGTTCTTACAAATATAAGAAGTTAAGAACATACATAAGTTGAAATGAAAACTAATGCCCATTGAGCAAGCGTAGTGATTACTTCTCCATTATTTTCCCAAAATGATTAGGGTTAAAGAGAGCATGTAGCTCCCCGAACATTCCTCGAAATGTATCCAATAAAACCGAAATGCTCGCGACTTTGTAGAACTTCGAGCATATGTTTGAGGCTTTGAAGTCGGACTCCACTAGCGCATCATGGTTGATAAGTCTCTTGGTACGTTCCATTCCCTCAATGGGTTTTAATGAGTCTGGCTGGTGTTCAGCCGATCGTATCTCATAGATGAGAGTAGTACTCCATATAGGACCGAACTTGCGCTTGGTATAAGTTAAGCAGTTGTTCCGGTCTCACCACACTCACGAATGCGCAACTTTCTATCAGCTAGTTCTTCCTTTTACTTTTTGTAGGACTTAAAGTTATGGCCAAATAGGTCAAACTGGTCAGTCACCGGAATGGACACATTCCGGAAAGTAGGAGCCCTTGGAAATTTCGCTTAGCTTAGAACAGAGACACCTGGGTTGTGCTAGCGTTTAACTTAACGAAGTTGGTGTCACCCCAGTCGGATACCTTTCAACAATTGTGCTGTCATCTGTATACCCAAAGATACTGCGCCTAAGCAGGTCATTAATGTGGAGAAAATGAGCGTTGCTGAAAGTACCCCTGAGGACCTCCGGCTTTAATACTGAATTGGTCAGGATTTTCTTCTAACTCAATTAATTACCACTTGCAAATCTGCATCTGGAATTAGGTGAAACTACTTTAGATTTTTGGAACCAAGGCACGTTTCTTAGTGAAAGGTAGGTCATGCGCCATTGCAACCTTCAGTAGTGTTGGCTGGCTGCCGGAATTTACAAACTTACCGTCTATATAGCTGTATCGAGATTTAGTGTGTAAATCAAGAATTTCGAAACTTCATCTAACTGATACCCAAGCCTTTACGGTGGCAAGTTGTAGGATAGTGAGAACGATGGTACGTACATTAATGTAGAAAGCGAAATATTGGGGCCTTCTACCGGTCCCGACGGCCGGCTGTCTATCAGTCCAGTCTAAGCCTAAGCCTACATCAGTAAGTCTACATCAGCAAACGACGGCAAATATTATAGAAATACATAATAAATAAACATCACGGGGCATCTGAATCATTTGATGATCTCATCGCATATGCCTACAGTTTTTACAAAGATGATTGCGAATTTAATGGAAAATTTTGACGGATTCGCAATGAACAGAATGGATTGTTAGAACACCGGCAGATAATGAACACATTATCTAGTTTAAAATTACGATAATCGCTTCGTTCCATGAATTAAGTTTCGAGTAGTTTGTATAAAAGGCTGTCGCGTTAATATTTAGCTAGCATATGCACTTTGAAGGTCTAGGAAAACTGTATTATAAATAAACACATGTCTAAGTTCATTTATTTCGTATTTTCTTTAGTGGTAGTAAGCATAAGAACTGTTTATGTAAGTGGACTTTAAAACTAAAAAATTGTTTCTTAGCATTAGGTACCTACGTTTTTAAATGTGTTAATATTAATAAATCCTTTCAGTGGTATACCTTGATTTCTGTCTTAAGGGTTGGTTAGTTGAATAGTTAATTAGTTGTACAGATTTTTTTCATTCGTCTAAAGAATGATTTTTGTAAGAAAAACGGGATAATTTTGGGAAATAAGAATTTAAATGGGTAATTTCCTCAGTTAAAATAAATTATTTCATCTTGTTAAACCATAAAACTACTTAAGGATACAACCTTCTTTCATAAATTTGACGATTCATATTTTTTAGACTAGCAGCCCGACCTTGATCCGGACGCGTGTCTTAATAACTCAAAATGACGAAAGGTCCGCTGTTTCCCAATTCTTTTATTTTTCTTAAATATTCCTACAAAAACTTTTCTGCCCCCAAAAATAGAAACTATTGCAAAATTGTTGCCAGTAGTGGTGGTCTTCCGGCTAATAAAGAATGATGATTTAATGCAAAAGAAATAAGATTGCTGTTTAACGTAAAAAAAAAAGACGTCACAACGTCATAAAAAACCTAGATAATCGTTTTTTTTGACATTTCGAAAACCATATAGAATTTGACTAGTTGGAAACAACCTTATAGCTCAGGTTTTGTTTTTTTTTATGTTCAAAGGCAGACCAAGATGTGGAGTCATCGGACTACATCCATCATTCGATTATGTCTGAATGCGCTGATAAGTTTGGGGTCACAGATCATGACTATAGAACAGCATTAACATCAGGTGATGTGGACGCCATCGATCCATGTTTTTGGAGCTGCTGCTTCAAGGGCACTGGAGTTGTAAGTACAGCTGTAAATTGTTCAGCCTATACATACAGATATTATAATTGAAAGTTTGACGAACCAGGCCGGCTCGAACCAGGCCGGCTCGAACGGAAATATACCTTGACCACACAGAGACCAGCGTGAAACAACCACAGCGTTGTGTTTCGTCGTGTGAGTTGTTACCAGAGCTCCTTATGGTTCCCCTCCCTATCCCTTCCAATCTCAGCCGGGGTTGCGGGGTAAGCGCAATGAGGCACCGTGACCTCGGCCCAGAGCAAGAGAAGGAACAGGGGGATTTTTAGTCAGTAAGAGACACTCCCCCCTACCCTACCCTGGTCAATTAATCATCAAATGACGTCTCCCAATCATTTGATGATTTTCCCCTCACAAAAAAATCCCTTTCAATCTCTTAACCTATGGAACCCCAATGCCCTAAAGGCCGGCAACACCTCTGTTGTGTTTAATTTAGTATTCTCTACCAGTCTAGTTGAGTCAGTTCAGTTCGCCTGATATACAATTTTTGTTTGTGCATCAAGTTTTTTGCAGCCATATCGGATAAAAAAAACAATGCCATCTTTAAGTGCCCTGCAAATTATGTTGATTATGGCAAATCCTCGAAAGGAAATCCCGTAAAGAGAAAATCCAGGAGTAAATTATAATGGGCTAGGTTGATGATAATAATGTTTTTTTAAACACTTCTATTGCAGTTTAATGCCGAAGGTCTATATGATTTAGAGGCTACGCTACCTTTTATCAAAACCACGTTCCACGATGATAATTACAAGCAAGTTCAAAAAATTGCTACACTATGCGAAAAAGGTAAGCATTGATTATTGATTAGAAAAAGTTTAAATATTTGTTTTTTTATTTTATTTATTTATTTATCTCATATGGAATGGGTCAGAATGTTGGGCTCTGAAAAAGACGGATGAAAAGCGATTGCATGTAGCAGAGATGAGAATGCTGAGACGGATGTGTGGTGTGACGAGAATGGATAAAGTGAGAAATGAGTATATTAGAGGAAGTTTGAAAGTGGCATCAGTGACTGAAAAGTTGAAAGGGAACCGTTTGTCCTGGTATGGCCATGTGAAAAGAAGGGATGAAACGCATGTTACATGTGGATGGATGGAGAGGGAGAGGGAGACCAAAGAAAATATGGATGGATTGTGTGAGAAGTGATATGGAAGATAGAGGAGTTAACGATAGCGTGACGGTTGACAAGACAGAATGGAAGAAAAAAACATATTGCGCCGACCCCAAATAAAACGGGACAAGGGCAGGAAAATGACGAATGATTTATTAATATTTTGATTTCAATGCATGTTTGCAATTTTATGGATTTCATCATCTGAGATAAATAATGGGTAAATGATCAGTTTTATCACAATTGACTGAAAAAAATAATAATTAAATAATCTGTGATAATAAATTAAATATTAACGAAATTGTCATTTATTTGTCAGTTAATTAAAATAATATATATTACACACATATTTAATGCGGGACGATAACATCCAGATCAAATAGAGAGCAATATTATTATAAATATTTTTTCCATTTTTTGCAGTGGCTTTTACTGTTCAATGTGAAATAGCCTGAATTGATTCTGTATTTGTTAGAAATATAAAATATTTTAATAATGATTTTCAACATGCAGATTTAATTATTTTTTGTTTATTTTCAGTAAATAATGAAATTGTAAATAAAGGAGAAGCTGAATGCGTACGAGCTGCCTTGTTGGTGTCTTGTTTCTTGGAAGAAGGTGGTGACCGAAGCTTACACTAAAAATTACAATATGTATAATTAGTTATTTATTGTTTACAGTTTATATACAATATTACAGTTTTTGTCAATATGTTGAACTTACTGCTAGCTTGTCTAAAATGTTTAACCATAAATATAGCAGATATTATGTCAGTCACTTTATATCTAAAATTATAATAATAAAATATCTTTTCCGACACTATTATCATTTTCAAATAATTGAAATAAAAAAGTATTTGTTAAAAAAGATTTGTTCTTTTTATTTACACAATAACTACACAAGTGTTACTCTTTGCTTCCTACTGAAATATTATTAATCCTTTTGAATTGGCTGATAATTGGCTCAGAAGAAGTTCCTTCATTTGTCTTGTTTATGTTGTTGTTGTTATGGTTTTTTGTCACTAAGAGTCTGTCAGTCCTTCTCTCTCAGAGAAGGCATTTGATGATTTTCCCCCATCAAAAATATGTGATTTTAATAACATTAAATACGGTCCCCTGGGCAATGAAATTAAATCGTGTATTTTGACACATGCACACGATGCAAAAACAAATCTCAGTGTGAATTTCTAATCTAAGAATACTATATAGTGTGTCTAAAATTAATAGTTATTTGAAAAGAAGTAGCAACAAACACAACAAATCAAGATGTGATTGTGACTAATCCATCTAATTGTTTGGTTTTGAAGCTCGATTGCGCGGGTAAAGCACTTAACAGGCTCATATTCAGCAAGAGTAATAAGGCCCATGGCCTCCGCCTAGAGAAGGAGAAGGAACGGGATGGTTTAAGCTACTAAGAGTTTGACACTCCCTCTCGCCTCAGCCTGGGCGAGAAGTTATCAGATGGCTTTCCTCATCAAAAAAGCTCATAGTCACGAATAGAAGAAATTAGGACAAACTACTAAATTTAAAGAAGATTATTGAGACAACACTGGCATACTGCAAAACATAGCTTATAATTTGTAAGAACATACATAAGTTGAAATCACTAATGCGCCTTGAGCAAGCGTAGTGATCATTACTCCATTATTTTCCATTTGAGAAGAGGAATATTCTCATAAGATAACATTCATAGGCTGATGATGTTATGAGATTAAATAATATAAAACTTACAGTTTCTATATCCCAAGTATTCATAAAGAAGTAACACATTTTTCATGCGGAAAGTACTGACAGCATATGAGTGGTGGCAAAATGAAAATAAAATGACAAGGTTGTTGTATTAAAGGTAATTTTGAATTAAATTGTCATAATTTTGCGCGCCAATTCTCGCTTCAATATCTATAATTTACTGAAAAACTCTAAATAAGGGTAGTAATAAAATATGTATAATATAATTAGTAGACAAAATTACTGTATTTATTGATAAAAAAAATGTTCCTATGAGTATATTAAATGCTTCAATCTCTATACTTACGACAAAAGCAGTCGACGATTCGAAGGAGAAAGAATCTGTCAGCACCATGACGTCCTCAAGTGTAGTTTGGTGTGCAGTGATTTGCATTAGTACTGTGTTTGTGAGTATTTTTATAAATAAAAATATATTTTGTTCAACATTATAATTTGTGAAAGTATTAAACGGTAGTAATAAGTGATAAAAACAGTTGTGTCGGGGGTGTTTCGCTCTTCCCGTTAGGTGATTGGTTGAGATATTGAGATACTGTAAAAAGAACTTAACTATAAGAAGAAATAAGGAATACTTATCTTACAGTTGCTATCATATCTTTTACATTAAATGTACAAATACAATTTATCTGCAATTTCCACAGCAGTAAGTTTTAATGAGCCTTACAGAAAACTTCTGATAGCGTATTTCTTCTTTAAATATATTAGTTTCCACCCGTGGCTTCACCTGCGTGGTATGTTGTAAAAAGCCAACAAATAGCAAATTTAAACCAAATTGGTCAAGCCGTTTTTGCGTGAAAGCATATCAAACATACACCCATACATTCTCACAAATTTTACATTTATAATATTAGTAGGATATGGGATCTACCACAGTCAATACCTGCAGGGTCATAAGCATCATTATATACACAATGACTGGTTGAGGGTAGGGCGAGGGACGGTTTTTTTTTGTTAGGGGAAAATCATCAAATGACTTCTCCCGCCCAGCGCCAGGCGGAAGAGGGTGCCAGACTCTTACTGACTAAAAACCCCCCTGTTCCTTCTCCTTCTCTGGGCCGAGGTCACGGTGCCTCATTGCGCTCACCCCGCAGCTGAACATTAGCCCTATAGGGCCCCGTCTGTGGTGGTATATTGGCTCTTTGAGCGCGCGGAACGCTACGCGCCGTACGCTCGGGTCTCATTCTGGTCGGGCGGCGAGCTACCCTTACTCACCGACCGCAGACCCGGACTCAAAGACCGCTTGCGGTGGCCGGAGATCGTCCCTTGATCCTCGACGCCCGTAGTGTCGCCTGTTGCGGCGGCGGAGGCGTGAGGAGGAGGATTTAATTTCCACTTGAATTAATTTTATTTGTTTTTTTAACAACGTTTTATTTCGACAGGCGTGGTATGACGAGCCTTACAATAAAAAAGGCTTCGACGAATGCATTGAAAAATTTCATGTTCAACCTAGAGAGAAAGGTTCATTTCAGAAACCTGACATATCTTCCGTCGATCCTTGCTTTTGGGCTTGCGGTTTCAAGATATTGGGCTTCGTAAGTATTTTGAATGTTGTACTCCTGTATACTTGTTGAATTATAATTTTTAAGCCCCGAAGCAAAAACGATGGGGTGTTATAAGTTTGATTAACAAACACGTCGTAAAAAATATGTACCTAGATGACTGAGTTTCGCTCGGTACCTATGTGATTTTTATTTTTTCAAAAAATGAAGCCTGCCTATTCTATTTTTTGGCTCAAAACCGAGATCCCGTGAATTAAAGGATGCAATGAATGGTGTTACTCCGACTTAAATGCTGTTGCAAAAAATAGAGTATTGTTAAGTTAGCACCTCAGAGTTACCATGTCAAAAGTCAAAAGTCAAAAATCATTTATTCCAATTAGACCTTTACAGGCACTTTTGAATGTCAAACAAAATTTTTAAGATATAGTGTCAGTCTGTCGGTCAGTCCTCTTAGTGAAGCTATTTGCTCGTTCCAAAGTGTAGATTCCGATGGAGAAGAACGAGCAAGAAACTCCATGGTTACCTACTCTTTTTAAATCAGTTTCACATACAGATTCCTTTTATAAACAGTTGGTTCAATTATGTGAGAACAGTGTAACACCAATATTTATTCAAATATAAAAATAAAGTAACCTTAAGGACAATAGACAGTCAGGAGCTGACCAGTCCCAAATGACGGCGCCCGTTCACGAACATGACACGTACACCAGCATCGCCCAACTCAACCATATTATAGGGAATTAAGCGATCCAGCGCCCATGCCACCGCCAGTGTGACCTTTCAGTGAACATGACAACTCCAAGCTGTTACAAGGACCGACATTCTGCTAGTCTAAACAATTGTAATAGGTTACAGGGCACTCACATTTACAAAATCAAGTTATAGTAATACAGTATAATGCAATTTCACTAAATAATGCAATTTCACTAAAACATGGAGTTTCTTACTCGTTCTTCTCCATAGGAATCTACACTTTGGAACGAGCAAATAGCTTCACTAGAGGACAGACGGACAGACTGACACGCTTAAAGTTAAAGCTCTTGAAATACTTTTTCTTTTTTTTGCTTGACGTTCAAAAGTGCCTACTGTGGTCTAATTGAAATAAATGATTTTGACTTTGACTTTGACTTTAGAACTATGAACGTAAAGGCAATATAAGATAATGATATTACTGCAGTATATTAAGCAGAAGGATAGCTTCTGTTACTGAAATAATTAATTTCATAAACAAGAAAATGTTTCCAATTTTGGACTGTTATTTTACTGCAATAGATTGGTGAGAGGGTTCATTAAGTTTTCATCAAACAAGTTTTAATCCGGTTTATTTCGCATATTCGACTCTGATCTAGCCTAATATAATCTGCGTAAATATACGGCCAGGATAGAGTAGAGATTATGACTGTAAAAAAAGTCTGGATTTCCAGAACTGGGTGAACTTACGCCTGGATTTTACTCAACTTCTGGTTACAGAACCAATTGGTTTATGTAGGTAGGTATGCAAGGCGACCAAAGACCAGAAAACATATTTTACATATAAATAAAGTTCTTTTTTATTATTTCAGCTTGATAGCGAAGGTCAATACGATCTGGAGACTACACATTCTCATTATAAAAAGGAAAATTTATCATATCTGGGTGAAAAACAGGAAAAAGTTGAAGAAATCATAGAACAGTGTGATGCAGGTACATGCGGTGTTACCTAGTTATACATTAAATACATTTCGCTGCGGTGCCCATGGGCAGCGCCGATCATTTACCACCATCATGTGATCCGTCAGCTCGTTGGCCTCCTTTTTCATAAAAAAAAAATACTTTATTGGGTGAAGGATACCAATCAAAACACTCAAAACTATTTTTTCAATTCGAAAACCTAAAATATTCATATCTCATTCAACCTCCGAGTAGTCTTGACAAGAATGTTGTCTTTAAGTGTCGGAGAGCCACGTTTCGGCACGAATGGCTCAGCTTAACCGGAGTTATGCCACAGCCTCACAAAAAACCGGCGTGAAACAACCACAGCATTGTATTTTGCTGTGTGAGTGAGGTTAGCGGAGGCCCAATCCTACCCCTCAGTCTCTGAACGGTCGGCAACGCACTCGTAACTCCTCCGTCGTTGCGGGTGTCCATGCATTGCTTACGATCAGATAATCCGATTGCTCGTTTGCCGACCTATCACATAAAAAAAGAACTTGATAATAAAGAAGGTATTGTTATTCTTTAAGCTAATGCTGCGGTTCGATGCAATGCAAAAAGTTCGATTCCCGAATGGAATAACTCTTTGTGTGATCCACAAATTGTTGTTTCGGGTCTGGGTGTGATGTGTATGTGAGATTGTATGTTTGTAACCGCACACACGACACAGGAGCAAATCCAAAGGTTGAACAATGTTTTTTTTAATAAAAAATCGAAATATATATATAATGTCAAACTATGACACTCCTTCTCGCCCCACTACGGCGCCAAATATCATTTGATGATTTTCTCCTTTAAAAAGTACTAACCCTACTTACTCTTTGTGTTATTAATATTAAACATATCCATAATTTGATTTCAGCATTGGAGAAAATAACAGGGACCGATCCGAAAGCGGAATGTGACAGAGGCTTTCAACTTGCAAAATGTTACGTTGAAGATATGAGAAAATTATTGTTCGAAGATTCTAGAAAATAAAAAATATGACAATTGCCTTTTATTATTAATGATCATTGATGCGGAAATTATAGAAATATGTACACGTGTAGATTCAATTGTTTTTAATTGTATAATTATTAATATACCCTATATTTGCATGCTGTTTTTTTGTTTCATTTTTCAAGTCTTAGCGTAGGGCTTGGCATTCTTCTCTTATTTTTTTTTTTAGGTAAATTACTGTCGACCTTCTGTAAGATACACTAACGATGCCTTTTACATACACACATACATTAGATAAAAAAAACTTTGCACTGGTGACTATTTTTCCGTTTATTTGAAACTTTGACAATCATTTTTTTTTTTAATGACATAAACTTTTTCCTATGGATAGATAACTTGGCGATTATTATTTATTTCTAATGACTTCAGAATGAAATATTACTTTTTCATCAGAATGAAATATTTAATATCTAAAGTTTTATAGTATGGTGCTGTACAGTAAACATATTGAACAGTATCTGTGTCGAGCGCTATTTGCGCTTGCCCCGCAACCACGGTTGAACATCAGTCCTATAAGGCCCCGTTTGTGGAGGTCTATTGATTCTTTGAGGCGCGAGCCGAACGCTACGCGCCAAACGCTCGTGTTTGGTTTTCTTAGGGCGGCGACCTACCCTTACTCGCCGTCCACAGACCCTCGCTTACGGTGGCCGGAGATCGTCTCTCGCTCCTGCTCTGGGCTGGGGCTGCGGCACATTATTGCGCTTGCAGCAACCCTGGCTGGACAATTTGATCCCCTTCTGTGGTGTTCTGAGTGCTATTCTAAGGAACTTATATTCATCTCACAGAAAACCATCATGAAAGATCTGAATGAGCTCAACAAAAACTTTATTGATATATTTACTTGAGGAGCGGAAACATTGATCCCCGAAAATTATTCTCAAGAATTCTCAGTTATAATTATTAATATTCGATGAATGCCAATAAACTCCCTTGTATTTTGTAGGATTTGTAACATAAACAATGAACATATGGTATGTATGTAAATACCTGTATATAGGTATGTATGAAAAAAGGAAGTTGAACAAAATAAATTGCTCCTAAAAATAATTAGGTTGTGAATACGTGAATTGAAGGGGATTCCCATACATGAAAGGAAATAGAAATAGGAAATAGTTCATTAAAGATAATTTGGCTGTGGGTCGCGGAAATTTTTGACTCGTCAGTCAATTAGCCGGTAGGTACTAAATTTGCAGGTAGGTACGGGACGTTAATCCTAATTCCATGATAAGATGACACATAGAGATTGAAAAGCCTAAACTCAATTTCTAACCACGTTTCGATTGGGATGATGTTTTTTATGGGGGAAAAACATTAAATGACTTCTGTCGCCCAGGGTAAGTTGAGACCGAGTGTCAGATTCTTACTTACTAAAACCGCTCGTTATGCTCGCAAAGAGGGAGGCGGCCAGCGTGAGGGAGCAATCCTCCTTCTCACGCCCCAGCCACCGCAACAGGCGACACTACAGGAGTCAGGGATCAAGGGACGATCTCCGGCCACCGTAAGCACGGGTGACGGCGGGTAAAGGCAACTCGCCGCCCGACCAGAACCAGACCCGAGCGTACGTTCTCAAAGAACCAATAGACCACCACAGACGGGGCCCTATAGGACTGATGTTCAGCCGGGGTTGCGGGGAAATCGCAATGAGGCACCGCACCTCGGCCCAGAGCAGGAGAAGGAAAAGGGGGTTTTTAGTCAGTAAGAGTCTGACACTCCCTTCCGTTCGGTCCTGGGCGGGTGAAGTAGTTTGATGACTTCCCCTCACAAAAAAAGTATTATCTATTATTACCATAATGATAAGATAATTCATATGAAATAATGAAAAGAATTACAGTAGTCATGTAAGAAAACAATAAGAACTTATTTAACACGTGGAACAACTACAGCGTTGTGTTTCGCCATGTGAGTGAGGTTACCGGAGGCTCTATGCCTATATTTATCGTAGAAAGCATTTAATTTCGCAAGAAAAAAAAAATAGTGGCTTTTGTTTTAAATGAACCTCTAGACGTGCATAAAAAATAAGGGTAATGTGACCGAAACTTAAAAAATCAGCAAAAAATCGTCAGTACTTTCAAAAGGCAGTAAATTTTTCCCAAACACATTCATTTAAAAATAGAAATTTAGAATTTGAAGGCTGTTAAAATGTATGTAAAAGAAAAATCCTAAAACTGTTTAGGCACATGATTATTTGGAAATGCATAAAATTTGTCCTCAAATTTGGCATGGGTGGGTAACACAAAAATAAAGCAATTACCAAAATGAGGCATAACAAGAAGATAAAACAGATTAGGTGTTTTTGCAACGTTTCCGTTTTTATTAAACAAATATAACACTGTGACAACTATTATGGCCAATTATTTTAAAACTCCATATAAATAAGCGTAAAGTTGGTGTTCAAAGCATAAAATATTTGAAAGTTTCAAGGGTCGGGAGTACGTGTGAAACATATAATATGGTTAAACTAACTTGTGTAGTCTTTTGTGCAGTAGCAATGGCGTTATCTGTATTCGTTGTAAGTATACCAGTTTGTTTTTATGACTGGACATTTGTACCTCCTAATACTTCATTGGCCGGGATTGTGTATCAAGCACAATTGGGTATGGGTAGCTATCTGTCGATACCCTAATAATGTTTATCTAATTTTAAAGAAATACGTTAGCTGTTTGGCGGAAATACACTATGACGTCAAAATTTTCAGTTTTATTCAAATTTCATAGAACAGTTTCGTTTTTTACATTTGGTTAAACGTATTGAATTGGGTTAGTTGGGAACTAACGGCCCCGGCTTGGAACCGAAGAAGAAATGGCTTGGATTTTAGTCAGTACTTGTACTGACACTCCCTTGACCTGAGAGCTAAAGAAATCGATTGATGATATTCGTAACTCAAAAACAAAATCCATACTAATACTATAAATGCGAAAGTAACTCTGTCTGTCTGTCTTTTCTTCACGCCTTAACTACTGAACCTATTTGAAATTTGGTACAGACATAGTTTGGAACTCGAGAAAGGACATAGGCCAAAAATCTGCTGGAAGTCACTATTTCACGCGAGCAAAGTCGCAGGCAAAAGCTAGTTAAATATATTTTCGATTGTTTACTAATTCGACAAGCAATTTCAGAAGTCCCCGTAACTAATTAAAGTTTTCTTTCTTTTTGTAGGCAGGTGAGGATGCAAATTCGGTTTTCCAAGGAGCTATAAAACCGTTGATAGCCGAGTGCGCAAAAGAATATAAACTCAGTGATGAGGAGCTTCTGAAAAACAGGGGTCTGGCTGGACTTAGCAATTTACCTCCTTGCTTCATAGGCTGTGTACTCAAGAAATTTGATATTGTAAGTTAACTTTCATTTGAATCGTATTTATAAGTATTATTCTGAAAGTTTCTGAGAATATATGGATAGATGTATGTTATTCTTTCACGGAAAAAGTCTGAACCGATTTGGTTGAATATAGTACATATATGTATGTAGATAGCTGGATTAATACATAGGCTGTTTTTTATCAACATAAAAGGTGGGCAAAACCCGCTTGCGGAAGCTAGTTATAACATAAGAGTTTTATTTTTATTTAGTGTGGTTATGATCATCGCAAGTGCTAAAAATTGGATACCTACATTTTACCACCATTATTATCATGTTTCAGATAAACGATAAAGGTTTATATGACGCAGAGGCGGGCATAGCCAAAATAGAGAAATTATTGCCAAATAACGAATTTTTAGATAAAATATCTGGAGTTTTGAAAAGTTGCGAGTCAGGTAAGATTTTATTTTTAATATTTTAAGTAATTTGACTGCTCGGTTGGCGATTTGGCTGGGTAACTGGTTGCCGCGCAACAACAACTCTTTGTGTGATCTACGAATTGTTGTTCCGGGTCTGGGTGTGATGTGCATGTGAAATTGTATGTTTGTAAATGCACCCACGACACAGGAGAAAATCCTAGTGAGGAGCAACGTTTTTAAAAATAGTCAATAGATTTGGACAGCCTGAACTGTGGAAGAGCCATGTTTCGTCATAAATGGCCCGGCTCGTGCGGGATGATACCACAACCTCACAGAGTTAACGACACTTGCCTTATGTAAAGCTGTGTAAGTGAGGTTAGGTTAGGAGGTCTAAGCCTTACCCCCATCCTCAAATAATAAAAATCCAGCAATGCACTTGAAACTCCTCTGGTGTCAGTGGGTGGCGCTGATTGCTTACCATCATGTCTGCTACGTCTGGTGGTCCGTCTTATCGTCGAGCCCATACTAAAACGAAAAAAATATAAAACAAATATGTTTAATTACAATTGCTTTTTTAGCAAACGAGAAATCTGTCGGAGACGGAGATGCTGGGTGCGAGAGAGCTGTCCTGGTAGCCACCTGCTATTTGGAGCATAAAACTGCTGTGAGTAAAATTTTAAGATATAGATATTTTTCGGGGCCAGTCAGGCACTGCAGAGCAGGAGAAGGAATGGATTGTAGTCAGTAAGTGACACTCCCTCTCGCTTCACCCTGTGCGGGAGAAGTCATTTGATGATTTTTTCCCCTCTTGAAAAAGGTTTTTTACAACATATTCATACACAGCGTGGATTATTGAACATCAGTAGGTAAATTGTCTAGCAATGCGTCCTTATGCCATTTAACTTAAGCATTTATTTCCCAACTTAAGCTGCCTGCTACGTAGATTTTACGACAAAAATTTTATAACAAAAAACGAAACGAAGCGGATTGTTTCCTGTATAGATTTTTTTAATGGACCTTACCTTGTGGAATATAAAGACTAGGATGTACAACAAATGAATGTTGCTACTGTTAACATACAGTTTAGAGACATGGGTCCTAACTCCTGAACTGCTATATAGAGACTCGAAAGTCCCCTAGCAAACGATAGAGATTGAGGGGATCTTAATTTTTGGTGTTATATTTGTAGTTTTCTACTATCGAACCTATATAATATTAATATGTCTTATGCAAAGGCAACTGCAACTGGCTTGTTTTCAAATACTTATAGTCAGAGACACTCTCTCTCTCTTTCTATCTCAGAGATTTCAGATCACCGTGTCTTTTAATATTTAAATGTTTTGGCGGAATTCGGTTTTTGTTTAATTTCGAACAGGTTACTTCATCGAAATCAATCAAAGAGGATTCATTCATTTATGAAATTATTCATTAACTATAGAGCCTACACTCTTGCCCAGAAAAAAAAATATTTAGGAATTGTTTTAATACTTAATATTTTTTTTCAATTTTCAGGTCATTGCCTAAGCAGCGTCAGGACTCATATGGATAGAAAAATAAAACAAAAATGTATCTTGTAATTATTATATTATAGATTTATTTTTAATTAGCTGTACGTTATTTTAATTTTTAACCAAATAACTTAGTGCGATAAAGCTACACAATGATCATCTAGGTAGTTAAGTCTAAGTTTGAATGGAAAAAGTTATCTAAATATATAAAAGGAGAAAGTGACTAACTGACTGACATAAACTGCTAAACTAGACACTTGAAATATGGAAGGGACGTAGCTTAGGTACCGTAAAGGTGCACTAAGAAATGAATTCCCAAAATTCCCAAGGGAAAGGGAATTGTCGGAAAAATCCCCAGGGCAAGGGGTAGATTACTTTTATAAATGTAAATGTGAGTGCCCTGTAACCTATTACAATTGTTTAGACTAGCGGAATGTCGGTCCTTATAACAGCTTGGAGTTGTCATGCTCACTGAAAGGTCACACTGGCGGTGGCATGGGCGCTGGATCGCTTAATTTCCTATAATATGGTTGAGATGGCCGATGCTGGTGTACGTGTCATGTTCGTGAACGGGCGCCGTCAGTTGGGCCTGGTCAGCTCCAGACTGTCTATTGTACTTAAGGTTACTTTCTTTTTATATTTGAATAAATATTATTAAAATATTATATTATATTAGTGTTACACTGTTCTCATGAACCAACTGTTTGTAAAAGGAATCTGTATGTGAAACTGATTTAAAAAGAGTAACCATGGAGTTTCTTGCTCGTTCTTCTCCATCGGAATCTACACTTTGGAACGAGCAAATAGTTTCACTAAGAGGACTGACCGACAGACTGACACTATATTTTCAAAATTTTGTTTGACGTTCAAAAGTGCTTGTAAGGGTCTAATTCGAATAAATGAGTTTTGACTTTTGACTTTTTGACTTTATACATGTGCGAAGCCGCTGCGGGCGGAAGCTAGTATTATATGCGTTATACCATAAGCAGTCCTTGAGCTTTACGCCTGAAAGGAGGCAAATGTATATCTAACTGGATCTTCTTCTTAATCGCGTTAATATTGACAGAGTAGTCGTGGTCTTCATGTGGTTGTGAAGACGGAGAAGGCTACCAGATTCACCTCCTGATGCCCAACCTTTTTTGTTTGCTGCTGCAAAATTACTACGCAAACTAGTATAACTTTATCATTCAACCGGTATTAGTAGCACATCCAGATCTTTCTTTATAAGGAAATCAACTAATTATTCTTCTTTCACCTTGGTGCACTAAGTAGGTACACAATAGCACTATTGGTATTTTAAAGAAATTAGAATAAAGAAATTAATTACATTAGGTTATGGGGTTCTGAGGCAGTGAAATATCGCAGATTAACTCTTTTAGACTTCTGTATTAAGTTTAAATTACACCGAGACGTCTTATTCGTTTTACAGTTGTCGCCATCTTGCTTTTCCCCCTCTATCCTTCCTCTCTCTCACACACGTGTCATTGCTGTTTGGTGACGGAAACGCAGCAGTAGAATACATTTTTATCACACTTTTCCTTTAAGTGTGTCCTATAGAGTACGATCATCCACCATCCAATTGTGTGGAGGAAGCACAGTACTCTATAAGGCCTTTGTATCTTGGCGAGTCTGAAGTTAGCCGTTTGTCTGCGCGATGGATTTTTTAGGAACAAAATTGTGTACTGCGCAGCTAATCGGCTAACTTCAGACTCGCCAAGATACGTTGGCGGTGCTTGTACTTCAGCAATTAAGCATAACTTTAAATAATGGACTTGGTTATTTTTGTACATCATATTAAATTAATCTATATACTTATAATAAATCTGTAGAGAGGTCGATTCTGTACCTACATTAAATAAACTTTCAAAATAACTATTAGGGGACGATTAACGATCGATACTGATGCCAAAAATCTGTTAATTTTTTTTCTGTCTGTCTGTTATTTATAGAAACAAAAACTACTCAACAGATTTTAACGAAACTTGGTACAATTTCCTTTATATTTCTGGTCAGGTTATATATACTTTTCATCACGCTACAATTAATAGGAGCAGAGCAGTGAAGGTAAATGTTGGGAAAAGTTACTCCATTTTTAAGTTTCCGTCGCGAGTGCAGCTTGGACGTTTAAAACTACATATAAATTGTGTATGACGGAAATATTTTAAATAACATAATCTAAAAAAATCTAATTATGTCCCGTGGTGGCCCGGAGGTTAAGGAGCCCGCTTCTCATGCATGAGGTGCGGGTTCGAAACCTGGCAAGTACCAATGTGACTTTTTCCGAGTTATATACACTTTTTATGATTATTTAGACACCACTGACATACGGTGAAGGTAAACATCATGAGGAAATCTGGACTTATAATTTCTAATTACAAACCTTCTCCGTGTGAGAAGAGGCCTTTGCTCAGCAGTGGGCACTTATAGGCTGATGATGATAATGATGATGAAAAAAAATTCTACAACAGCACATGTCTATCTGTTATCGTTAACTCAAAATAACACGATAGCTTAACAGTTCGGGGCATTTTGATTATATCCTTGTTGCTCTTACGTTAATAATACTTTCATCCATTCCTGATAAAAAAAACTAGCATTATAACCAATTAAATACAAAATAATCATATACATTGCCATAGAAAGACCAAACGTATACATTAAATATGCTAAAAGGCCAACGCGACGTCGCACGTGAACACTGAATCATGCTGTAAGGACCATTTGTGTAACAGTTGCCGCGCTTGATGCGGCCCGGTATAATATAATATAAAGTATAATCGCGGTATAAAATAAAATACAATATTCATAGTTTTTATAAAGTATCTATAATACTTACCTAATAGTTAGATCCTTACCGTTCTATCTATGGACGGACGGACAGCGGAGACTTAGTAGGTAAGTAATAGGGTTTTTACCCATTGGAGCACCATAAAAATGTGGCATATAATAACTAATTCTATGTATACTTCGATTTTGTTGTCAGGCTATAGGTTGCTTTTTATCAAAACGCCACGCGGGTGAAGCCGCGGACGGAAGCTAGTTTATAGTAAGAGTGGAAAAGCTATACTTCGGCGCGAATGGGTCATCACGGCCTCGAAGAAAACGGTGTGAAAAAACCACAGCGTTGTATTTTCCCTCCCTTAATCCCTAAATTCCCAAAATACTAATTCTAAAGAGGTCGGCAACGCACTAGTACCTCGTCCGTTGTTGCGGATGTCCATAAGCGGCGCTAATTCCTGACCATCAGATCTGTTCGTTTATTATCACATAATAAATAATAATATGTTTATCGGCTTTCTCCCGTAACAGTTTGACGATAAAACCCGATTTGTTTCTTCAGCTCATATCCATACTAACGCGCGAAGTGGCAAATGCACGATTAGCGCAGCCAACTCTTGAAATAAGTCGAGTTATTTCACCAAGTTGAACAATTACGGGAGTAAAGCAATGAACATATTAGATTGTTTTTATTTACCTGCATTTAACAACTTACTGAGATACACACAAAACGATAGCAATATTTAAATGTAAGTATTAAGATACTAGCTACTGCCACGCGGTTTCATCCGCTTCTCGGCTTCCACTGGTCGTAGCGTGATGTTTTATAGCAGCACTCAAGAACATTGTAGCCATCAATCAGTAAAATTTTGGGAATCCGACCCGCTGGTCGTATTGTTCTAAAGATTACCCCTTATAGAAAAACATAAACATTTTACCTCTTTATAATATTAGTATAGACAAAATCAATCCTTGTCTTCTCAATACAACCCAATGATAATATGCACTTATTTTACCAGCAAAAGTTTCTTTAGACGTCTGCTTAGCTAGACTCCTAATTCTTGACTGTCACACTATTTACTATAACAACAATGCTTGAGACTTTACAAAAACCATTAGTAATTTCCGACGATTTTCGAGGACAAAACAACACTAATTTGATGTAAAGTGACAAGTGCAATTTAGGAGACTGAAACGTTGAGTAGCTATTTTATGATGTTGCAACACAAAATAAGGAGTTGCTATGATATTGCTATCTGCAAATTGCATCTTTTTTTAACTAATTGACCGCCAAACGAGCAGACCGATTACCTGATGGTAAGCAATCAGCGCCGCCCATGGACACCAGCAACGGAGGAGTTACGTGTGTTTTTGGAGATTAAGGGATTGGGGAGGAATCGGGAGAGGGGAAGGATTGGGCCTCCAGTAACCTCACTCACACGGCGAAACACAACGCTGTGGTTGTTTCACGCTGGTTTTCTGTGAGGCCGTGGTATTACTCCGGTCGAGCCGACGACCCATTCGTGCCGAAGCTTGGCTCTCCCACACTTAAAACCTTTATGATGTACAGCTTCTTGTGGTATGCACGTTAAGCGCCATGGGGGTCACCGGTGACCTCCGCTAGCGGAGGATTCGCCTTCAACATTTTTCCATCGGCAGTCAAAGCCTTAATAAAAAGTAGCCTATGTCCTATTCTGGAGTTTATCCTATGCCTGTGCCAAATTTCGTCCAGATCCGTCCAGCCGTTTTGGCGTGATTGACCAAAACAAACATCCAAACATCGTAACTTTCGCATTTATAATATTAGTACGATAAGATTCCAAAAAGATTTCATTCCGTTTCGGACAGAACAATTAGAAATGGCTCTTAATTTCAAGATGATAGGGTTTAAACCTCCGATAAATTTGCTTAAGTGCTTAAGTCATTTGCCGTATTTGCATGTCAATAAAAAAATAACATTAGATAGGAGAGTGTCATAAAAGTACATGGTAGATATTCCATTATGGCTGTATCGCAAATAATTATGTAAGGTAGATCGCTTAATTACATAGCGGCATCGGCATCATTTAATAGGTACTAGCGGCCTGCCCCCGCTTCGCACGGGTCCAACTATATCGCTATTAATGGTCACTTTTTCCTAATCTTCCCCTCTTCTTTTCTAATATTTTCTTTGATAAGACCCTTCTCCTGACAATAACAAACATAACAAAAATTAAGAATTAGCAAAATTGGTCCAGGCGTTGTTGAGTTATGCGCTTACCAACACATTTTGCGATCCATTTTTATATAATTATATTTGCTCCTAATATAAAGTTCAATTTTCACATGTGCTTAAGCTGTTTCTTCAATACAAGTTTCTCATCTAAATTAATCTTCAAGTTCTAAAAACCAAGAGTAAGAAAAAATAAAACAATTAAACCTTAGTCATTGTTTGTCTAAAGAAGTTCCAGTGCGAATTCGTTGTAACTAGTAATCGTTGAAACAATAGAAAATTCCTCTACTTAAGGAAGTAGGTACGGAGATAATGTCCAAAAAGCCAGCTTTTTTGTTGTATTTCGTAACATTGAGTAAACCTTGGTGAGATATTATGATAATTGCCTCTCATCACGATGACTTTAACATCAAGACGAACTTTTCATATAAAAAGACAACTAGCTAAGATTACTGCATAACATTTTCGACAGTCACAGCATCTAGTGCAACGCCAAAGAAATCTAGAAAGATGTCGAAGTTCACCTGCATTATCCTCTGTGTTGTGGCTGCAAGCTTGACCAAGGTTTCTGTAAGTATCATAAACAAGATTTTTTTCAAAAAAACTCTACTTCTGAGGATCTAGTTATCCTAGATTCCTTTGAGTTAATTTAATTTCATGTGTATATAGATACACATCTATTTTGAGTATCTAGTAGGTTGTTCTAGTATTAAATATTTTATCTAGTATAGACTAGACTGCTCCAAAAATATTTCTTATCACATTTACTATCCCTAAAATGGTAAACATAGATGCATAAAAATACAACAATCTGAAAAACTTTGAGAATTTCGATAAAAAAATATTTGATCTATCTGAGTATCGAAGCCATTGGCCAGTGAAATGTGATGGTTGTAATATTTCTCGTGTCACCGTAGCATGCAGTAACTGAAGAAGAGAAGGAAGCATTCCGTGAGGCCATGGCACCCATCATCGCGGAGTGTTCTGAAGAACATGGAGTGAGTGAAGCTGACATCAAAGCTGCAAAGGAGGCTGCTAGCGCTGACGGTATCAAACCCTGCTTCTTAGGCTGTGTGATGAAGAAAATTGAAGTGGTATGTTTACTATTACATTATATTATAAAGCACGTTTTAATCAAGGGCCTTATGTATACTAATAATATTATAAAGCTAGAGAATTTGTTTGTTTGATAATCTCCAATCGCGCTAATCTCCAAAACTACTGGTTCGAATTGAATAAATATTAATGTGTTTGTTAGCACATTTATCGATGAAGGCTTTACGCTATATAACATCACGCTACGATTTGTAGGAGAAAAGTACAGAGTGAAACCGCGCGACAGAAGCTAGTTAATAATATTGAGGATTTAGGATAACTTCTTAATTGTGAATCATAACGTTATGTTACAGATTTTTAAGCAAAGGTTTAATAACCAACCGGATTTGGTTTACGAATATATCAACTATCACTTTATAAAAAATAATTTAAAGCAGTTGCGTGGTCATCAAAGTAAATTTATAATGAACTTTCATGTGTAGCTGGACTCAAAGGGCCTGTACGACGCTGAAACTGGACTTGGTAAACTGAAAAAGTTCGTCAAGGATGATGACGAATTCGCCAAATTCGAAGATATCGCCAAGAAATGCCTGAAAGGTTAGTATTAGATGAAAATACTCTATTTACAATAGAATATCCTTTAGTCTCCATTAAATCAAATGATTTTGTGTTAAATATAATGTATAACTTAAGATAGGGTACTACCCTTCTGCTAGTATTATTACTTTCTTATTAACATACTTGCTTATGGCAAGCAATGAGTGCTGCCCATGGACACCCGCAACAAGAAAGGAGTTGCGTTGCCTACCTTTTGGGGATTAGGGATTTCTAAATTAATGGACTCACTCTATTATCTTGAACAATCCTATGCGGTTTTCTTTTTAAACGACTTCCAAAAAGGATGATGGTTCTCAATTCGACCGTATAAATATGCTTTTTTTATGTTTGTTCGCCGATATCTCCGTTATTTATGAACCGATTTTGATGATTCTTTAAACTAAACGAAAATATGTATTACTTTGGACAAAGTAGATTTATTTTTTGCTTTTTAGTTTACATTTTGAAGTCGGTTTTTTTTTTGTTAAAAATTATTTTAGATATTCTTGAATTATTTGTGTATTAATACAGTAATGGTCAATCATCGCACCATAACCACTATTTATTTAGTTTACTAAACTTTTTAATAAATTGTTACAGTTAACGATGAGTCTGTAAGCGACGGTGAAGCGGGATGTGACAGAGCCAAGCTTGTCCTGGGTTGCTTCTTGGAGCACAAAGTTGAAGTGAGTTGTATTTTGAATTTTATCTTTTATTGAAAAGAGCTTATTATTTTATAAAAGTTTGTAATCAGATTACTTATCTTTGTTGTAGGCGAAAACGACTCGTGTTCGATTTTCACTTGGGTTGCCCTATACTATTACTAATCCACAAATTGTTATTTAGTTTCTGAGTGTGATTTGAGTGTCAGTTATTTTTTTTTTTAAGAAACAGTCACGTCACTTTAATGCAATACGTAAAATAATATCCCTATTAGTTAGAAATACTTATTAACATAATTTTTTTCAGATGCCGTTCTAACGCATTAGCAGTTGTGGACAAGATTTAAAGAAATACTGAAAGAGGCTCGATTTGTTTCTGTTTTGTAAATTATTATGTTTATTTAATCTGTAGTTAATATATAAATAAAGCAATGTTCATTTAATTTACTGGTTTTATTTTCTTATTTAATATTTTTAAAATATTTCTCAATCCAGATTTGCTAGCTCGCGTGATTTGAAACTGTCATACCTTTTAAATAAAAAACAAATGAAGTAATTTTTAAATAACAATTTAATTTAATCCAATCCAATTATAATTCAAATATATCGTAACATAGTAGTATTTAATACAATCTTCATTCTCCAAACCTTTTCATATGTTCGCAGCGTAACAGCTATTTCTAATGATAATCATTTAAATGTCAAAGCCAAACTGAAAAAGAAAAAAAAAATGTTTAGAATGTTATGTTTTCCAGACAATTCCTTAGTTAATTTAATATTTAGAACCAGCTTGCCCTGCTTCGCAAAGGTATCTAACTAAATATTTTTATAATTTTCGTCTCAAAATTTCAAAAATTTTCTTACAAAAGACTATATATTTAAGTGTGGGAGAGCCATCCTTCGGCACGAATGGGTCGGCTCGACCGGAGTTATACCACGGCCTCACAGAAAACCGGCGTGAAACAACCTCAAAGTTGTGTTTCGCCGCGTGAGTGAGGTTACCGGAGGCCCAATCCTTCCCCTACCTCAATCCCTGAATCCCCAAAATCGCAATCCCAAAAAGGTCGGTAACGCACTCGTAACTCCTTCTTTGTTGCGGGTGTCCATGGGCGACGCTGATTGCTTACCATCAGGTAATCCGTCTGCTCGTTTGCCGTCCTATTACATAAAAAATATCTATACAGTATACATAGTATACATATAGATATCTTGCTCTTGTAGGAAGACAAACGCAACAAAAGAAAAAACAGTGAGCTGAGCCACTAGGACATTTTATATAAATCATTAGATTAGTATGTAAAAATGAAACTGCCTATTTGATGGCCTGACATGTTTTCTTGATAATTGCATTTTCTTTACACATCTTTTATAAAGTCAACATCACACATCAATATGTGCTCAATACTGAGGAAAGGCCTCTTCTCACACAGGGAAGGTTTGAACATTTATCATTGCTCAAGCTCGATTGACGATTTTGATTAATTAATTAATTTGGTATTATAACTGCACTTATAAAATAGAATTATAAGTTTTTCGAATAATGAGTTTCCTCACGATGTTTCCATTCACCGTTTGTCAGAGGTGTAATAATCATAGAAAGTAATCATAAAAATCATAGAAAATCATGTAACGCATGAGACGATTCCCAGTATGAATATCAAAATTGAATATCAAAATACGTACCTTGGAAGCATTCTCTGTCATGCATTTATATGCAAGCATAGCGCGTTCACAGCCAGCAGCACCATCACTGACAGATTCAGTGTTAACTGAAATTTTCGGATAATTTGATTAATTTCTAGTACTTTTGCTTCTGTGATTAATAAAGAGGTACTACCTAAATTTATCCTCTTTTACATTAAGGCAGAAGCTAAGTTTGCAGGATGGAAATGAAAGACTTTTTACTAGAAGATGTAAGACACTGCTACCTTCTATAGCCTCTGTTAAAAAGAAGCCTACTTTATGTTACTTCATACCATTTCTGTCTATTAAGACGATAGAGGGAGAAACTTCAAGTGTGGGAGAACCATGCTTCGGCACGAACGGCTCGGCTCGATCTTACGGAAGCGGTATTGAACGTTTGTCGTGTGATTACCGTTTGTCGTTAGATTTACCAGAGGTCTCCATCTCCCCCCCCCCCTCATTTTGAAACTCCAAATTTTCTATCCTTAAATCGCTAACAACCTACGAAAGGGTGGCAGCGCACTTATAACTCCTTTTGTGTTGCGAATGTCAATGAACGGCGCTGATTGCTTACCAGCTTACCATCAGGTGGTCAGGTACCTATTTTTGCATTTTGAATATTAATAGGATATGATAGTGTTAACTTACTGTGTGAGCAGGAATGAAGATAATCCTCAATTGCCTTCACTTCTTCGGGATCATCGAATACAGCTCTGGCCATTTCCAGCGCAGTTTCTTTCTGCACCATACCCTTGTCATCCATCTGGAATTTATCAATGGGACAATGATTAAATGTGTTATTATTTACTACATACGTATGGCATCAATAAGCAGTATTAGTTTTTGTTATTATCAAACTTGTTTGGAAAAGGAACTCAGCTAATTTATATGACAAAATGTATAATTCGATTTTGTTGGAAGTGATCAACTATAATATCACTGTCTATACCTTTTGCTAACCATGGATCTACGGCAAGTAGATCTGAGGTATCTTTACTTATTTAAAGTTCATTTTACTTATTTAAAGTTCATTTCTAATGAAAAACACAGCAGTTGGGATCTCCCAAAGGTTTTAAGTTATCCTATGTATGAATATCTATACTTACATCAGGTTTCCGAAAGGCCGATCAATGTTAAAATCAATTTAATCTCTTGTCAAGTCATCTGATTGGTTGACTGAATTATCAACAACCAATCAGACGACTTGACAAGAGATTTAACAGGAGATTAGTTATTTTAGCGTTGACAAGCTTTTCAGAAACCGGGTGAAATATTTAAAGCTGTAGAGTTTGTTTGTTTGTTTGAACATGCTAATCTTCGGAACTACTGTTTTGATCAATTTTTTTGTGTGTGTTTTAGTCCTTTTGTCGTGAAAGGCTACAAAGCATCACGATACGATCTGTAAGAACCAAGCACTGGGTAAAACGGTATGAGAGTAGCTAGTGTGTGTTTACGGATTAAGTCTTCAATTCATACTTACAACACCAATTTCCTTCATCATGCAGGCCAAGAAGCATGGGGCGTTTGGACCACTCGGGATCTTCCTAGCTCGTAAATCGGCGATATCATTAGCAGTTATGATATGGCTGTCTTTGTTACAGGACTTGCCAATGGCTTCGAAGTGCTCGTGGATGAGGGCTTTCTGCTCAGCTGTCATGGCCTGGTAAAAAAACATATAAGTAATTATTGAAGATGGTAAGTAACAAATTGCTTGCTAAAATTATAGATAACATTTTTAATCGATATATTTAATGTGACTAGCTACTTGGTATTTCTTTTTACTTGAATATTGAATTGGTATTTTGTTTTTATATTGGCTTATTTATTAGGGCTATTGTTTTAGTTTTTTTTAATTATTCATACATTTATTGAATAGTAGGTACATCGTTATACAATTTGTAATATAAAAATTGAATAAAGATGTACATGATAAACAGGTTGGTGATTACGTGAAGCCATTTGAAGAAAAATATGAATACGAGAGTTTTTTATTATATCTTATACTCACAGAAGCTAAATAAGGCGTTAAAGCACAGAAGTACAAACAACACACGAATACGGAAAACTTGATCATTTTGAGTTTTGATTTCAGATGACCGTTCACAAATTGAGATCCGGAGACTTATGGTTATTTTTTGGAGATTTCCCGAATTTATATACCTACTAACGAAGTAGTAATGATAGATCTTTTACTATATCATTACTTTTCATAACATCAAATTAAGCATGTCACATTAGTTCTAATAAGTAGGTTTCAATGTCACGATGACTCAGTGATATGGGCTTAGTGAATTGTTGCCAAAAATTGTGAGGATCATTATTTGATCAGGTTCCAAAGTACAAGAACGCCTAATGACTTCAGCTACTGCGACTCCTGTTTCTAGAATACAATAGAAGATAATGTTAAGAAGAAATAGGAACATGGAATTGTGTTGTGAGTATTGTAATGCAAAATAGGTTCTTCGTTTTTCTAATTAACGATCACAAGGTGTTCATGCCATTTTATACGTTATTGTAAAAGAAACAAGAAGTAATGCTCTTTTTGTGTCCATTCTTTATTTTTACTGAAATAAAAGTACCTATTATTCTATATGTTTAATTCTGTGAGTTAAATGAACATCTGCTCTGTCTAAGACTTCATCTCTTTGCAAAGTAAACATTGTTTTTATTTTATCAAGTTTCTTGTTACGTATTAAACACGGGATGATTCAGATTATTTATTTGTCAATAATTTTAATGTTGTAATAACAAAAATATGCTATTGTGAAACCAAATGATAGCAAACTGAGAGTATATCATAAAAATCTGGATATGCTAACATAGACTTAAAAACTTCGGTGTAAAGTTGAAATTGGCTTTGCAGTTTGCCATTTAATATTTATAAAATGGATAACTGATTGCAATAGTGTGAATGCTTTTGTTGTTATCCACTGGTTATTCACAATTGATGTTAACTATATATATGCGATAATTTGTATTATTTGACACATTCGCTTTAGCAGTGCGTACGATTTCGTTGGCAGACATGTTGGGTTCATTATTATTTGTTTTTGCCTTCAGTGTTTTCTCTTTAGGTGCTGAGGTCAGTTTTAAATTAATTAACTGATAATTTCTCTTACGAAATGTTGTGGATATCATTTCCATAGATGTAGTAATGGGATTTTCTTTTCCAGGCTTTATTAATAGATGATTTGAAGCAGAAATACGTGGACAGCATATTACAATGTAGTCAGCAGTACCCGTTGGATCGTGCGGACGCAGAATTACTTCAGAACAAAGTTATGCCTGACAAGGAATCAACCAAATGTTTATTTGCGTGCGTTTATAAAGTGACAGGAGTGGTAAGTTTACAAATTATTATCTATCTTTCTAACAAAATCTTGTCCGTCCGAAATTTTCCATTTGTGCATTACAAATGGAAAATTTCGTAGATGGTCCAAAAATTGTCGTACGTTTCTCGGATATGATCTTTATAAAGAATTCACTAGTGTAGTGTATGTTTAAGCAGCAAAAAGATAACCATATTGATATTCATTTTGTAAATTAATTTTTTTTGTATTTATTAATTATTGTTTAATTTAACCTAAAATGGTCAGACTTTAAGTATTTTGTGATTCTAAAAAGTAAGGTTACTCCTCGTTCCCTTTTAAGTATGTATGTGTAAAGTTCCATTTTTCCTACAAAATTGCAGTAATATACAAACAAACGTCAGATTTGATTTGACGGAGGACCATGCAATTGAGGATCCTAGTATAGGTATCTTCACCATATATCATGTGATTAGGTATATTTTTTAATGGTAGGATTTCTTATGTATGTGCCACATCTCACAGTGCGGGAAAAAATACATACAATATATCTATTTCAAAATAAATCGCGTTATTTTAACATTAGCTTCATCCAGTACTGGTGAAGCAAGAATGCTGGTTACAAGGACAATATTTAATAGTATGCTGTGCCGAAAGATATTTAGATTTAAAATTTTCATAAGGTAATGTTTTTATAAAATATATTCTATTCCTTTTTTAATATTCCAAATAACGTTACTTTCAAATTATCAATATGTTGTCGCTAGTACCTAACAATTAGGTATATATATCTTCTTATATGTAGGTACATCAAATTTTCGTATCACAAACCTTACTCCTCCGAAACGACTTTACTGATTTTTACCAAATTTTATATGCATAATCACTAGGTCTAGAATCGGCTACTGGCCATTTTTTATACCTTTTTTTTTGTGAGGGGATATCATCAAATGACTTCTCCCGCCCAGGGTCGGGCGGGAGACTCTTACTGACTAAACCCCTCCGTTCCTTCTCCTGCTCTGGGTCGAGGTCGCGGTGCCTCATTACGCTTACCCCGCAACCCCGGCTGAACATCAGCCCTATAGGGCGCCGTCTGTATTTTTCATACCCCTACGTGATAAAACAAAGTCGCTTTCTCAGTCCCTATATCCCTATGTAAAATCTTTAAAACAACAAAACGGATTTTTATGCGGCTTTTAATAGTTAGAGTGATTGATGAGGAGGGTTTATTATGTATAATAACAGCCATTTAATGGTGTAGAATTCTCTGAATCTGTGCGAAGTCGAACTAGTAATTTATATGGCAAAACAACGTTTGCTGAGTCAGCTAGCAACGACCTAAATATAGGTACTGCACAAAATAAAATAGCCTTTAAAATAAATAGCTTTGAGTCTAATTATTTCGATTACGGATCTGTAGCTTCAGTTTAGTTCCCAGCTTATGTAAAATTACGCAAGGTCGCGTGATAAGTACACCAATTACACGGTTCGTGGACATCGTACAAAGCCTTCGTGGCTGCTATTACAGGCTGTGCAATGCTCTTTGTCCACCGGAAATATGTTTTGTATTTTTCTATGGATCTGGTAGCCTTTGCAGCGATGTGTGTGGAATATATTTAAAAAACAAGATATACCTATATTATGTCTACATTATACCTAAAGTTGTTTTTACCAGCGGCTTCGCTGGCATGGTTTGGTGAAAGGATACATTTATAGCCTATGTATTAATCCAGGATCTACCTATCTACATACCAAATTTCAGCCAAATTAGTTCATTCGTTTTTGCGTATTTGCATAAATCCATAAATTTACAAAACTTTCTATAGTAGGATGTAGGATAATAGAACTGAGCCTGGTATATGATGATAGCTTTGCCTTTCATTTCAACGGTCCTAACATTTGGCATACATTTGGTGTGGAAGAGCCATGCTTCAGACGAAATGGCTTGACCGGGTTGATACCACGGCTTTACAGAAATCGGCATGAAACAGCGTTTGTGTTGTGTGTATTTGTTTAACTGGGATTACCGAATACCCAATCCCTCACATCTGTACCATTATTTATTAAATCCCTAAAAGACCTGCAACGCGTTTGTAACACCTTGACGTTGCGGATGTAAATGGGCTACGTCATTTGCTTACCATCAGGTGATAAGTATTCTAGTTAGCCGACGCATTTAATAAAAAAAATACATTAAATAAACTTAGGTCCTTGTAATTAGAACATGTATTTCGTTTAAGTTTGTCTTTTAATAACTAATTTAAACATTGCAACGTAGTCTCTTAAAAAAAATGTTACTCGATACATAGATGACAAAAATTATATAGACAACTTTCTTTGGGGTTAAACCCATAGACAACAGATAGTTTAAATTATGATTCCCCTAAACGTATAGCAATCATTAACTTACTAAATAGGAAAATGCTACAATCACGATACATTCAGACGTAGATGATATTAAAAATGTATTTATAAACTTTTAGATGAGTGACCAGGGAGAGCTGTCAGTTGAAGGTGTCAATGCATTATCACAAAAGTATTTGGCTGATGATCCAGAAAAGTTGAAGAAGAGCGAAGAGTTTACCGAAGCCTGCCGAACTGGTAAATACTGATTTTAATAAAATTATCTAATGAAAGATGACAATGATGATGATGATGATCGCTTGCGATCATTATACAGACAGCTTTTTTTGGGAATAATCAAATGACTTCCCACCCTTAGTGTTAGACTCTTACTGATCAAGAATCATCCCGTTCCTTCTCCCGCTTCTCACCGAGGGCGTAGATATTTTTTGCGGTTAAATCGCTACCCCGCTGGATGGCTATGTTTTTGCTATGGACAGTTAAATGTTTGAGCATGCAACAGAGGGTCCAGTACATCCGTATTAAACAGATGTCCAGAATGATAAATTACTCGGTATGCAACTTTATTTTATTGAAAAAGATATGAATAAGAAAGAAATATTTAGCATAGTAGCAAAATTAATACAAACAAGAGAAACACATATCAAGATGAATAAACTCTTCCTTAATTATTGCAGTTAACGACGCTCCAGTTAGCGATGGAGCAAGAGGCTGCGACAGAGCAGCTTTAATCTTCAAGTGTACAATAGAGAAATCTCCTGATGTGAGTACATTTTTATTTAATCAGTTTAGTTTTCGATACACTAGCAAACAGTACTTACATATGTTACAGCAAATGTTAGGCAAAATTTTCATGAAATATATCAAAAGTTTGTTAGATACTAGTAAAAATAATTTATGGACTTTCTTTCTTCTCCATCGGAATCTACATTATGGAAGCCTACCACCTACATTCACGAAGTGGACTGATATACCTACTTATTTTTAAGCTATGTTTGACTTTAAAAAGCAAAAGGGCCGGTAAGGGTCAAATAGAAAGAATTGTATTTGACTTTTGCTATCTAGAGAATTCATCCTGAGCCAGAAGACTCTCCGTGCTGTGTAAAGGCCTTATCTAGAGGATTATAGCGCAAAAATATTTTTTCAGTCAGTAGTCAGTAGAAACTTACTAATGTAAGTAATTAACTCGGACTTAATGCCTATTTTTCCATCAGTAAACCGCAAGTTTCATTGTAAAAAGATTTTGCAATAGATTCCAAGCAATCGTCAATCTTATTTATAATAAACGAAGGTACAGAATTATAAAATATATTTTTTCTTTTCAGTTCAGCTTCGTATGAAGAACGAGCGGAAACAACGGCTGCCTAACCTAATTTTATGAAAACCGATTTTGCTTACGCGTATTGTGTTAGAGCTTCAGAAATTGTATCCCTTTCTGTATCATATATATACACGTTTTTATTTTTTAATAAAAGTTTTTGGTTGACTACAGATTCACGTGTTTTATATTATCTTTAATCTGACTTTGAGATTTCATCAATAGGTCGAAATGGTTGGTAGAAACATAGATTGTATCAAAAAAATACAGGTAGGTAGGTACCAATCGGCAAAAATGGAAACGATTCTTATCTATAAAGTGGACAGTAATATCTAAAATTATAATTAATGCCCTAATTTCCGTAATATCAACTATACTTTAATGTTACCGTAAATACGTAATTTTTTTTAATAGGAATGTTTCGGTATTTTAGTATTTATACGCAGTTCATCTCTCTTTTGATTAGTTCTGGACTTGTTAGGAGATCGATATGTGGAATTTTTTGGTTGTGTTTTTGGCAATATGCAGTTGTGTTTATGTAAGTCTTTTTATTTTTATCTTTATTTATATTAAACAATATTTTGTTAATATTTTATTTGAGTACGTCTCTTTAAACTATGGAGAAGAAAATCTAAAGGTGCTTAGATCAATGGCTTTAAACATACCTATAGAGATCTGTAGGAATTATTAGATAGAGAAGTATCCATTTTTAAGTAATTTACAAATATATTACAAAGCTTTTTTTCATTCTTAAGTCCAGTAAGTATTTTCAAAGATTTTTTTATTTATTTATGAAGTGAAAACACACAAGCAAAAGATGTTTATTGTTGACTCATAGTGCTTAGAATATTTGACAATGGAATAAGAATTTATGGAGTTCAATGAGACTTTCGCAATGACAACTCAGATCAAAAACCATTATCACAGATTGATCAATAGAAATATTTAAAAGCCACAACAAAGTTCGATAAGAATGAAATATTTTTAACTAGCCTGCGACTTTGTTAGCGTAGAATAGTGACTTCCTGCAGATTTTTGGTGTAAAAACTATAATATGCCCTTTTTCAAGTTCCAAACTATGTCTGCACCAAATTTCACAGAAATTGGTTCAGTAGTTTAGGCGTGAAGAAAAGACACACAGACAGACATAATTACTTTCGCTTTTATAATAGTTTGGATTGGATTTGCGCCGTAGATAATCTTTTCAATCAAATTTCACAATTTGACTAACCTATCTTTTACAAATTAGGGTCTCACAGAAGAAGAACTCAAGATGGAGTTCACAAAGTTAATAATGAAGTGTAATAAGGACGGGAAAGTCGACATGACAGAACTGGTGCAGCTGCAGAACTACGTGGTCCCAACGAAGCAAACGACGAAATGTGTTTTAGCTTGTGCTTATAAGGCTGCTGAAGTTGTTAGTATATATTTTTGTATTTCTTTTGAGTACTGAGTAAGCCATGCTTCGTCACGAATGGGATGCCTTGCCTAGAGTGATGACTATGGTTTCAAAGAATCAAAGATGCGTTATGTTTCGACTACACTATGACTATGTTATCGAGTGAAGTAACAGCAAGCCCCACCTGAAATACCTATCCCAGAAAGTACGCAACGCACTTGTATCAAATCTGATGATACCCAATTTGCATTGGATCCCTAATTACCCACATGAGGCCGTCAACGCACTTGTTGTAACTCCTTTGGTAATGCGAGTGTCCATATTGCTAACCACCAGGTGATCAATTAGGTCATATGTGTAACGCACTCTGTACCACAAAAAACGGTTTTAGAGTAAAAAAGGTTTGATTTAAAAATATGTATAGGTATTGGTACTCTTCTCAATAGTCCCAAGTCCCATCGCCTATTACATGTGACTCATATCACTATTGCAAAAAGAAGAAGTTGTATTTAAAAGTATTTAATGATGTACCTTGCAAATAAAAATTCAATATAATTTTTACAGATGAATGCCAAAGGCGAATATGATATTGATCATGCGTACAAAGTAGCTGAAATGATGAAGAATGGAGATGAGAAACGACTGGTTAACGCGAAGAAAATGGCGGATCTTTGTGTTAAAGGTATGAATTTATTATTTGTTGAATAAATTCGAATCTTTTCACTAGGCTTCTACAAAAAATATGATTAATTTTAAAAAATCGATACAATAAATAATATTATAGGTACCTACTTCTCGTCACGTATTCTTATCTATTTTTAACTGACTTTAAAAAAGAAGGAAGTTTTCAATCTTTTATTAGTTTTTTTAATGTAATTGGTTCACCGATTTCTCAAAGACGCCTGAACCAATTTGTTTTTTACATGCAAATGATTCATTAATCAATATTGTCGAAAAGCCTGTTTGGCCCTTGCTTGTTATAAAAATTTACTCCATGTTGGATTTAGTTATAATAGTATAGAAATTATTTTTTTGTTGTTTTAGTCAATGAACAGAGCGTTTCTGATGGAGAAAAGGGTTGTGACCGAGCCGCAATGATATTCAAATGCACTGTTGAAAATGCACCCAAGGTACGTAGAATATAATTATTGTTAAAATATATTTTATTATTATAAGAATCTATTTATACGTAGATTCGTGATCAGTGTCAACATACACTGAAATTCTTTAATCAAAAATTTTATGTTTTTTTTTTTCTGGAAGGTGCTTACCAGCTTTTATACCATTACCTATATTGGTGTAGTATGTTTCATTTACATCTATATTCTCATATTTTAATTCAATTATACATATTTTCTATGAATTATTTTATTTATATATGTTAATAAAAATGAACACGAATTGAGTACCTACATATATCTATTATAAAATGTTTCTTTTTTCTTTTCAGTTTGGATTCAAGTTATAAATAATTGAAATATGACGTGATGCTCCACTTTAGGTATCTATTAATGTAATGTTTATAAAATAAAGGTTTAAATACTTTTTTATTATTTTAGTTCTTTATAAACGTCATTTAATTTTGGCCATGATTCAATGTAAGTACTATTGAGTAGTCGATGGTTTGGTGCAAATTGCTAAATAAATTGTTCCATGAGATAATAACAAGTGAAAGCAATATAAGTTAGAAAGATAACTTGATAAAAAAACCTAAGATGCAAAAGGAACGTGTATTGCAGTAGGCAGTACCTAGTAGTACTTAAATAGGTTCCAAAGTCAAAAAATATTCACCACCAATAAAAGCCGCAACAGAACTGATAAAAATATTAATGCATCTTATAATTCATTTACTTAATCTGTATAATATCTCCGAATTTGCCAATAATAATAGGTCTTTACCTATGAACTTGCCGTTCTGCATGAAAAAATTTAAACGAAATTTTTGATTTGAAATGCGATGAAAATGTAACACTAATCAATAAACAAATGACTTCTTTTAGAAAAAGAATCCCATGTTATTAAAACAAAATTAATTAGCCTTAGCCTAACAAAAACTATTTTGATTTGAAATGGCCAGTACTGCAGAACGGCAATTTCATAGGTAAAGACCTATTGTAATTTATAACTTAGTTTAATAGTTTTTTGTGTACCACGACATCTATTGCAATCAAAGCGAAGCTACTTCACTCTGCTTACCTAATGCTAGGAAGCCATGTTTGAACGAAGCTGATCGTTGTTCGTAGTTCAGTGCTAATCCAATAGAGGGCGGTTATTAAACATTGGCATTTAAGTTACTGATTCGTAATTAAATTATGATCATATTCATTAGAATTTTTATCTTAATGATATTGGTGATGCATTTTAATGTAAAATAATAAAATTATGTAGTAAATACGAATGAATTAAAAGCCAATAAAAGTTTTTAAACGTATATCTAAAAGAGAATGTGATTCTTAAAATCGCAAAATAAAACGTATTACTTCATAATTCAAACGTTATCTTCACAATTTAATATCCATAACCAATAAGAACAGCATACAAAGGCAACGTGTCTCACCATGACTCACACATGGGCATTTTAAAGCAAGTTTTTCAACACCCCTTGCGCTTGAGCACGTTCAGTCTGCCATGCGTGTGCGCACACATAGAAAGGTCAACAGGCAGGCAACTTCATTCAAAACTGTCTCGTGGTTCGAACTTCACTCGTTTCGTAAGCCAAACACCGTATGATCGGTTATTTGATGACGTTTGACCAAACAATTGTCGGTTTATAGTTTGTTTTGTCAATATTTCTGTGTGTATTGTTTGTGAGTTGAGTTATACACAGTACAAGTGATATGTATCGTCCAGTGTCGAGATGAATATCTCCTAGTGCAATTAATTCTGTTTTATTATAAACCAATAAGCTGGCTCGAGCCTGTTTTTCTACTGTTTTAGCTGTTTGTGTTGTGTGTTTTAAGTTGATTGTGCGGTGTTCTTAGAAAAGGACTTGTTTTGAATAATTGGACCATTATTTCTGGTAAGTAATTTGGCCAATTATTTCATATACGCTAAATTCCAAAAGGATAATTAGTTTTACAATAAATATTACTAAACTGAAGAACGATATATTTTTAGCAAAATTACACAACATTTAATAATGACTTAATTATTAATTAATTCGTTTCAATAGGTGTTCTAAATTTTATTGGAATTGGTATAAATCTTTTATCATTATCATTGTAATCTGGAGATTCTGCTTCTTGGTATATGTTTTCTTTGATTGGATAATGTATTTTTTTAACGTTTCTATGAGTTTTCACTTCTTTGGGAATATTGGTTTTTATTTGACCTCTTTTAGCAGTTTCAGTAAACGAAGCAATAATTTTTAAAACCCTATTTTCTTTTATTTTGCTTGTTAAATTCTTTTTAATTTGAATTTTTTTTCCTTCATCGCTTATTTCTTTGAGTTTTTCCTCGTACTTTGTGAACATGTCTGAGGTGAAATCAGGCCAAGTTATTTCTTCAGTATCTCGTCTTCTGCGTTTACCAGAGATGACTCCAAGTTGTAGGAGAACTGGATTACTAACTAATGCAGCTGCTGCTCCAAGAAGTGCTATTCCAGCTATAGGCCACAGAACCGCCTTTGTGGCTAATGCCTGAAAAGAGTTAAAAATTAAAACCTTTTTGGTCAGTTTTGTTATCTAAAGCCGGTTTACATTTCTTAAAATAAGTTGCAATATTTTTATACTAAAAATGAAACTAAAAAATCTACATAGTTAGGTTATATAGTTAAAATGGGTATAATACATAAAAAAATACCACTAAAACTAAGCCGACTGACTATGCTTCGGATCGTAATTAACAATAGGAATATTTCATATTATCTACGGCATGATAAGTTACACGTTAATAAAAGCTTTTGGAGTACCCTGAGAAATGCTTATGGATAATGTTGCTGTCACATTATCATTGTTTTATAAATACGAACAAATGGTGCGATAAAACAGTTGGTAGCTGGCAACGGCAATGTTCATGAAGCATCATAAAATATTAAGTTACACTTAGTAATTGAAATAGTGTATCAAGCAATTGCTAATCATAGAGATACAATTGCGTAGGTTATTTGATCTTAGAATAACAGTAAACTATTCCCAGAAGAGAATATAAGTGATAATTGAAGATTCTATAGAATTAAATATAATGACTGGTGTGAAAGTTGTACGCGTATTTATTACTAAATGTAATGGAATGTTGAATGGTACTAAACCATGGAATCTATTTCCTTCTTAGATCATCATCCTTTTCGAGAATGATGTTGGGTTGGAACTTGGAAACAATGTTAAAGTTCCATAGACCATAATATTATACACTCCAAGAATGTATATGACTATAATATGCTGATTGCCTTTAGATATGTACAGGTTTTGGTAATGCATATTGCCCTCTGTATATTTATAAATGTCTTACAATATCGACAACAATTATTTGTTGCTAAGCATTGAACCCTGGAATTCAGTTCAGAAAGTTATTTGCGACTATTGTCAGTCAACATCACAAATGACGATTGTTCTATTGATCTATTAAACAATGGACGTCGATCAGACACCTGTGACGGCCATTATAAATTGACAAATTCTTTACTTTCGATATAAAGTTCATGTAACAAGTTACGGCTGTTTGTGTTAGTTCTATTGCTGCTGTCAGTGAAGAAACCCTCAAACAGCGCAAATATTTTTACTGATCTATTTTTAAGTTTTTAGGGTTGTGACCTAGGCCCGTAGTATCCCAAGTGGATCAGTAGACAATGTGGTGTTTATCTGAATATTTTTCGAAACACTTAGTTTACGGATGTCGTGACCAGAGGTCTGGTTTGTTCTTTGGATAGAGGATAAGCTTGCCATACATCTCGGTTCTTTGTTATTTTTACGCAGCCGAAGCCTATCAATGCTTGGTTGAGGCTGACTCCTATATAAGCTTGGTTGTAGCAGAACGCGGTCGCCAGAGCTCCGCTATGGGGCAACTACTTCCAGGTGTTTTTTTAAACGAGGAGTTTGGCGAATGTTACCTACACATCCCATATAGTCCAGATGTCTATCCTACTGACGCAAAAAAGCAAACGTTTGTAGCAATTAATGTTCATATTATGATGCATTCAAACGAAAAACTTAATTCAATTTTTGGGGCAATTTAGAACCTTAGTTACCTGATGAACCTGATGAACTAATAAATACTGGAAATTTCGTTTGATTTGACTAACTCAATTATTCTTTTACTTAAACTTCTAACGTAACAAGAATAAATTTTAAAATATTTTTTTTTTGCAAAAAAGGACTTCTATACTCACATGTTTATAATGCTTATCGTAGTGCCCATGATGGTGTCCGTGGCCATGGGAATCGTGATAGTCGTGGTGATCATGTGAATCGTGATGGCCATGATGATCATTGTGATCACTGTGGTGATAGCCATGATAGTCATGATCGAATGAGGGAGGACCATGGCCATCTGAATGGGGATCATAAAGATAGTAATCGTGACCATGCGTGTAATGAGGACCCTCTTCATATTCGTTTAGTGTGTAACCTGGAACAAGAATATAACAATAATCTATAACTACTCTACACATAACCTATATAAACTAATCGTAAAATATGTTGGTAAGTGCATAACTCAACAACGTCTGGAGATTTTGATATTTTTTCGTTGTTTTTGAAAAGAAACAATGTTTTTTTTTTAAAATAGGACATAAAATAGCAATTTTACACGTCAAAATTTATATCACATACATCATCAGCCCATAAGCTGCTGTTAATACTGCTGAGCAAAGATATCCTTATCATACAAAGAAGGTTTGATCTTTAATCACCACGTTTGCTCAAGGCAATTGGCGATTTCAAACTTATAATTATAAATTATAAGTCACGGTTTCCTCACGATCTTTTCCTTCTGTAGTATCTAAATAATTTTAGAAAGAAAATATAACTCGGAAAAATTCACATTGGTGCCACGTTGCCAGGTTTTGAACCCGCGCCCTCATTCATGAGAAGCGGGCGTCTTAACCTCAAGGCCACCACGACGTCGACGTCTAAATTATATGTAAAAAACTACATGAAGCCGGCATTTCCTATCTGACTACTTTGAGAAGCAATGCCGAAACTAACTCAGAAGTCCGTCTCTTTTATAGTCCAGACAATATAAAAAAAAAACCATAAAGAACCATGTACCTAAGTTCATTCTATGTGCAACGTCATTTTGAGGAAATAAAGGGAAAAGGTTTTTATGTTTAAAAAATGTAAACGCGGAAATTGCGAAATAGTATTCCTTTTGTCGTTAGCGACGTAGCTAGACACCAGTGCGCGTACAGCCGCTAGTAGGAGAAAAGCATATTATTATAATTTATCTCAAGAACCACTAGACAGGAGAAACAGACCTGTTGTTACATTGATTAAGTTCAATATTTACAAACAAGTGCAACAAAAAAGACAGCGTAACATTTTGTATATAAACATTAATGCAATGAAGGTGATGTATCATAATATTTTGATTATTGACAGTTATAAAGGGATGTAAAGAAAGCAGATAGTTACGTAAGAGATAAAATCTATTGTCTTAGATACTGTTATAGTTATGATGACACATGAAGCTGTTATTTAAACAATAGCGCTCACACTAATTACTGCTGCAATTTAGTTAAGAAATATAGTGATATAACACCAGAAGCACATAAGAATCTGTTAGAAATAGAAACTAAAGTGACCGACACCAATATTATATGATATCTTCAAGATTGAAATAGTGCTAATGTTTTATAGGTCTTAGGCCTCGTTTACGTTTAAGCGGCGCGTTGCGGTGCGATGTGCGGTCCGTCATACATTGCTCGTGATGTTCATTTGTTTGTGTTTGCACGGCCGTTGATACGATTTCATGCTGTAATGTACGACAAACGAAATACGCGCCGCCTAACGCCCCGCGTGTACGGAAACGAGATCTTAGGATATAGTTAAGTGTGGAAGTGTCATGCTTCTGTACGAATGGGCTTCGTTCGGAGAAGCTTCACAGAATATTGGCAGGAAACAACATTTATGTTGTGTTTCGCTGTGTTAATAAGGTTACCGGAGGCTCAATCCTGAATCTTCGAATCCTCTATCTTTAAATAACCCCCCAACCCACTTACAAAAGGTCTGCAAAGCACTTGTCACTGCTTTCAGACTGACTGACCAGGTGAACCGTATGTTAGTTTGCCAAATTATCTCATAAAAATTTGAAGGGATAAGATAACTTGTGGTTATATGAACTATGGTTCATTTATTATCCACTAGATTGCCCATTCCCATGTTTCTATTAAATGTCCTTCAAAAGATTGTCACGAAGAAATCACCCTGAATCTTCCATTTTAGACTCTATAGTTATAAAGAAGCTAGTAGAACATATAAATAAAAGTACTTTTACCTGAATGATCATGATACAAGCCGCGGCCATTACTTGAGCTGGACAATGCACTGTCTGGTATTTCCTGCAAAACGGCAAAAATGATTCATGAGTTTTTATCAGAAATGGACGATTTTGGTCTTGTCTTATTAGCACCAATAAGGCAAAGTAGGTAAGACGAGATACATTTTAAATTGCAGATTTTTGAACTCATTGCAACTACAACTGTTTTTCTCATAGACGCGTACAAAGCGTATATTTTTGGAGTTTTACTTTTATCATCATTGAAATGTTCATTCATGTTCAATCGTTTAAATTCATTAGAACCCCTGTCTTTCTCTATTAAAGTAAAAAGTAATATTCGATTTACAAGATGTTTCTTACTGATAAATTAATTAAATACAATTAACCCTCGGCTGCGGTCCGATGGTCCGATACGATCGTCTGAACACTGCCCCTTTTCACATGGCTCTTAATGTTTCTACCTCAATTGACGTTACACGGCATTGCTTTCGCCTTTTAAAATGTCTACAAAATTGTGCACTTTTACGTGAAATATTTCTCGTCTAGTATTCGTCGATTTCTGCACTATAAAGGCATGCGAAAATCAAGATTGTATCTTTTAAATAGCAATCTGCCACAGCTTCGCACATTTCACACTAAATTTCTCCACTATTTAATAAATGTCATTATCCATATGTTTAAAACTTCCACTTTAATCACTCGTCTATTAAAAAACCGCATAAAAATAGGTTGCGCAGTCTTAAAGATTTGCATACTAGGGATATAGGGACAGGAAAAGAAGGTGCTTAATACTATGGAGCGATATAAGTAGTTATCACATATATTTCCATTTAAAAAGATCTTGCTCAAGAAAGTATTAGTCTCAAGTGTCACTTAACAAATATTAGAATACAATCCTCAGCTAACTCGTCATGGATTCGAAAGGGTGTGAGTCATGTATTTTTTTCCCATCTCATATTGAGGTTTCGTTCCGAAGCGTTATTCATTACTACGGAGAACCGATCTGATATCTTACTAACTGTTGCTCTGAGGTCGAGGCCGTCACGGGAAAAGATTCTCTGCTATGCATCTTAAAATCCCTCTTTCAATGGCAAACTGTTCTCATAAATTATTATCTCTACACCTTGATTACATGTGAAGAGTTTAATGAACTTATAATCATAAATAAATCATTATTTTATGCTTTTTCGTTGTTTTCGAAGGATATTAGGAAGAAATGTAAAGTTACAACAGGTTGTAACGAACAATGTTATTATGTTGCTGTTGAAGTTAATGAAATGAAAACGCAAAAATAATGACACTGGTGATCAAGAAATTACGGTTAAAGCATTTCACAGTATTCCTTATAGTATGTAGGCGACAAATTAAGGACATATTGGTATATAAAAACTGGGACACGCACGTTGATAAGCAGCTGATAGCCCACTTGTTTTATGTGCTCGCTGATCACATGTATTTTTAATTAAACACGAATAGTGTAACTTTGTAACTACCAATGTAAATTTATATTGTATCAACTGCCGGTTGAGTCACATTTCCGTTCCAGCAAGTTTATCAAGAATGTGGGCCATGCCAGTGATATTCCCACAAGCAGCCTCGGCCTGTCGTATTTCTGCATTTGAAATGTGCTAAATGCTGTCAGTTATGCAGCGAAGTAATTGCGCCCGGTTTAAGTACTCTCGTTATAAATACAAGTTAAGCCTTCGAGTACAGCGTACGCCTATTACTGAATATTTATCAGCAGCATAATAACGGTCGAGACCAATGGTGTTATAATTTTGAATGATAAGAAAATTATGAATTGTTTGAATTCCCACCTTGAATTTAATTGGGTGGCTGGCTGGTGTGAACGTAGCATACTTTGCTAAGTCTTCTTTTTGCAAAGTTTTCACATTTGTTCTGTTCTGGAATTAAAATGTATTGTTTAGTTACTTTATTTATTCTTTAAAGTTTATTTCCAAAGTGTCTTCTTTCACTTACAATAGCATCTGCCGCTGCATAATCTCGGATGTTTGAATTAAAATTCTTATTAGCAATAGGATCACATTTTGCTACATCGTAAGTAGCAGTCAAAACAAGGCTGAGTAAGATTCGAAATTTGTAAGACATGAACCACATTGTCATCACACTGAGCACAAACACAGAAGCACAGGAATCCAACAAGAGACTTATGAATTCAGAAGTAACTATGACGCTGGAGCGGCTGATACAGTATTCTTTATAAAAAATGGCAACAAAGAAGAGGGGGCAGGCTTGGATGACAATTTGATAGTAGACCAAACAATGGTGCAGTCCAAGATATGGTCACAGCCTGTTGACTCGATTGCGAAGTCGTTTCTCTGGCTTTGTTCATAATAAATTATAATGATGGTCATGTTTGTTGAATTGTTTCATGGTGGATGCGCATTGCCTCGGATGCTTTTCAAATTCCAGGGTATGTGCGTTTTGTTGAAGATGTAATAAGACACGAAAGACACGATGGCGATGAGAAACAAGATATATTTTCTTAATACGATGATTTGTAATCTGTGAGAAATTGTGATGTTGATGAAAGAACTAACAATGATGTTAGAATTCCAAATAGTTTTTATTCTGGTTGTAAACATTGAACGGCGATTTGTACTTGCTTTGAGAAAATACTTTCGAAACACTGTTAGAAGTCACTTCTTTATTCTTGAATTAAAATTACAGATGTTTCCTTAAAGTATCATTAGCAAAATAGTAAGCTACTGAATTCTTCTGAATAAATACTAACAACATTTTGACCATCGTCATTAATTCATTCGTCATTAATAGAGCAAATTATATTTAGTATACCATATTGTATTCGCGGGTTTCAAAGACCCAAAGTCCACCGCAACTGGGATCTAATAGAGTCGACGTTCAGCGGACTGCGGGGTAAGCGCAATAAGCTACCATGGCTCGGCCCGGAGAAGGAACGTTAGCTTTTTTAGTCAGTATATCTCTAAGACTCCCCTCGCTTCTCATTGAGCGAGAGAAGCTATTCGATGATTTTCTCCCCTCAAAAAAAAACTGTTCTATTACATTGTTCGCTAGAAATCCCTCTCCATGCCCAGTAAGCGGCAAAGGAACAAAAACATGTTCATACAACACGAACGTTTAGAAAGCAATGCATTTCCGTAATGCATAATGCATTTTCTGTGTACATTATTTCTAATTACTATTCCAATTACATAATTAATCTTCTGATACTGTAATAAGGTTTAATTTAGCTTGAAGATCTGATTTTGCTGTTGTTAGCGTTCGCAGTGTCTCATAGTGAACAATAGTATGGCACTTGCGTAAGATGTGACTGCCTGCAAATGTACTTAAGTATAACAAATAGTGTTTAGAATACAATACTATGAAGAAACCTGTTATTTTTTAATTTTAATGATACTTTATTTAGTTATTAAAATCAAACTTCTTTTCTTCCTGACTCCTTTATTTGATTTAAAAATTTCGAGAAATAATTTAAAGGAGAGAGAAACTCGATTAGTAGCAATGTGACTTTTTCCGAGCTATATGTACATTTATATACTTTCTATGATTATTTAGGCACCATTGACATGCGGTGAAGGAAAACATCGTGAGGAAACTTGGACGTATAATTCATATCAATAAGTTTGAAATCACTAATCCACCTTGAGCGAGCGTGGTGATTGATGCTCAAACCTTCTCCATGGGAAAAAGAGGCCTTTGCTCAGCAGTGCGCACTTATAGGCTAATGACGTATGTATAAGAAAAATATGTATTCTTAGTTGAATAAAATATTATAAATAATGTTGATGATGGATAGCGATCCTTAGTCGACTAAATGATTCGATTGTCACACGGAATAACTTATTTGTGTTGTTGTTATTATTCTGGTCTGGGTGTGATGTGTATATGTGAAATTGTATGTTTGTAAACGCACCCACGACACAGGAAAAATCCTTATGTGGGATAAAGGGTTTAGTCCACGTTCGACCCCCACAATTTCAACCCCCGGCCATGTTCAACCCCTAAACGTTGTCCACGTTCAACCCCCAGGGGTAGAACGTGGATTTCAATACATTGGTCATTTTTTCATTGTCCATATTCAACCCCAAGATGTTAGGTAAATAATATTAAAAATAAAGTATTAGTGACAACAGAAGTATATTTATTTTTGTAACAATTTATATTTTAAAGCTATTCAGAAGACATGACTTTTTGGTAAACGACAAAGGCGATTCGTTGACATACCACTATGCGTGTGAAGAGTTTAAAAAATAAATGGACACAACTTCTCCAGACAAAGATCAACCATTATTTCACCACTTGTAAAACGATTTACAATGTTATTTATCCGCTTATCATATTCTATTTGTTCTGGTCTTCTTTGATTAGTTTTTGTGCTTAAAATTTTTTGATAAATAGAATCATCCTCCAAAGTTTTTAAAAATTGAACCAGGTTAGAGGATTTACCTAATGTCCTATTTAACATAGCGTGCCAACCTTCTAACTTGTTTGTTGTGCGATGTCTTTCACCATAACAACACCATTTGTCTTTCATTAGGTTGTTCTCGAACCACTGTTTTACGAAATAATCATTAAATTTAGTTACAGCTTCATCAGTAGGACTATCCTCCATAATATAAAGATATCCATCGGTTACAGCTTCCGGTGGTAAATGAGCCAATACTGTCAATAAAGCTACATGTTTTCGTGTGATTTTATTTTTGCTTAGATTAAGTTGTTCTGCTTTCTTCCATATAGCTCTATTGAAATGATAAAAGCATCCTTTTATTGAAGCTTCAGGAAATTTCTCTTCTAATGTTGACATAACAGCGGCTTCAAAATCAACTGTGAATTTCATTGGATCCCAGTTTGGGATACTTTTTTTTATTAAAGTAAAAAGCAAATTATATGTACTTTGCTTTTTATTTGTTAACCTTTTCACCGCCACGCCATATCGGTATTCCTATGCCCTGTACGCCAAGCCCGAAAATCTTAATTAAATACCTACAAAAAAATAGGGATTTCAACATTATATCGATACCCATTATTATTATTTTTTTTATCAATACTTGCCAGATAAATGGTCGATCATTAATATGTTAAAAATAACATTCCAATATTAAATATTTTACAACGTTCCACTCAAGTAGTTCCGAAGTTGTTAACAACATAAAAACAATGATTAAGACACACAACAGTTAAAATGAAAATAACTCTAGGTACAGCACTATTCTCAGTACTGATGTACTTCACTGTCGGGAATAGCCGACATTGGCGCCGTCGACGAGTCTTTTATAAGACATCGTTGCATGTACATTAGAGTTGTACCATAGTGTCATACAGTTTATCGATGTTAGTATCTAATTAAATTCAAAGGCCACAGTAGTTTGTTTTTATTATTCTTGAAATTTACACTTATTGCAACAATTTGGGTTGTTAATGGATTGAATGCAAATAAAACTATTTATTTACCAATCATTTAGTTTAATTATTGAGTTATATTATTAATAATTACTTTGAGATCATATTACTTACATGTCACTTATGAATAAAATTATCACGTGATATTATTACATAGCAACACAGGAACTTTCTAATATTCTCACTAATCAGATTAATTATATGTATAAAATAAATCAAAATTTTCGTATGAAATTGCGTAGTATATACGTAACGATTTTTAAGTATAACGATATTTATATTCTTAAAATAGATACATTATTTAGTTTCTCGTATCTAACCTAATTAAACATTAAAGGATCAACAATCAACAATTTAATAAAGTAAAACTACTTTTTTCTCAGTGCTTACAATCGTTTATATTTTGTTAGAACAATAAAAACTGTAATGACAAATATTACAATACCTTAAGTTACCTAAATTAATTTAAGAATATAATATACGTCAACATGATACTACATCACTAGCAGTCGGCTCTGCACGACATTGGCGTCATGGGACTTACTTTTTTAACCATAAATTATTTTACTTTTTATCATCAAATATTTAAATGAGGAATATGCATTTTTGTTTACTGTATGCATCTAAATAATGTTTAGACATTCAGCTTTCAAGGTGTATCAATAAAATACATAAAAGTAATGATTTAATAGGTTTATTTTGTATTTTTCTGCGACCTGTTTTTTGTCGAGTATAGCCGTCGTTGGCGCACAGGGCACGCTTGCTCATGTCGGCTATAGCCGACATTGGCGTTCAAAAGGTTAACAAAGCGTATAAGACCGGCATTATTTTAGTTTCTTTTTCAGAACTGCCTACATCAGCGTGTAACGTATATAGTTGCAAAAAAGGACGTGGGCATGTTTTAAATGTCCCATCACCAAAGAAGTGTTTCTCTCTGCTTATTATATCCCTCGACGTATCAGACGCGAAAGCTATTATTCTATTGTTTTTATACTTATAGTCAAAGAGGAGAAACTTTTGAAAAATGTCGGGTACTTCGACATCCGTCGCTATAGCATATCTGGTTTTTTTAACACCTACCGCCATATTTCTTTTCTTATATAGGTTAGATTTAACATTTTTATACGACGGAAATTCTTTTATAGTGTCGTCACTTGCGTCTTTTAAAGAAATCACAGCTTCACGATATACAGTTGGGATAGTCTTCTTAAAATCTTCGCTAACTTTTGTTTTGCAAATCGAAATTGCCTTCCTGACTTCATTTTTCGCAATACTTTTTTGGCATTTATGTACTGTTGACTTCATAATTTTATTTTCAGTTAGCATAATAGTAGTAGTTCCATGACATTTAGGCCAGTTAACACACCGCCAGTAAGAAGAACCATTCTTATATTCTTTTTTCTGGTAATATTGATGACCTTCTAAGAGTAACACGCGTCCTCCGCGCTTCGAAGTCACAAAATCAAAATGAATTAAACCACTACTCGTAGACGGAATATCGGCCATTGTGATAAGAAATGACAAACAAAAGTAATGCACTTGATAACGATCGAACAACTACTGACGGGATAGAATTTCACTAATTGATATTGCAAAGTAATAGTAGAAATTTGGTACAAATAGAGGATACTTAAGGTAAAACTTAAGATAGCAGAAATAAAATGAGGGTAGATGAGAAAAATCTTTTGTATTTAACTGTCCATAGAGGGTTGAAC